ACCCGGTTTTCCTGAAGTTTCTACTAAATGTGAGAAAAAGCGCTATCTAACTCGATGGCAGCTTTTCCCTATAGATGAAATGACCATTCCTCAGTGGTGTCCCTCCTTACAATATGCACTCCTGAACTTTTTATCACTGACATTCAACAGAACGTCGTCGTGTTTTTTGTCTCGAAGAAGAGAAAAGAAGAGATATCATCATGATGGATTAGTTTGCACTTCAGTTCAGATTGATAGAACTGTGTCACACGATCTACTGTAAGTCGGCTGATGTTTCATTTCAAGATCGTGGACGAAGGGGAAAAATGTGATGCAGTAAACTCCGCGGTTTATTCTATACATCGTAAAATCACTGTTCAAAATAAAGCCATTATTACTATTAATATGACAAATTCATATGCTTTAAAACCATACCAGTTGGATTATACTCATTACAATCTATCAATACAAACTGGATGGAAATTAGAGAGGTTGGTAACTGCCTACCTGAATAGGGCCAGTCGCCAGTGAGCATCCAGTGGGAAGGCGTGACCAGTAGGGTGAAGCAGATCGGGTGTGAGGATAAATACTCGCCAGCGAAGACATTGGCTAGCGGTCGCGCTATGTCGTGAATTGGCAGAAGTTAGAATTTAAGGACCATTGGATCGGGTCCCAGTGGCTTAATGGTATACGAGCTAGCTCGCCTTGTAACCGGAAGGTCCTGGGTTCGAATCCCTGTGGTAGGTGCGTACTGCTGAAGAGTCCCAAACTAGGGCGGGGGAAACAGCTGTCCAGTACTCCCTGTGGCTGGTTTTCCAATGGTTCTCTAACTAGTGTCGGCTCATGATGAAATCCTGAAACCAATCAAATCCCTACAAACCAACACTTGAATCATGTGTCTGTTAGTTGTAAGATCACATTTTACACAGATTTATTGGAGGAGCATATTGGTGATGATGATGCTTGATTTCACTGGTGCTAGGACACCACAACTCGATCGAATTCATAGCCCAGTGGCAGTTTATTCATTACTGAACTAAACATTTAACTCAGGCGACTAAATGGTTACTGTTAATAGAGCAGAAATCGTTTACATTACCCATGCTTACACCACAGAGGACTGAAAAACGCAAAGACTACCCAAGAGTGAGTGGCTTGGTGGTCATTTCCACTTCCTTCCTAAACTACTGACTTGGGTAAGGGAAGCCAGAGAAAGAAAATAAACAAAAGACAAGTAGTTCAGTGAAGAGTCTCTTTTCGCCGGCGAATTCATTTTCATAGCTGTACAATCGCAAATATGCATATATGGTTATTTTGTGTGTGTGTGTGTGTATACATTAAATTTGTCAAACGAAAATACAATTAGTAAGTTCAGGCAAGCCTCGAGAACGGCCCACTCAAATCAACCATCGACAATTTCCAGTTGTACGTTAGATATGTTGACGACATCTTTATCATCTGTGATGACGGTCACGATCTCAATCAACTACTGCAAATATTCAACAAATGCCATCCAGCCACAAAGTTCACTCTGGAAACTGAAAATGAATCTAAAATCCCTTTTCTTGATGTTGAGCTTACAAGGAGAGATGACGGAACTTTAAGAAGGTCAATCCATAGGAAACCTACTTGGAACGGACAATTGACAAGTTTCTACAGCTGGGTACCAATCAGTCGGAAAAGAAACCTAATTAAATCCCTTGCCACTCGCGTCAGACGCATCTGCAGCTCTGACACCATGGAAGAAGAACTCAACTTCCTGAGGGAAATCTTCATACAAAATGGCTACCCACCAAGATTCGTAGACAAAAACATCAAACAGAAAAACCAAAAGCAAGAGACACCATCCGTGCCTAAAAAGATACTTTATATGAACTTAGACTTCAAACGAGACCTACTTAGTGACGTCCTCAGAAGGAGAATTTCCACCTCTTTAGGAAGAACTTTCCCTGCGGCAACACTAAGAATAGTGTTCTCCAGTCGCCCGCTGATCTGCAGAAACCCAAAGGACAAGATTCCGCACATGACCACTTCTATGTTGTATATATCAGTTCACCTGTTGCTGTGGAGCCAGGTACATCGGTCGTTCAACGCGCATCCTGTCAAAAAGGGTCAAAGAACACTATCCAGCGTGGCTACAGAAAGGAAATAATGGCCATATAAGGAGTGCAATAATCGAACATCTCGTCAACACTGGTCATTCCATCTCAACGAACGCCTCCTTCAAAGTAATCTACAAAGTGAAGAACAACCTTCCAAAGACAATACGATTCCGTCTTCTTTGCATCGCAGAAGCCCTAGCCATTCAGTTGGTGGAACCAGAACTATGCATACAAAAGAAAATTATCCAACCACTTCTACTCGCATAGTAACAACTCTGTTGATTTGACCTTACTTCTGTTTGTATGCTTATTTTTCTAACTTAAAACCCTTGTGTAATTCTGTATATTATTTTGTTTCCATGTACACCCCCTGAGCACAACTCATTCATCAAACTATTCATGCCATTACGTAACTCTTATTTAACAATCATTTATGACAACTCATCACTTTTGTTACTATCCTCTTATATCAACATCCAATTCATCTGAACTTACTAATTGTATTTTCGTTTGACAAATTTAATGTATACACACACACACACAAAATAACCATATATATATTTGCGATTGTACAGCTATGAAAATGAATTCGCCGGCGAAAAGAGACTCTTCGCTGAACTACTTATCTTTTGTCTACTAATGTTCGAATGGGAATTATTCATGAAAGAAGATAAAGACAGTGTTATCCAGCTAACTAATAAGGGTTCAGGTTCAAAGTTATCTGAAATTATCTCTTTTGAGACAAAAGTGACACATCAATACACCTGTGGAGTACGTAACAATGTGATTGTACACTTTTTGGTTATTTGTAGAAATTAGAGATATTGTACATAATTTTTGTTTAAAACGCTTCTTGTTGAAATATACATAACTTCCGTGTACAATTGAAAAATACACTCTGCTGTTTGAGAATTCGTCTTCTCCCTGGTCATTTCTGCTTACTTGCTCAACTCACACCGTGTTGTATACTTCGGATTTATTGCATGGAGTCTACTACTCTCAACCGAAGACATTTCTACAACCGGAACACAACAGCTACAGCAGACGCAACCCAATCAATTAAAGTACCCGTGGATCATATACATAATTTGTAGCAGAGGACTTAGACTTTATATCCAAGTAATCCTTTTTGTTGATACAACTCGTCACTGCATTTTTTGGTAAACTATTGTTATTTAACACTCCATTGACTTGGATTATTATTCTTATATTTATAATGTTAGTGAACTCTAGTATAAGTCTTCTACACACCCGACCACTACAATCGACGGAGTCAATGTTTACGGGACTGCCTCTTCTTCTTGTATTGCGGCTGCTTGGATTCTGATAATCCACAAACTCATTTAGCTTAAGTGATAGACAGATGTTTCTCCTTAAATAGACTGCGGTTTGTTTTGGTGACCAAATTCAGGGTTGTAAATGGATATTAAACCACTCTGTGAATTTGATTGGCTATATTGTTCTCACAGGTTCAGACTACTCTATCTTTTGTTGGATGGGTGGGTCCTGGGTAGATCATAAGCAACTAGTGTGATCACATCAAAATTGATGTCAAGTCAAATCTATATGATTCACAGACTTGACATGTCACCAAAAGCATTTGCAACAGCAGACTTCAGACTTTCATCAACAGTTGCCTTTTCACTCCGTGCTGAAGATAAGATGGTCAGAAAGAATTAACAACAAAGAACTTTCATAACGAACCAACCAGAAACCTGTAACGCGACTCCAAAAGCAGATGAAGATGGATCGAAAACACTCTGAAGAGACAATTAAGTGACGTCGCACGCTAAGCCAGGCTAAGCCACAGGCAGAACTCGAATGCGAAATAACGAATTGGGTATCCGAAGGTGACATCAAGAAGATTAAAGCTTATGGGTCGTTGTGGAGCCAGGTAAAAGTGACTGTTCAGATAAAGTGGGATAAAGTGGAAGCTGTATGCTCCACTGGGAACCCAATGGAATAATAACTGCGTATTCTGCCTTCGAGACCAGTTATGCATTTTCTTTCCGTATCGAACACAAGTCACAGCATTATTAGTGGTGACCATATCGATTCAGTGAGAGTGGAGTGATGGTGCAGTTTCAAAAGAAAATCTTAGTGCTTCTTCACCTTTCATTTATTCTACGAATTGCTGTTACTCATAAACAATGAACTGACAGAATTTAAAATTCATGGCCCGTTGGATCAGATCCCAGTTGTCTACGAGATCGCCTTGTAACGAGGAGGTCCTAGTCTCGAACCCTGGCGGTGGGTACGTACTGATGAACAGTCACAAACACTAGAACGAAACTGTTGCCTAGCAGTAGTGCCAGCTGGTTTTCCAATGCTTCTTTCTCTAACCGATGTCAGCTCATGATGAAATCGTATAACTGAGAAAACTGTTTTTTTTTCGTGATATGAGACACTTGAAGTAGCACTCAGAAACGCTTATCTACTTACTGAGAAGAACAGTACATTCCCCCCCCCTCTGTTCATTTTAAATTTAACTCTGTCGAGATGTTGCCTAGAGAAATCAGTGAAAACTTCACAATTAAACTGTTCAGTGCAGAATACTCAGCATCACGGTGTAGCAAGAAGTTCAAAGACAGAAAATACCATTTCATATATAGCAGATATTATTACCATAACAAGCAGGATGTTAATAATAATAATAATAATAGCCTAATTCCATTTATAAAAGTAAATGTGGAAAGTGGTTATTACAACAAATCGAGGAAGTACAATGAAGATTGTTCAATAATCACTGGCTAGTACATTTTATGAAAGTAATTAACAAGGGTGGGTGTGATGTTGGGATGGTACTACACATATAAATGACATGATTGAAAACTTTCAAAGGTCATATTATCCCATTAGTTGATAGGTCAGAGTATAGAAAGTCAACAAGTCATTTGTTTATTGATACTCAAAAAACTACTAGACCTGTAGTAATAAGGCAACCCCTCCCATAATCCAACGTGATGGCTTCTCTTTAGTTTTCATATTAAATGTCCACACATAAGTAGGACCGCGTTGTTTTGTTTTGTACACAGGACAGGCGTAAGTGTTGCGTAGATCTTGTCTGTCGACTGGAATAGCCTTTAAAAAGATAACTGGTAGACTTGGGGCTAATTCTTTTAATCTAGCTTCAGCCATCATATTAGTTTGTATATCCCATCTAGCGCCTTCCATGTAAAGACCGTGGATATATGCACCTTCTCTTGGCGGTGCAGTCATTTCATCTTTTGTCTTTTTAGTTACATCACATTGAAGTACCATACGATCTAATGGCCATTCATTTTTTCGTGCTGTCTGTTGCATAATAGCGGTTAAAAATGACTGTGGATTAAATAACCCCCCAGCCAGACAGTATTAGGCAGAGCGAAATCATTTGTCCAAGCTTCTAATTCTTTAACTCTAGACAGCATATCAGCATACCATATGCCTAATGGACACATACTTGGATAGGCACGTTTCTCCCACTGGGCTGGTACACTGTCAATAATAAGCGAGTTGGACAGTTCTTCCATTTCTGGAGTTGTAGTCAATTCACCTTTTAGACCAAGTGTTAGTTCTTTTAGTGATCGACGCATTTCTTTAATCAAAATATTCATACGTTCACATTCTTGGAAGCGACAACAACATATGGTGTACGTTCTTCTGGTGGCACTTTACCTTGTAGTTCTAACATGTTAAAATCTTCTGGTAGTTTGTCGATAATTTCATCTAGTACACTTTGCAGTTTTTCTTCTCTACTTATGCCTGAACCACTACCAGCACCGCATCACGAGGTTGCATTTCAAAAACAGTACGGAATAGTTTTTCAGATGTGTTTGTTAGAAATTCCATTTCAGCGTTTGGATGTAATCCATAGAGATATGGAGATTCTGAGGTAGAAATTCATCAATATACTGGTGGTAACCTTTATAATCGGTATTTTGTGGAGTTTTGAAATTCGGTGCTAAACAGTGATCTCCATCCAGCATTTCAGGGACTAAGTATTCTTCTAAGTACGTTTTGCACAGACGTCGATCCCAGTCATCTGTAATATGCCCACCGTACATAATATCACCGAATAAATATCTTAAATCTTCCCAGGGCACTTTACTGTTTGCCTCCAAATAGTTGTATAACACGCTAACACTGATAGTCAAATCGCCTGTATTAAATGGATAAATACGATTCCAGCCCTGTGGACCGAATTTACGTCTTTCACAGATAACAGCATGGAAATAGCACAAGCTAAACAGAATTGTTTTGAATTCATTCTCACGACTACACATTTCAAGTGTGTCTTGATTGAAATTGTTCAAGGCTTTGTGAAATTAGCAAACATACCAGTTGGCGGTTCGTTTGTAATCTTAATCGCATTTTCCAATATACCTTGTGGTATAATATGATACTCTGGATCACCGGCTGGTTCAGCACTGATAAACAACCGATAATCTGCATGTCCAGTTTCAGCGGATTCCTCCATTAACTTCTCTAGCGTTGGTAACCATTTAGCGACTAGGTGGACATTTTGCAGTACAACCCAGTGTCCTTCTCTTGAGGCTAATTCCATTGCTTTTGCGGCTACAATTTCTTGACCTTGACTAAAGATACATTATGGAAGTTTTGATTATCTCCAGTGAAACCAAGTTTACGCCCAAGTGCTTCAACTTCTTTCAGTGGATCAACACCAGGTGATAGGATGAAGAATATAGGTATACTAGGACCAGATTCTTCAAATGACTTAACAAACGATAATCCACCACCTTCAATATACTTCTGGCCTAATTTTTGTCCCACAAACTCTGTAATCGCATACGTCATACGATCTGGTCTCAGAGCACGTAATATGCATAATATTTGCAGTGGATTTTTATTCTTCCATTCTTGTGGTAATTTCTCTTTTTCTGGTGTTTCACCTTCAACTAACTTTTTCCAACGTTTTGCTGAACCTTCGATATCTTTATCTAGATTACGAAAAGTCTCCATATTTGACAAAGCTTTAATACCACCCCAACCATTGTTTGTTATAAAGTCAACCGGTGAGGTTAGATTAGGTATTATCGGAAATCTTAACAAGAAGTCCAATTCCACTGGATTGATTTCATTTGAAATAGTCATTATTTGAAATACCATTTGTGCTGTAAATATCAACTTGTCTTTTTCAAATAAACCTCTTGAAGTGTACATATAAACAGAAAAGGTAATAGAGTCAAGTAGAGTTTTTACGCGTGTCTGTATATCATCAGCTGGTTCTGCTCTATCCATAGCCACTTCAAATACACTACGAAATGCTTTCAATGAGAATTGATACATTGGATTGATTTTGTTTAATTCATTCAATATGAAATATAATAATGAAGCACGACATGCTGCTGGACGGTATAGTTCACGTGCTTCATTTATTTGTACTTCAGTAATTTTAGCTTGTGCAACTTTTCAACAATTTCAATAGCTGTACGCTTATTAGTTTCTAAATTTTCAACTACTGCATAATCACCAAGAAAATTACCTTCAGCAGCTGATAATCTTGCTAGCAGGCTGTCTTCTAACTCTTTCAGTGTGATCTTAAATTCATTCTGTTGTCTTGTTAGATCAGCTTTCAACTGTTATAAATCTGGTCTTTCTTTACTGACAACACTGGCTAACAGTTGATCCTCTTAACCATCACGTGTTACAGTAAAGTTAATCAGTGTAGTCTGTGCTTGCATTTCTGGTTTATAATGCGGATTAGCTAACTTTGTCTGTAGAATCAATCAAAGTCTGGACTGTATTCAACTTCCTTATCACCAAGACGTATAGCTCTGCCTTTTTTAATAGTTCTTCTACCAAGTAATGGATCTAGTACAGGGTCAACAGATTCTTCAATATTTTCTAATAGTACTGTATCACCGGCTGTAATAGCCCGTTCAATATGATCTAGGTAACCTTTTTGACCTAAACGAATCACTTTAAGATCAATTCCATAACGTGTTTTTATCCACTTAAGACCTTGTAATTGGGATCAATCATAAGCGGCCAACGTTCAGCATTTGCTAGTATAGTGGCATTTTCTATAGACATCCTATCTGATGGTAGACCTTCATTATTCCATGTAGCTACTACAGCATTATCGACTAACATGTCTAATGGATCCAAATCTGGCGTAATAGGTATTGATGGGTTAACTGATTTCAAAAATGGTATCCAATGCTGATCCAGCAGTTCACTTCGATAACTTTTTGTAAAACAACCAACATATGGCAAGAATGCTGCAGTTAACAGTACATCACCGGTAGAGTGATAGCTTGTTCTTTAAACAGTTCACCTGTTGAGCCCAACGTACATTTTCTGAAGCTAAACCGCCTACTAAACGATTGGCTAGTTCAATTGTCTTGTAGGTTAACTCGGCTTCATCTTGACATTTCTGTTTCTCCATTGTAGCTATTTCAAATTCATCTGTTAACTTCTTCAATTTTTCTTCCAAATCTTTAATCTTCTTTTGAATAGTTTCCAACTTTTCAGTTGCTTGACGTAATTCTTCATTAGCTGCGTCAAGTGCATCACGTTTAGGCTTAACATCACAGTAAATCTTATAAAATTGTACAATATTTATTACCCATGAATAGAGGCCAGCCGCCGCCGTCGACTTATTCCGTATAAACTCTGGATCAAATTCTGGATCTCTCAGGTAATCTTGAACTGTTTTTAAACAATTTTCATGAATATTCTCTTTATCATAATTGATTAAATTATCTAAGAATAAATCAATTCTACCCATGATGCCAGCTTTAGCCGCCATCCAACTACGATCTTTTGGTACTTTACCATCGGGTGCCATTAACACCATAACAGCTGCTGTCACATTGATTACAGCAGCTGGTGGTGAACCGAACGATTTCATTTCAGCTAAATTATTCTTGTTTAGCGTGTTCAATGCTTCTTGTGCTGCTTGTAAGGCTGGTTCTGCTTTGGCTAAATCAATTTCACAGTCTTTTGTTTTTTTGAAACTTCAGTTTTAATTTTTGCTACCTTCTCTTCTTCTTGATTTGCAAATAATTTCTCTTCTTTAACTTTTTCTGTTTCAGCATCGACAATAGTTAACAGTTTATTAGCATCTTCATTTTTCTGTGCTAATTCAGTTTCTTGTGCAGCTAATTTGGCTTTTAAATCATCAACTTGTTGAGCTGTACTTTCTAATTTTTGTAGACCATTTTCTAAACGTGTCATTTTACCAATTAAATCAGAATACTTTTGATTTAGCATATTTTCATACAGTTGAATTTGTTCTAGAAATGATTTCGGCGTTGTATAGTTGTAACGACGTTCATTTTGCAGGTATGTAACACTGATATCATTGACTGATTGATGTGCAAATGACATGAATTCAGCAACAGACGGTCGTATATTTTCAGGTAATAATTCTATACTGCCTAGAAACCAATCAATCGATGTACAGTTGACGATAGCTGGAAATTTTCTAGCTCGAACACGTAGTGTTGAACCAACCGGTGAAAAGCAGAGGACAACTTTAAGTAGACGACGTACCTTGTCAATGAAATAACTCCAACAATTTTCACGTGTATCTTGTATACCTTGAGATTTTACTTCACCTCTCATTCCATTGATAACATTTTCAACTTCATCGTCTGGTAACAATTCTGGTATATCACCGGATGCAAGCAGGTCATTGATAAGCACTAAAAATTTCTCCTCAGCAACTTGACTATCAGTCAGGAGGAATACTGTTCCATTATTTTTTAAACCAGCCTTCAAATACAGGCTAGCTAGATCAGCCTTCAAATCGGTGATTGCATAACCCTTGCGTAGGGTAATCTGAAAAACTTCCAGTGAACTAATGAATGCAGCTAGTCTTGACAATGACTGTTTACCTGAACCACCAACACCAATCAATAAGGCATTACCACGTGGTGCTTCCAAGATACGATTAATACGTAGTACATGTGCAATAGCATCTTCAAATAAGACTAAATTCATTACAGCATTCAATTCATTATAATTGTCTAAAGCTTCATTAAGTAACTTGCTTAATTCAGTCATATTTGTAACTGGTAGATATTTTGGTTCACCAATTCCTTGGGTAAAATGACAATATAAATTTGGTCGAGTAAACAATACACTTTCATCCATATCTTCAAAGCATTTCTTAGTAATATCCATTAGAATTTTTCCAAATGTTTCAACATCTTCACGTTCAATTAATTTATCAGAATATACACGTTCACATTCATGCATCTATATACGTACTAGATCAGTTGGTTGTCGAATACATTCATTTCCAGAAAACAATATACCCTGTTTGGTTTTTAAAGAGGAAGTACAACAAAAAAACAGATTTAAAGCAATTGGTTCCCTTCATGAATTTCGACAAAACAATAAGAAGACGTAGCCAAACAGTTAATTTCATCTTTAGGCACAAATCTGACCTAAACAAACTGGTGGTTAGCACTCACAAGGTGTGCAACATAGATGGCACTGAAATAGAGAGAGACCAAGTCGGAAATTAAATACCTAGGCGTCACTCTATCTTCTGATCTTTCCTTCCTGGTCGTCTCATATCTTGACGATTTCTAAGAAAATATTCCGTCTTACCACCTTCTACATCAAGAAGTTAAGACATTCTGGTGTAACCCAAACCTTACTCTCACAATTTGTTAACTCCCGTATTCTGCCTATTATTCTCTATTGTTCCCCCTTAGTTTTTCCAGGGCTGGCTAATGAAGAAGGACTATACCTTATTACGTAGGATGTTAAAGGTTGTCAGCAGGGTAAGCAGTGTGCCACTTAGCCAGCTTGTTAATATTCTGGTGGACAGGCACATGGACTCATGTGAAAAATGGGCGAAATCCATTTTATCTGACTCACAACAACCTCTACATTCACAACTCTCCCCATGTATCTCTTCAGGGAAAACCAGAAGCCTATATAGGAAAATATATGCCCGCACTAGTAAGTACAAAAACTCATCCATACCCTACCTAGCTCGTGTTCTGTGTGACAGAGAAGAAAGCATTAGGCGTGAAACCTTTAACTTATTAAATAGTCAGTAGAACTAATGGATCTCGTCTTTCCAACTCACATCATTTACAGGTACAACGTTTTCTCTCTACCATTTTTTTGTTATGTGCTGTTTTGTTTCTCTCTTCCTTGCAAACTCTACTTAAAACATTCTTGTTCGTTCTTTCACACTCTATATATCTCGACCATTTTGCTATCGCTTACGCCAGTAAATATGCTAGTAGTATCTACTTTTCTAACACCTTCAAACACTCTGTTTAAATTTTGGCTTTGCTACCGACCGACATGCAAATATGTTGTTGTCAAAACTAACTGAGATTACACTTAATCTGTGTAGAATTTTTGTTATAGTTCATGTACTAACTGGATGGGCAATATTGTAGTAAAAAATGCTGAGAATTCCATTCTGCATCACAAAGTACTGATTTGGAATAAAGCTATTATCTTATCTTATAGGCGAGTAGAAAAAGCAGGAGAATTTTATTTATCAATCATCATAAGAAGACGTAGTTTATCTGAAACGTGTAACGTTGTATTGGCGCAACACATTTCGGACATTGTCATCACACACACACACACGAGTACTTGTCATACACAGTTTTTATAGAAGGCAAGAAAGCATGAATAATTACAATACAGGTCAGATTGTGTACAGGTCAAGGTCACAAAGTAATGGGTAGGGAGATGACGCAAAAGGTGTGGGTAAGAAAGATAACCTAGTGAGAAGATGGGTCAATAAAACGATTTGCGTCTACAGAAAGTCAACATGGACTGGACAGTAACTAAGTTACTATAGTTTCTGTCCACTACAGTATAAAAAGGCGTTGGATAAAATTTTTGTTCAAGCACATTCACCGTGTGGTGAGAGCAGGCTGCTAGCCAATCGGTAGACATTATTCTAGGCCGATTCAACAACCAATCACAGCAGACCTAAACGTGGGCAAATATGATTCGCAGATAAATGGCTCTACTTTCCGAGAAATATCGAAAACAACCAATCAGAAGACTGTGTTTGTCTGCTTAACTTCCGGGAAACAACCAATCAGAAGACTGCCTTTTTCTGCTTGCATAAGCTTTATTAATGTGCATAAAATATATATAAATACGTGTTGATTGTCGTAATAAAACGATCTGTTCCCTGGCCCTTGTCTTCTGTTGTTACAACCGTATATGTATCGCCGATACAATTGAAGAAGAAAGACAACATCTCACTGAAATATTGTTAGATAACAATTACTCACTGAGATTTACTAGACGTTATGGAAGTGTCAACCATCATAGAGCTCTACCAATCCAATCAGCTCCCAAAAGGATGTTTACATACCCTTGCCGTTCAGAGGTGATCAACAAAGTCTAGTCACTAGACAAAGACTAAAGGCCGCAATTAGTAGGACCTATTATGCAGCTAAACTTATCTTCATAGAGAAAACAAGAACTATGCTGTCCCGTAAACCCCCCCATTATCCGAACGATAGTGTCACATCCCACTGTGTTTATCAGTTTACATGTATGTGTGGAGACACGTACATAGGGAGGACCCATCGGTCTCTGCATGTTAGGGCTACAGAACACATTCCAAAGTGGTTGCAACAACAAATGAAATCGCCAGATACAATTGAACCCGGAAATAGATGTCCAACATCATCTATAGCGAAGCATATTATAGAGACGGGTCATATAAGATCGATTTCAACAATGCTTTTAAGCCGATATATAAGACAAGATTGGGTCACATACTTAAATTCAATGAAGCCTTAACCATAAAAAGACTTAAAACTATCTGTCTTATGCGTCCAAAAGTTATTTGTTATCACCTTAAACCTGCCTTGGTAATCCAACTTAGAACCAAGGACCAATTTTACTTCATAATATTTTCAAACCCTTTCTTTGTTTTGTTCCTTTATCTGTCTTACCCACACCTTTTGCGTCATCTCCCTACCCATTACTTTGTGACCTTGACCTGTACACAATCTGACCTGTATTGTAATTATTCATGCTTTCTTGCCTTCTATAAAAACTGTGTATGACAAGTACTCGTGTGTGTGTGTGATGAGAATGTCCGAAATGTGTTGCGCAAATATACACATTACACGTTTCAGATAAACTACACGTCTTCTTAGTGTTTTGTCGAAAAGAAACTCAGTTTGTATGAATTTTAATTTAGAAGAAGATAGAGATTAATCACTAAAAATCTTAACTAGTCCTTAATTCTGAACTGAGAAACACTGATCAAATATATTCTGACAACACATGCATACTTATCCGCAACCAAAACTGACCACATTTATTCAAGTGTTGGTCTTCAGGGATTTGATTTAATTGGCTACAGGATTTCATTCTAAACTGATATCGGTTAGAGAATCATTGGAAAATCAGCCGAGCGCACTGCCAAATGGCTGTTTCTTCCCGGGTTGGGACTCTTCACAGTGTGTAGCCCCCACCAGCAGGGTTCGAGACCAGGACCTCCTGGATACAAGGCGTACTCATGGGCCACACGGTTAGGTCCCAGTGGCTTAATGGTTGGTTCTACGACCTCATCTTGTAACTGGAAGGTCCTGGGTTCGAAACCCGATGGATGCGTACTGCTGGAAAGTACTGAACTAGGCGAACGAGACAGCTTTTCAGCAGTACTACTCCCAGGTGGTTTTCAAATGGTTCTCTAATCTATGTCAGCTCATGATGAAGTCCTGTTCCTGACCATATTTATATACCTGAAGGCGGTGTTTTGGCAATATTTGGTTGAGAAGACTGTGTTAGTAATTGTTACTGTGGCAAATTAGGTATTCTAAGGCATTTTTGACACAGAATACGCAGATGACATAGCCTCTTGATCATATTAAGCAAAAATCAAATTATGTTTGGAATGTGATTCGCCCGTGTTGAACTGTTGTGTGTGCACCAATTTAATTTAAGGATAGGGAGTGGAATAGTTGGATGTGCTAACCACTTTACTTATTTGAGGAGTTGGATTAGCAGCACTGCACCAACTAATGACGAAATCTCAGCATGTATACAAAAAGACTTGTTCAGCATTTGACAATTTGCGTCGTTATTTTTGAACCAGTGTGTTGATCGGCTACCCATCAGTGAGGGTCGGTATTAAGCAGAATTTCAACCTATCCTACCTTATGACTTTGAAAAAACAGCCTCTGAACTTCGGAGATTTGATAATGCCAGCGGGTTTTGGTAGGTGGCATCCTCGTTAGGCCAAGTCATGCGATAAGTTATAATGCAGTCAGACCAAGGCTGTTAACCGAGGAGGGGAAGTCAATTGATGGATTTGTAAAGTCCAACTGGTTTAAACGCTTGGGATGTATGTATGTTACCTATATTACGAATACTCTTCTTTCTTCAGATCAATGCAGCAGCAATGAATAAAGCCAATGACTTTTCGTTTGAGTCACATAAAGACCTATGTAATGCCTTATTGCGGCTTACAGAATGCTAAAAAAATCAAATGTTGGAGGCCTTTAGTGATATAACTCAAAATTGTTAGCAGTCGGGAAGAGACGTAATGACTCTTCAAAATCTTCCTGATTCTGGTCACCAGTAGTAGTCTTTGTTCAATTATTTCTCTTCTGCACGCCTACATCCAATGTAATTTCATCATAACATTTCTCCTCCGTATTGTTTATGTGCTTCTCTTCAGAGCGTGTCAGATTGAAGCAAGATACTTTCATGTACAAACTATACACAGACAAGTTATTCACTCAACACTTATCGGTATAAAAACTCAACCAGAATTCAATGGGTGAGAAAGAAAAGTGGTGACATTTTTATTATTAGGTCGTCTTTTCGCCTCACTAACAAAAATGATTTATTGTGTTGAGGAGTGGCAGGCATGCAAAAGAAAGTCGCTTTGTAGCGATCACTTCTATAAGCTCTTCTATCAATTGTCAGCTTGATATATTCATCAACTACTACGTGTCTTACATGAACTAGTTAGTTTGCATGATGCCTGTAGCATAGATGGCACGAAATTGAAACTAAGTCAAGCATTAAATACCTTGATTAGTTCTTTCCTCTCTGACCTTTCATGGTCATCCCACATCACCTTATCTATCTCTTAGAAAATGTTTCGTCTACAACCTTCTACATTAAAAAGTAAAGACAATCAGATATCAACCAACCTTTAGTTTTGCAATTTTTAAACTCCTATATTTTACCTATTGTACCTACTCTATTGCTCTCCATTAATCTTTCCTGGGCTTCTCAAAAAAGATTATATCATATTACGAAGGGTATTTATTGAATGCTGTGAGTAGAGCATGTGGTCTGCCACTGAATGAGCTCGCCAATACTATAGTCGAGAGGCATATAAATTCCTGTACAAAATGGGCAAAGGCTATACTGTCAGACCCTCTGCACCCTCTTTATTCACAACTATCCCCTTGTATCTCATCAGGTAGGACGAGAAGTCAATATAAGTTAGAAGTTATATGCTCGTACCACTAAGTACAGAAATTCTACAATACCCTATCTAGCCCGTACTTTATGTGATAAAGACTCTGTTAGACGTGAAACACATAAGTTACCATGTAATTAGCACAGTGAATCGACCCTTTCATCATTCGTTCATCTTTCTGTATTTTATGGTATCACACTTTCTGTCGTTTAATTATTATTACTCTGCTATTTTATTTTAGTTGGTATTACTATTATTACTGCAATTTTATACTTTATGCATATTTTCCACCGTATTGCATACGGTAATTTGCTATGCAGCTGCTGTAACAATCGTTTTATTATTATTATTATGTAATGTGTATTTATAATCTTTTTTGTCGTTTTTGAGTAAATTAGATGCAGCATTGTAGTGAATGCTGAAAATTCCTTGCTGTATCATTAGTACTGTTTTTTGGAATAAAGCTATTAATATTATTATTATTATTATCAACTTTCATAATGGTCAAGGGGTATTGGCTATTTTTTCTGTTTGTTAAATTGTAGTCTTTATTTCATACGGCTGATTTCTGATTCCTTCTATTTAGTCACAGGTAGTCAATGTTATTCATTGTTATTTTGAGAAAGTAATAAGCAGCGGAATGATGTACGTCGATGGAACAGTGGTTAGGACTGTCGCCGACCATGCACATGGTCCGAGGTTCGATCCCCTGCCACTGACGCACACCTAATATCTATGGTCGGCCTGTAAAATTTGGGCTACCGATATCCATGCTGAAAATTCCATACTTGTTCCAAAAATACAGTGTGTGGAATCAAGCTGTAATCAAAAATAAAGTAAAAATAAAATAAATACTGCGTACACATTATTAACTTACCTGGAAAATGTTCGATAAATCACGTAAATTAAATATGTAATGGAATTTAATTGCAGTTGGCAGAAATACACTCGCTACTTTAGCATGTAATAGTAAGGCACAGTCAGTTATATTTATAGCAAACTTTTGTAAGGTTGGCGGACAGTTGATCAGTGCTAAATGTTGACTTAATATTGATGAATAGATTGTTTTCAAAGCTTCTTGACCCGGAAAACTTAAGCCAAATACGCAAAAATGTCTCTGAAATTAGGAGAATATATTAAAAATTTGAAATCAGGACAAGGTATAAGATAATGTCAGTATTAAGAGTAGTTAGTGTCCACCCCCCCCCCCTAATGTGCTTACAAGTGTCAACTCTGAATAGTTATTTGAATACTCTTCTAGTCAGGATAAGTAACCTTTGAAATCTGTTTATTAAAACGCATTGGAAATATGTCCATGTGATTTTAAACACCACCTACTCACAGACTAATGAGCCTGCATTGGACACTAGTGACTAGTGTGGTGACGTGTCTAGTTCTTTCGTTGGTGGAGACTGTCTGTTTGTCTGTTTTCGACATAGAACTTTGCACATATATGCGCCAGTTCAAGTCGCCACACTCCGTGTAGCATGCGAAGCAAGAGAAGAAAGTACAAGAAAAGCATAATAGAGACAGTGAGCAGAGGGGTGAGACAAAGGAGTAATAACGAAGAACAAAACAGTTTCATTGGAGATCATAAGTCACAAGGAGTGGATGCATCTGCGCTAGCCACTGAGAACGATTTTGAGCCATGTCACAAATTGTTTCCAACCATAGATTTTTACCGTCCCGAGGACCCCAACCAGTCATGAAGTCTACACCTTCCTACGTGACTTAGACTAACTGTTGTGGATTTCATTGACTGGTTAAGCCATGTTTTTGTTTGACCACCGCTAGCTTTTTTCCAGACTGACCCTGTATCCGCTAACATTGCTTGTCGAGGGAGGCGATGACCAAGCATACGTAACACATGTCCTAACCATCTCAGTCTTTGTTACTTCACGACTTCGTCGATTGATTTCCCCTGTTTACCTAGAACTCGACGCCTAACTTCAATTTTGCTCACCTTATTATGCCACTTCACATGGGGAATAGAGCGCAGGCACCTATGATCAAAGACAGCTAGCTAATCTTTTCATGTCTTCCACTCTCAGTGGCCAGGTCTCACAGCTGGCCATAAAGGAGGACGGAACGGACTGGTGAGCATTACACCCGCCCTTTGGTCGATAGTCGAACATCTCGTCTACGCCAGAGTCGGCGTAAACTGGCAAATGAGAAACGAGCCCCCTATATTCGTGCTGAGATTTCATCAGAGATCAACCCGTTGGCACTGGCTGATGGTACTTCCCAAATAAGTGAAGCGGTCAACGTGCTCCACCAACCACTTCACTCCGTATTTCTAAGCTAGGAATCTTAGTGTAGTCCAGTCCTGTAACATCATCTTGCATTTGGCGGGAGCAAATCGCTCGCATGTCAAACATTCGTAGATTGCGGCTCAAGGTGTTTAGAAGACTCTGCTATATTTTGTCAGAGTCGTTGCCTAGGAGGACTATATCGTCTGGATATTCTAAGTCAACGAGACTGTTATTCCCTGGTAGCAAGTCAATTGGTGCAGACTGAATTCTATCAGTCAGTCAGGTTTTGCAATGTGATCACCATTCTAGGTAGCTCTCCATCACGGTGCACATTGCAAAAGCCTGACTGACTGATAGAATTCAGTCTGCACCAAAGAAAGGACTCTAGACACGTCACCACACTAGTTACTAGTATCCAATGAAAATACCCACTACAGTCAGTCCTACAGGAGGTCAGTCACGAGCCCGAATACCACAGTGGTAACATCTCTGACTGAAGCACTGATTTAGTGACGCGGGTTTGAGTCTCAGGAGGGACATGAGGTTGCAGATATACACCTTGCTTGACTGATGGTGAATGACAACTAGCACGATAGCTAGCTCCAAGGCTGGGCTTCTTGTCGACTGCCTCCAACTATCTAATATCATCAGACTAATGAGTTACAGGGAAAAACAAGCTACTTCCAGTTAACCGAACCTAAGAGTAAATTCAAACAGCATAACAATGTACATTTACATAAGATACCAGTTACTTTTATTCCCATCGCATAATATTTCTCATCATTTAAACAACAGAACATTGTAAACTGTATATTCATTTCTTGCGCATTAAGCGGAACATATAACTTTAGGCTTTGGAGTTACTACAGTGACGGTGTAAATTTTACAGGGCGGACTCGATAGCCCAACTTTCCTTCTTTACCGGACTTACTACTGGCTGATAAACTGAGAGAAGTTTATATGAGTGCGTTGACCGGAATTTCAGCCGGGACCCCCTAAGTAGTTAGTGAGCAATTCTACCACAGAATCATCAATTAATTGTGAAATGTATATTCTACTATTTTTAAATGTAGGCCTAGCATTGGGAATCAACGGTTCATTGACCAAATACTGGATAAATGCTTTTTAAGTTGTAATGTTGCTGCGCTGAAGGTGATAGCAAGAATGCAGTTTCAGCTCTTAAAAAACTATCCATCATGAAACTAGTAGGATACTGTTTATTTTCAGTCGGAGTTGTCAAATGAATGTCCTTTGCTTCGACAAAGGATATGAAAATCAAAGCAAGCAGTTCACCAGAAGAGACTGTTTTCAGCGAATTTATTGTCAAGCTCTACAGTCGTATATATATATATATATATATGGCTTCTTTTATATGCTCTAAGGAAATTACAACAAAGGCCTGAATACCTAAAATAATAGTGGAATGATACGCTGTGTAGAAAGAGTTAAATCTAAAATAAAATCCTAATAGAAAATGGATTTCCACCAAGTTTTATAGACAAGAACACACAGTTAAAACCTATGAAATGTGACTTAATATCCGTAAACAAAAAAAATACTGTACATGAATTTGGAATTGAAAAGTGACTTGTCTACCGAAATCCTTAAAAGAAGGATCTCAAAGTCCCTGAAAAGGACACTCTCTCTGCAGCATTGTTGAGAATAGTGTTTTCTGTTCAACCATTACTGTTCAATAACTTGAAGGATAGAATTCCATAGGTGATTAACTCCTGTTGTGCTGTTATCAATTCATCTGCTTGTGTGAAGCTAAGTATATATCGGTCGTTCGACTCGGGTATTGTCCAAGACAGGGTGACAGAACACTATCATGCATAGTGTTTACAAAGAGGTGGAAGTGGAGCTATACATAATAAGCTCAATCATTGAATGAAATCCAGTCGATACTGGCATCGGCCTGTCTTTATAGCCTCAGCCATTGAAGTCTTCTACAAAACGCGAAAAATAATCTGCCCAAATCATTACATATTCGACACTCATCTGTTGTGTATTGTTGAAGCTTTGACCGTCGAAACAGAAAAGCCAGATCTGTGTATACAGAAATAGTTTGTTCAATCCCTTCAACTCTCAATGTCTTACTTATTCTGTCTACTATGTTAAAGTATGATAATCCACACTCATAATACTTTGGCCATACTTTTCTCCCTTTATTATTGTTACTATTATTACTAGACTGTTTCCGGTATTACTTCACTTGTTGAATTTTGTGTTATCAAATTTCACAACATTTTATGCAACACGCTTTTGTTTGTCTACTAATCCAATAATTTTCATCCCTTTCTAACATCTCTGCATCCTATGACATTTTTACAGGAGATACACGTAGACGACACTTTCGTCATCTGTGACAAGGACGTAATTCTTGATGATGCTTTGTTTGCATTCAATAACTGCCATCCATCCATCCATACATACATATGCATACGCTTGTACAGCTTCCTGATGTGGTGAGAGTAGCCTGCTAGCCAATTGGTTGACATTAATCTGCATCAATATCTAGGTCACTAATATGGGCCGTGAGAAAATATGAACAAGGCTGTTTCAACAACCAATCACAGGAAACTTAAACGTGGCCAAATATCATTCGCAGATAGATGGCTCCACTCCACTTTCCGTCCGAGGAACTCGAAAACAACCAATCAGAAGACTGCATTGGTCTACCTGACTAGGCTATAATAATGTGTGTGAAATTTATATAAATACGTGTTGATTTCCGAAATAAGACGATCTGTTGCCTGGCCCTTGTCTTCCGTTGTTACTCTGATAGAAAATTCGTTGAAAGGTATCTGTTCTATTGAATCACTTGTTTTGATTTTTTGTATATTCCAATATGGGAATTTTCCACAAATCAACAAGAATATGAAGACAACTTTTTGAAAAAAAACTCGACTATTAAAAAGGAGTCATTTATGTGCAAAGTTTGATTTACACTCTTCTATGCTACACCTTTTTTTTTAATAAAGCACGTTTTTTGTTTTCCTTTTTGCTTACCTGCAACCGTGGATCAATTGTAAAGCTACCAGATGTTGGATTCATACAAGCCACATATTGTGTATTACTAATTTCTTTCAATGTTAATTTTGTTCTATCATACCAATGTGAATGATCAATATGCTGTCGGATTAAACAATGCGGTTGTACTGTAAAGTATGTATCAACCTCGGGCATATTTAAATCATCAATGAAATAGATGAGACGTTTATTCCCCGGTGGACCAAAATTTCGACCAGCTTTCTTTTCTAAAGGTTTTTCTAATACACGTTGAAGCATTTCACTAGTTGTATAAAAGTTGAACGGTACATTTGCTATCATAATATCTTCATTGAAACTTGAAAAGATATCTTGTACAAGTACAGTTTTCCCAGTACCAGCATTACCAACTAACATGACTGGACGTCTACGTTGTAATAAAAGGTCTAAGAAATAACGTATGCGTACTGTTTCTGTTGTAGGGACTAGCATAGCCTGGGAAAAAAGGTGACAGAAAATGAGATATAAAATAAAATAATAATAATCACTATCAACGCTAATAGTGTTTCATTGGAAACTAGCTACGAATATACAGTTATATACAAGCGAATAATAGTAAAGTGGTAATTATCTCCGCCTGTCACATGAAAGGCCCGGATTCGATTCCCGGTCGAGGAGCTGGCTTTCAATAGGGAATTGTGCGAGCGAACCAACCGGTAACCGATTGTGAAACAAATAGACAGGAAGAAATGGAGATGGATTGGCTGGCCATACTCTGAGAAAACTAACCATCAAGTGAGTGACATCACTAGACAAGCCATTGCTCGAGTGGAACCTGGCCGAAACGGAAGCGGGTGGCGAGTTTGTCGTCAGTGCAACAGTGGGGTGACTTGGAGGAGGTCATGTGAAGAGGAGATGAAAGCATGTGGGCAGACTTGGAGCGGGGTGAAAAAGTTGGCAGAAAACAGAAGGCAATGGAGGTGGGCAGCTGAAGCCGTATGTTCCTCTAGGAACTAAAGGATATAATAATAGTAATTTATAGAAGTTTGGAGTAGCTTTTCACTTTTGTACAAATTTCTTTGATGGTCTGTCTATTCGTCCATGTTCATTGAAGACCTTGTGATCGATGACTTAAAGCTAATTACTGCATCATCACCGATCACTATCTGAAGAACTGAGCGTTTGATTTGTCCTCATTCATATATATATATATATATATATATGTCTACATTTTTTCATTCCTTCACTTTCCTGGTGGAACATAGGGCTTCGAGCTAGAGGCTTGAAGTTTCCGTAACGGTTCTGATTATTTTTACAGGATGGGGTTGCTAGCTAGCCTCATGCGCAACCTTTCCCCTTTACCAGTCTTATTATACTGGCTTAGAGAGGGAGGTAAAGGAGTGCGTCTGTAGCCGGGGATCGAACCCCGGACCATGTGCATGTTCGGCGAGAGTCCTAACCACTGGTCCACCAACGCACATGCCTATATTAATTCATATTTTAACCTCTTTAAACTTCTGCAAACTCGTTAGCTGAATACACTGCATACACGGATATATATATGTATATATACTTTTGAAATCACATTAGGAGATATAAGACTGAAAAGCAAATAAATTACATTGAATTAGTCATGCGGAAAGACACGTCCGAATGTTTTCCATGTCATGTTCAAATAGATAAGGGGGGAGAGAGTATGAGAGATCAAAATTAAGATAAATTGCATTACGCTTCAATTACACATCACTTAGATAAACAGTTAGTCATCAGAGAATATAAAAAAGAAATGCAAACAGAGTAATATCATCAAATTTCGGTAGAAGTCGTCACAAATGTGCCAGACGTTGAGACTATCGACTTCATATGTAAATAAGCTGAAGACATACCCATTCCAACATCGGAATTGAGGAAATTACTACTTTTATGTACTAAAAATGTCCAATTCCAATTCAACGGGCGTCTGTTCCGTCAAGTTGATGGTGTCGCAATGGGAAGCCCTTTGGGACCACTTTTCGCCGACTTATTCTTGTCACGCCTAGAAACCTATACTTTGCAGCAACATATACAAGAAACAAATGTATACCTAAGATATGTTGATGACATTTTTATTGTCTGTGAAAGCAGATCAAAAGCGGAAGACATGTTAATAAAATTCAATTCATGCCATCCAAATCTCAATTTCACAGTAGAACACGAGGAAAACGATACTTTTAAATTCCTAGACATTTTTCTACCCAAAATGAATGATGGCACAATCGAAAGATCTATATTTAGAAAGTCTTCATGGACAGGACAGTACATGCATTTCAAGAGCTTTGTTCCAATCCAGTACAAAAAGAACTTAGTCAGAACACTGTTCAATAGAGCACGAAAAATTTGTTCTGACAGTACTATTGAACATGAAATAAAATCTCTGAAGGATATTTTATCTAAGAATGGATATCCTGAGAAGTTCATTAATAAATACTCTAAAGAAACTACTCCCTGCAAAACAATTCAAACAGTTCCAAAGAAACCTGTCTATATCAATTTGCCGTTCAAAGGAGATGACGTACAGGAAGTAGTGAAACGAAGACTCGACAAAGCCATCAAGAGAACTTATTATGCTGCAAAACTTGTTATCCTTAACACCACCAAGCGAGTGCTTCAACAATCTGGGAAAGACCAGTCGCCAATCCTCGACACTTCAAACTGCATATATCAATTTGAGTGTGTTTGTGGCAGCAAATACATAGGTCGTACGGAAAGGCGATTGTCTACTCGCATGATGGAGCATTTGCCAAAATGGTTGAAAACAGCTGAGTGCAAAGTGCCAAAATCCTCAATAACAAAACATCTTGTGGATTACGGACATGATATCGACGCGGTCAAGTCATTCACCATTGTCAGCACAAACAAAGAAACAAGAAGATGCTTGCAATTGCAGAGGCTTGTGCAATTCGAATTTATAAACCAGCTCTCTGTATACAAAAGGAGATGGTCGTCACTCTGAATCTACCATGGTAATACGTTTTACTTATTATTCTCTACTTGTTATTACTATTATTCTACCTCTTATTATTATTATTGTTATTATTATTATCATTATTATTATTCTTGATTCATTTGAAACTATGCTTTATCAGCAAGATTATCTTAACTCACTTCAACACTATTAAAATTGTTATTATAACTATTACTATTGATATTAGTCTGTTTGCAATTCTCGTTATATTCCCTAATGACTAATTGTTTATCTAAGTGATGTAATTGAAGCGTAATGCAATTTATCTTAATTTTGATCTCTCATACTCTCTTTCTCCCCTTATCTATTTGAACATGACCTGGAAAACATTCGGACGTGTCTTTCTGCATGACTAATTCAATGTAGTTTGTTTACTTATCAGTCTTATATCTCCCAATGTAATTTCAAAAGTATATATATCCGTGTATGTAGAGTATTCAGCTGACGAGTTCTACCGAAATTTGATGAATTCATTAAATCCTGCTTTATTAACCACCTTTATCGCTTGTTTTAAATTCGTATAAGGAAATAAATGTTTTCAGAGTAATATCAGTCGTAATAGTTACAATAACAATAACAATAATGTTGAAGTGAGTTAAAATAATGCTACTGATAAAGGATAGTTTTAAATGAATCAAGAATAATAATAATAAGAGGTAGAATAAGCATTTCGAAGAACCTTCAGAATTTCATCAACAGTGTTGTCATAGCTTCATAATGAAGATTAGATGGCCAGAAAGGGATTTGTAACAAGGGGAACTCTAGGGATGAACCAAACTAGAACTTATAGCCCAACAAATATGCAGAAAAAAAAATGCAGATGGATCGGACATACTCTGGACAGACGACTGAGTGACATCACGCTCCAGGCCCTCAAGTGGAACCTAAATGGGAAAATGTGTATTGGGCATTCGAGGAGAAAATCATGTGACGAGGAGATGGGACTTATGGGTAGGTAACTGAGCAGCCAGTTAACACAAGACTGGAATGCAGATGTTCTGGTGAAGCTCTGTGTGTTTCACTCGGAACTTCAGGGATTAATTAATAATCATAAATTATTTACACCAATAAAGTTAAGATAAGAAATACACTTTTATGATGGTTTACAGAAGCGATGAAAATAAAGAGATAGCATAGGGTATATTGTCGGCCCTAAATATTAGGGATTTAGGTAAACAGTGTTCTTCCTGAACTAATAAATATTTTAGAAACTCCACAGACTTAATAATTCTTGTTGTATGTCATATACCTACATCATTATAATATTATGAACTACAGTCAAAATTCACTGTGTGTAACAGTGAACATGATCTCTACAGATTGATTATAATTTTAAAATTATTTGATTGTATGGAGGATTTCATCATGAGTTGACATTGGTTAGACAACTATTGGAAAATATGGGAGTACTGAACGGAAAGCAGCCCTATTCAGGTAGGTAGTTCCCTGAGATTCTAGTGAGAAGTCGTGACCAGTAGGGTGCAGCCGGTCGGGTTTGAGGACAAATACTCGCCACCGAAGACATTGGCTAGCGGTCGCGCTATATCGTGAGTTGGCAGAAGTTAGAATTCAAGGACTGGCCATTGGATCGGTTCCCAGTGGCTTAATGGTATACGAACTGGCTTGGCTTGTAACCGGAAGGTCCTGGGTTCGAACGATGGCGGTGGGTGCATACTGCGGAAGAGTCTCAAACCAGGACGGGGGAAACAGCTGTCCAGTACTCCCAGGCTTTCCTATGGTTCTCTAACTGAAGTCAGCTCATGATGAAAGCCTGAAACCAATCAAATCCCTGCAAACCAACACTTGAATACAAGCAATTGTTCTATGCGGTTAAAATGTTTTAAGTAAATAGAGAGAAAATACTAAAATACAAATATTACCACAGGGGATTATGCATCAATCTTTATAAAAATGGTAGGCAACTTAGCCAGAAGTAACCGTAGTTTAAATGACAGGACAAGAATTAATCGTCCTTTATTTCTAACAAAAAAGCAACAATAGATACTTGCCTGTAAAGGAAGTTCAGGATCCAATTCAAAGACTGGTAACTTCTTTGACCAAGGTTCAAATTTTTTGCTTACAGGATCAATAAAGTAGTCAAATATAACTCCATTAGTTGGGAATTTTACAGTTTTAAATTCAGTTACCCACCATTTACTGAATTCAACACGATGATCTACCAACTGGTCTTGAAACAGTGAACCACCGAATGCCCATACAGCACAAAATACAAAGTATAATTCATATAATTCTTTAGGACAATCAGGTGGCGTAATCTCTGGCGTTAAATGACAGTCAAGTAGATAGCACAACATTTGTACATGAGCAATTTCTGCGATTGGTGTAATTTTTTTAAAGCGTACACGTAAAACATCCAAACATGGTGGTACATATTTATCGAAGAGTATTTGTAAATTGGCTTGTTCGGATTGGAGTTCACGTGCAGCCAACCAACTAGATATAAATGGAGTTGTCCCAAGATCCTGACAGTAATGTGAATAATAATAATGATATAAATAGAATGATTGCATTTTTTTTAAAAACACACACAAATATTGAAACATATATAATTATTTATTATTATGATATCCTTTAATTCCTAGAGGAACATACGGGTTCAGCTGCTCACCTCCATTGCCTTCTGTTTCCTGCCAACTATTTCACCCCGCTCCAGGTCTGTCCACATGCTTTCATCTCCTCCTCTTCACATGACCTCCTCCAAGTCACTCCACCGTTGCACTGACGACCAACTCGCCACCTGCTTCCCTTTCGGCCAGGTTCCACACGAGCAATGGCTTGTCTAGTGATGTCACTCACTTGATGGTTAGTTTTCTCAGAGTATGGCCAGCCAATCCATCTCCATTTCTTCCTGCATATTTGTTTCACAATCGGTTCCTGCTGCGTTGCTTCGCTCATTCCCAGAGATCCCTCACTATCGCTGATCTTTTCTGGCCGGCCATCTGATCTTCAGTGGTACTGAGCGAAGACAACTGTTGATGAAGGTCTGGAGTTTGTTTGAGATGCTCTTTATGACGCGCAGTACAAATCTCTGATCCGTATAGTGAGTAGCACTGACTGACTTTACATTGGAGTTCAAAATCTGGATCTTATTTTTGATGTTGAGGGCTGTTGACCTCCACACAGACTTAAGAGTACTGAAAGCCTGTCTTGCTTTTCCGATTCTGGCTTTGATATCCTCGTCAGTTCCTTCGACCTGTAGTTGAAACGATGCTTCCCAGGTAGGTAGGTGAAGGAGGTTGTTTCTTTATGGTTCCTCCCATTTATGCTGGCTGATTGTCGCCTGTTGTTGTTGTTGCTGTGGCTGTTGGTGTTGGCCAGGAATCTTCATCACCTCTGTTTTATCTATATTCACCTGAAGTCCTTCCTATCTTCTCTGGATGTTTCTTCTGCCAACTTGTTGCTTTTCACTTGCATATCTTCCAGTTTGTGGGAAATCATACATATGTCATCATCGGCAAAATCGAGATCCTCCAAGTTTTTTGTGTGAGTCCATTTTATGCCTGTTTCCTCATTGCCCACTGTCTGTCTGTCTGTCGCATTATCCAATCTACTGGAATCAGGAAGATCATTGGTGATAGTAGACAGCCAGCTTGTCTCACTCCCGTCCTCACTTCGAAGGCTTCCGTAAGTTTCCCGTTGTGGATTACTTGTCATACAGCAGCATTGTCACATAACTGTTGGATGAGATGTATAATTGTCGGTGGGACCCCGTAGTAGCGAAGTAGTTGCCAAATGACCTCTCGATCGACGCTGTCAAAGGCCTTTTCAAAGTCGATGAAGTTGAGTAAGATAGAGAGGTGACTGTCATTCCAAGCTTTGTTCAATGATGATCCGTAGAGTGGCGATTTGATCAATACATGACTTGTTTCTCCTGAATCCAGCCTGTTCCGGTCGAAGTTTTTCATCCAGGTTGGCGTGTTTGATTCTCTCCAGGATGATGTGGCTCAGTATTTTGCTTGGAATGGACAGAAGCATAATTCCACGCCAGTTTTTGCATTGACTTAAGTCTCCTTTCTTTGGTAGTTTGAATAAGTATCCTTTTTTCCAATCCTCGGGTACTTTGCCCTCTTTCCACACCTTCTCCAGCAGTGGCGTCATCAAGTCCGCTGTTGTCTCTGGGTCTACTTTCAAAGCTTGTGCTGGGATTCCAACTGGTCCTGGTGCTTTCCCAGCTTTTAGCATCTTGACTGCATTCAGGACTTCTGATTTCGTCGGGGTGTGTGTTCACTGGTAGTTCTGCTTCCGTTGTTGGTATTGTTGGGCGCGTTGTAGGTGGCGGACGATTTAGAAGTCTTTTGAAGTGTTCAGCCCAGTGTTTTCTTTGTTCCACCTCTTTGGTGATTGACTTTCCATTGTCGTCCTTTATTGGCTTAATCTGTGTCGAACTTTTGCCCGAAAGGTGCCTAGTTGTTTGATAGAGTGTGGCGAGGTCTCCTTTTCATGCAGCTTGTTCTGCTTCGTTTGCCATGGTTTCATAATATTTTCTTTTGTCTTCCCTGGCACTCTTCTTTACTCTTTTGTTCAATGTATTGTAGCTTGCATTCAACTCCTGTTTTTGTTGCTCGTCGGTGCAATAGATAATCTTTTGTTTCACTATCCTTCTCTCTTTTATTAGTTTCCAAGTGTCCGTAGTGAGCCACTGTTTGTTCTGTCTCTGCCTTGCTACTCAGTATCTTTAAGCGTCAAATTTAAGGTGAACTGAGCTTTTGGAATTGCTTCATGAACTAATAAACACTCGACAGTGTAATCTTTTTATGCTCTTGTTTACTGATATATACATAAAAAATGTAACGTAAGTATGCAGGAGATCAGCGCATGTTAGCGTCGGTGGCGCAGCTGTTAGGACTTTCGCCAACCATGCACATGGTCCGGGGTTCGATCCCCTGCCAACGCACACATGATATCTATGATCGGCCTGCAAAATTTGGGCTACCGATATCCATGCAGAAAATTCCATACTTGTACCAAAAATACAGTGTGTGGAATCAAGCTGTAATCAAAAAGAAAATAAATAAAGAAACTTTCAGGGGTAGATGTGGCCGACAGATCAATGAAGTTGTTTCAGTTCATACTAATTCTATCAGACAACTTATTTTCAGGGGGAATATAAAGCCAGAATCATTGATTATGCTTGTCAATACCGCCATCAGCTTCGTCTATACAATATTAACATCTATTAGTAGCAGTCAAGAGAGATGATCAATGTTCATTAACGCAATCTTTACGAACCTGTTCATTCACAAAATGCTTATTGTAGCGCATAGAGGGAAGTGAAATAGAAACTTAGTTGAGCATAAAATATCTTGGAATAGTTCTTCCCTCCTACTTTCCTTGGTCACTACATATATTATTATTATTATTGCTCCTTTGGGTTCCTAGTGGAACATAGGGCTTCAACTGCACGTCTCCACTTGCCACTTCTGTCTTCCTTCTGCTGTACTTTTCGCCTGCATCCATGTTAACCCATATTCTTTCAACTCCTCTTCACACGATCTCCTCCATGTCACCCTTGCACTCACGACCCACTCGCCGCTTCCCTTTCGGGTTCCACTCGAGGGTTTGACGCGCGATGTCACCCAGCGGTCTCCTCAGCGAGTGACCGATCCATCTCCACTTTCTCCTGCATATTTGTTGTTGTTGGGCGATTGGTTCTTGCTTTGTTTGTCCCCATAATTCCTTGTTGGTGATTCTTTCCGGCTCGGCCATCTGATCTTCAGTATAGAGCCAGTGAAGACAGTTGTTAATAAAGGTCTGGTCTGCAACAGGCTGTTGGAAATATTCTTTGTGATCCACTCGCCAAGTTTCTGATCCGTATAGAAGAACTGACTTGACGTTTGTAGTGAAATTCCGACGGAATTTTGTTGTTGATTCTGGCTGAGTGACGAAGATTAGTTTCCAGATTGGCTGTTTCAGGTTGATGAATGTGTTTCTCGCCTTCCCGATTCTCGATTTGACATCTTCGTCCGTTCCTCCTGTAGTTGAGACAATGCTCCATATCTTGTTAATTTTTAATAAAAATGTTCCATCTAACCTACAACATTGAGAAGTTAAGACAACCTGGAATCATTCGACCTCAACTTCTAGACTTTGTTAAATCTTTCATCTTATCCAATTGTTCTTTTCTGCTCCCCCCCACACCACCCCTTAGTCTTTCCTGGGCTACTTGAAAGGGAATAATGTAATCTTGAGAAGGGTATTAGAGATTTGTCAGAAGAGTAAATTGCACTCCACTAAGTCAGCTGGTCACTACTACTGTAGTCGACAGACATCTGAGAAATGGTCTCTAAACCGATAATGTTTGACTTTCATCCACTCTCTTTTTTATTCACAACTTTCCTCTTGCATCTCTCATCAAGTAGAAGTAAAACTCATTCTAAAAGATAATATACGCGTACAAACAAATAGGGTACAAAATCTCAACGATACCCTATTTGACCCGTCCTTACTTCGAAGTAAGGACGGGAGTGAGACAAGGCTGCCTACTATCGCCAATGATCTTCCTGATTCCAGTAGATTGGATAATGCGACAGACAGACAGACAGTGGGCAATGAGGAAACAGGCATAAAATGGACTCACACAAAAAACTTGGAGGATCTCGATTTTGCCGATGATGACATATGTATGATTTCCCACAAACTGGAAGATATGCAAGTGAAAAGCAACAAGCTGGCAGAAGAAACATCCAGAGAAGATGGGAAGGACTTCAGGTGAATATAGATAAAACAGAGGTGATGAAGATTCCTGGCCAACACCAACAGCCACAGCAACAACAACAACAGGCGACAATCAGCCAGCATAAATGGGAGGAACCATAAAGAAACAACCTCCTTCACCTACCTACCTGGGAAGCATCGTTTCAACTACAGGTCGAAGGAACTGACGAGGATATCAAAGCCAGAATCGGAAAAGCAAGACAGGCTTTCAGTACTCTTAAGTCTGTGTGGAGGTCAACAGCCCTCAACATCAAAAATAAGATCCAGATTTTGAACTCCAATGTAAAGTCAGTCAGTGCTACTCACTATACGGATCAGAGATTTGTACTGCGCGTCATAAAGAGCATCTCAAACAAACTCCAGACCTTCATCAACAGTTGTCTTCGCTCAGTACCACTGAAGATCAGATGGCCGGCCAGAAAAGATCAGCGATAGTGAGGGATCTCTGGGAATGAGCGAAGCAACGCAGCAGGAACCGATTGTGAAACAAATATGCAGGAAGAAATGGAGATGGATTGGCTGGCCATACTCTGAGAAAACTAACCATCAAGTGAGTGACATCACTAGACAAGCCATTGCTCGTGTGGAACCTGGCCGAAAGGGAAGCAGGTGGCGAGTTGGTCGTCAGTGCAACGGTGGAGTGACTTGGAGGAGGTCATGTGAAGAGGAGGAGATGAAAGCATGTGGACAGACCTGGAGCGGGGTGAAATAGTTGGCAGGAAACAGAAGGCAATGGAGGTGAGCAGCTGAACCCGTATGTTCCTCTAGGAATTAAAGGATATAATAATAATAATTATTATTATCAGTTTTGGCTACTTATATCCCGTAATGTTTCTTGTTTTTGTTTTTATTAATTATTTCGAGGCAATATTATACCACATATGCTTAGAATTTGACACTGTACCATAGGTACTGTTTTGGAATAAAAGCAAATCACTATTACTAATTCACATCAATGTATGCTGATAGATAAAGACATCAATTTGACTGGGGAAGAATGAAGAACCCTTAAAAGCAGAGTTCCCAGAAGTCTGTTACTCCGATGAATTTATTACTTATGTCAGATCTATATGGTAAAACAACAACAAGTCACATTGAAAAAATAAGTCAAATATGAACTTAGCCAAATGATCACTACACACTGCCACAAGTGACCAAGAGGGTAAAAAACTACAGAGAGATAAAATCACCTGAATGCGTGCGTGGATCATCTCATGTACTTTCGGAATCTTTATTCGTTTATATATATAATAATAATAATTTTTCCTTCACGTTCCCAGTGGAACATAGGGCTTCAACCTGGAGGCTTGAAGTTTCTGTAGCAGTGTTTATTTTTACAGGATGGGGTTGCTAGCCTCATGCCCAGTCTTTCCCCTTTACCAGCTTTATTTCTGGTTTAGCGAGGTAAAGGAGTGCGTCGGTGGCCGAGGTTCGAACCCCGGACCATGTCCACGGTCGGCGAGCGTCCTAACCGCTATGCCACCGGCGCACCGTTTATATATATACGAAAAAAATTCACATCTCTATCAACCAAGGTAAACATTTCTACAGTATTCAGGAGCTGACATTTTAGTAGACAAGGCTGCAGAAAAATCTATGAATATCTGAACAGAACGAATTAATTCCTTTCCACAGTTACAAATAAGCAACATGCTGATTTGTGCAAGATGATGGAGAACACTCAGTCAACCATATTCTAAATACTATTATTCGCTTATTTAATTGCCGAATAACCCGTAAGCAGCCCACGCATATCGATAAACACATCGACAAGGCGTCAGAGCTTAGTAGGAGTTCATACGCCGGTAAGTTGTAGTATGAGAGTCTTGTTAATCTGTAAATATGGATCAAGTACAGAAAGTGTTAATTGAGACAGTCCATCCTGTCACTTTGAAAAGGGACTGAAGTCATGACTTTTTTTTTCATGATTCTTTTTGCCTTCTATTTCGTTAAAATTGTAGTAAAACTATTAACTTTCATTATTTCGGTTGTTAGCTGTGGATAAGATTATATCAGTAGGATAGAATAGTTCCATTTTATCCCTGCATCATGTGTATTGTGTTGTCATTACTTCGTTCAAATGTTTCCTCAGGGGGAATTCATATACCAAATTCATTAGGATTCAGTAGGACTTATTTCGAATTATTATGGTATATTTATTAGTAACAAAATGTTCAAAATACCATATTCAGCATTCTGACCATCCATCCATTTCCACCAAAAACATTTTCATTCAACTTTTATGATGCGAATGGAAGGTCTCATATGGTTTTCAAGTTTTGTTTTTCAGGAATTTTAATTGGTGGTTACAGATTTGATTATTAGGTGAGATATCAGTTGGAGAAAAAATCATTGAGGAACCAGGGAGTTGAATGAATAACTGTTTCATCCTACATTGAGACTATTCAGCAGTATGAACTCACCGGGTTCAGAACCCAGGACCTTTCGGTCAGAAGGCGGGCTTAGAGACGACAGTTCAACCAGTGGAATGGGATCTAGAAGGCTCAGGAATAAACCGGAATGCAGTTGAATATTCTCTAGATGGTATATAAGAAATAGTGACACATTTCCACATCTTTGGTCAGATTCCACATCGTAAACCAACCCCTCGAGTGGAGCCCGAATAAGGAAACGACGAGTTAGGCGTCACTGTGAGGGTTACATGGAGGAGATCGTGAGGAGTCATGGAGGCGACTACTGAAAAAGAATGCAGAAGAACAGGGAGAGATGGAGATGTGCTGCTGAAGCCCTATGTTCCATTCTAAACCCAATGGAATAATAATAATCCTAATGATACTTCATACATTTTATTTGTGTTCGAATAATAAATTCTGAAGTAACCGTCTAAAGTGTGGGACGCTTAAGGAGCCTTACAAACATTCTCCTCATTAGCCCCCCTTACGAGAGGTTCGAATACAAATGAAATCAAATGATGCAAGGAAAGAACAAGTTGAATCCTTTCGTAGAGTTTGAAGGAAGAAATGAAACTACACACTAGTTGATAGAAGAATGCGCCTAAAAACAGCTCGACGAAAGAAGACGAATCAGTAGTAGTTGTTTTTGAGTGAGTTAAAACGTAGTGTTGAAGCATACTACACTTCAAATTGTTAGATTTCCATCAGTAACCAACATCCATTAGAAAACAAAAATTGAAAAAACACCAGAGAGCACTGAACAGTTGTTTTGTCTTTTGTTGCGACACTGTTCAGAAACACTCACCCACGACCGCATTAGGAATAGGACCCAAGAATCTTCAGGTTATGAAATCAAGCTCGTTGACCATTCATCCACTTGGGCTGGAATTCACTAACCTATGAATTCTAACTTTGTCAACTCATGAGCGATTTAACGTTACTCTCACCAGTGCTTTCGATGGGAATCCACTTCAACTTTGGCACAGTGGACCCCATTGGTCTGTCTGCCTGTCTGTTTTCGGCATAAAACTTTGCACATATGTGCGCCAGTTCAAGTCGCCACACTCCCTCCATGTAGCACACAGAGCAACAGAAGAAAGTACAAGAAACGCACAATAGGGAGACAGTAAACAGAGGTGTGAGACAAAGGAATAGTAGTAACGAAGAACAACATAGTTTAATTGGAAAATCATAAGTCACAGGGAGTGGATGCATCTGCGCCAGCCACTGAGAACGATTTTGAGCCATGTCACCAATTGTTTCCAACCATCGGTTTTTACCGTCCCGAGGACCCCAACCAGTCATGAAGTCTACACCTTCCTACGTGGCTTAGACTAACTGTTGTGGATTTCATTGACTGGTTAAGCCATGTTTTTGTTTGACCTCCACTAGCTCTTTTCCAGCCTGACCCTGTATCCGCTAACATTGCCCATTAGTCGAGGAAGGCGATGACTAGGCAGGAATGCGTAACACATGTCCTAACCATCTCAGTCTTCGTAACTAACTTCACAACTTCGTCGATTGATTTCCCCTGTTTACCTAGAACTCGACCAACGCCTAACCTCAATATTGCTCACCTTATTATGCCACTTAACACACACGGGAAATAGAGCGCAGGCACCTATCATCAAAGACAACTAGCTAATCTTTTCATGTCTTCCACTCTCAGAGACCAGGTCTCACAGCTAGTCATAAAGGAGGACGGAGTGGACTGATGAGCAGTTCATCCGCCCTTTGGTCGATAGCCAGCCGGATATCTCGTCTACACAAGAGACGGCGTAAACTGGACCCCATTGAACTGATCAGTTGGTTCATGATGCGAAATCTAACAAGTGAAATTAATCCCAAATCTTTACAAATCCTATAATCTGAATACCGGATTTCTTTAATCACATTATTATCATTATTATCAAATGGGTTGACCTGCCTTATGGAAGTTATTTCCACACAGCTTTGAAAATAATAATGTTGAATGCATTAAAGTGCAAAGTTATGCTTCAAGTAAAAAAACAGGTTTCTACATCAGCATGCATAACTTCAAATTAAAAAAACAAACAAACAAACGAGTACATTTCACTTACTTGTGGATTAATATACAATATTCCAGCACGTGATACAGTAGCTGGTGTAGCCGTTTTCAAATGACTTATTTCAAATAGTAAACGCATTGTAGGAGTAAGTGGAATACGTTCATTGCTAGCCAGCGTTAAAACCTTGTTATCATCCATAACTGTATTCAATGATTCAATCCACATCGGGTCAATATCACCATCGAGTACAATCCATTTAGGTCCATCATGTGTTAAATTGGCTAAATCTCTCATGATAACCGAGAATAAACCATCTTTCCATTCACGTGTAGCTGGATTAATAACACCAAAGAGTTCATCGTTTGTAACCGCCTTTGGATCTAAGTCAACAGCAACTGGTTTCTTTTTCATATTTAAATTTGTACGATATAATGTTTTCCATACCATTGACTTGCCTGTACCAGCATTACCTAACACAAACACCGAATGTCGTACAGCGAACAATTCTTGAAGTTGTATAGCCTTCAGAACAAAATTATCCTCAGCTTGTAATTTCAAATCGATTGCAGCTTGTCTCACTTGTTTTTCAAGTTCTAAATCTCTTTTTCTCGGCACATCTAAGGCTGGAAATAAATCTCCAATCAAACCCATAAAAACAGGCAAATCATCCGTAACAATTTTAGGAATGTTAAAGTCACGCAGCGCACGCATAAGTACTTGATCTTCTGGACGACCTGGATCACTACGTTTCAAAGCACCAGCTACAACCAACACTGATTTGATAGCTCTTAAACCCCAATCATAATGATCTTGTTTAGATAATAATTCTTTGCATAGTTTATAAAGTGTAAGAAATTTTCTAGCTAACAGTCTTGCATCTGTAAAACCTTCAGCCACCAACATAATTTCACAAATTAACTCAAAATCTGGTACAACCATAGCACATGGACGAAATAACGCCTTCAAATTTTCTGGTAATTCAGCACGTCCAGCATAACCAGGATTCATTGTAATGAATATACCAACAGTTGAATCTAAGCTAATCTCTTCACCTAAGAAATTGAAACGTTTCTTTTTATCTCTTATAGCATCTTGTATGCATTTGACTTGTACAGCTACAACAGACAATACTTCTACAGATATACGATTGAATTCATCAAAACAACCCCATGCACCAGACTGTGCTAATCCTTTGTAGATATTACCAATAGACTTATAATCCATTTGTTCTGAACAATTAAACACATAGACCATAATGCCTAATGCTCGGCCTAAATCTTTTGTTGTCTCTGTTTTACCTGTACCAGCTGGTCCAGCTGGTGCACCACTCATTGTTAAATGCAGCGACTGAGTCAATGTGATATAACAACGATCTGTCAGTGGTGTAATAACCAATCTTGGTGTATTACCAAGGTATTCATGTGCATAACGGAATTGTGCATCACAGATATTGATAAAACAATCCTGGTGTTTTTCATCCCAACGATGTCTCAGTTGACTTATCCATGTAAATGATAAGGCATTGTCAATTTTCTGTGAAATCAATTTACTGACAACATCACGATTATGGACGTCAATTGTACAAATAGTCATGACTTTTTGACGATCCTGTGAATTCATTTCACCAATTAATAAGGTGATTAATGCATTCAATTGTTGTACTTGTTTCTTATTATAATCTTTCAGTGCATTTTCATAGCCTTCTTCTAATCGAGCAAAATTTATGTTGACTTCTGTTGACCAGCCAATCTGTGAGCCAGCCAATGATACTTGAGCAGGATAATCGAATAACCATTGGTCACGGGCTTTTTCTTCATAAGATGATACAGCCTCTGATAGATAATGTCGGATTGTGGCGCGCATTTCATCTAACAGCTTATTCAGCCATACTTCAACTTGTCCATCTAAATTAACATCTTTAGACAATTTCACTTCTTCGCCATCTTTGGCGCCCATTTGATAAGCAATTTTTGAATTTCCCTTACCACCGTCTGATTTTGAACGGAATTTCAGTGTAGCCATTGAATCGAATAATTTTGTTAAATGCTTAGTAACTTGTTCTGGTATATTACCATTGGACAAAATATCCAGTAGATCAGTTGGTGATACAAAGTAGAATCGTGGAAATGCTAAACGTTTCGTTTCCAGGTATTCAGCTAACGCTTTTTCGCATAAAACTAAATCTTTTTGGATTACTTCTAAGCGTTCATAGAGATTCGGTCGACTAGTCGCCTTGATAACATTACGATCCAGTCCAACTTCACTGACTAACTGACGAAAATCATGATCAATTCTGTCAAATCTTAACGAATCTTGTGGTAGTTGTTTACGTATATCTTCTGAACCGATAAATATTGATTCTAAGTGTGACCATGTCCGTTGTACTTCAAACCAGATTGTAATCACTTGATCAGCAGTGGAGAGTTTTTTCTGCCAGGCTGAAACATCATCTAGAAAATAGGCAATGTATTTCGACGTCATCATATTCTGTAGTTGAACTTGATTTTCTTCAAGAGTTTCAATTAATTCTTCACTTGCTTTCAATAAAGCTAAATTAGTCCGTGGATGCACGTCTTGTTCAAATGTCATCTGTGACCAGGTAGTGTGTAATTCTTTCAGCACCTTCTCCATACTCATTTCTTTAACAGATTTATCCACTAAATTGCGTACTTCATCTTCAAAATGATGTAAATTTAAAGATAATAAATCCATTAGAGTAGTCCCCGCACTCATTTCAAATTTAACGCCTGTAGCCTTCATCAATTGTATCCAATGTCTATCACGTATAGCTGGATTTTGTAATTCACTTACTGCTCTCAACGAGGTTAGCATATTCTTCACTTTATCCTCTATACCAATATATGCATCCCATGCACGCAATTCTTTATCTAAACCACGTAAATCTTTGGCGAATTTTTTACAATCCAAATCTAATTGTTCAACGTTCACTGATCGCCATGAACTAAGCGTCCAGTTGTGTATACTTGTCTGTATTAAATTAATATAATCCCATAGAATTTTAAGCAGCTTTAATTCTTTACGACATTGTTTAATTTGTTTAAACTCTGGTACATTGACTTCGAATAAACTAGCCGATGTAAGCAGATTAGTCATTTCAATTTCTAGTTGTAATAAACTATGATGATTCTATTGTGGGGAAAGAAAATTGAAAAAAAAGAGCGAGAAAGAGATGAAGAAATGAAAAGCAGAGAATAACTGAGTAAAATGTATTCTAGATATAATATGTGTTAACACAAGCTAAGTATTCATAGTTTTTTAAGTGTTGGTTTGTAGGGATTTGATTGATTGGTTACAGGATTTCATCATGAGCCGACATTAGTTAGAGAACCATTGGAAAATCAGCCACAGGGAGTACTGGACAGCTGTTTCCCTCGTCCTAGTTTGGGACTCTTCAGCAGTACGCACCCACCACAGGGATTCGAACCCAGGACCTTCCGGTTACAAGGCGAGCTGGCTCGTATACCATTAAGCCAAAACATAATCAGAGCTTTATACTTTATACGGTTTGAACCTCAGAATTATTTTTAGTGTATGAATGGGGTTGGTGCGAAGTTGAATTCAAGTCTATCTAACTGGCTGCACAACTGTTTTTATACCACAGAATTTTGATTGAAAAGTGTATGCATATAAATTTTTCACTTTCTAAACAGTAAGATGGTTAATATTACTTTGAATGGACAATAGTCAGTAACTAGTTGTAATGTGTCAAATCCTTTGTTTAGTGTAGACTCAGTTCTGTCAAGTAGACCTCGCAGTGTGACCACTATTCTAGGTTGCTCGGCATCACGATATACTGTCCTGTGAATTGTTCATATTGGGTGATTGGAAGCAGTCGGCAAGAAACCCTGCCTAGACCTAGGTTTTGTGCTAGTTGGCACTCATCAACCAGTCAGCAAGACGTATCTGTAAAACTCGACTGGTAGAATTCAGTCTGCAACAAACAAACGACTAGATAGATACAATCAAAGTATCCACTACAGTTCTATAGGAGGTCAGTCGTGAGTCCGAATAGCTCAGTGGTAAGGTCTCTCTCTCTCTGTCTGACTGTAGCACTGACTGAGTGACGTGGGTCTAAATGTCACGGCGGGGGGGGGTGACATGAGTTCCTTCACGAGTGCAGATAAGCTTTTCTGACTCATGAGTGCCGAGAAGTGCAAGACCTAGGTTGATCATGGCCCTCTGCTGACTGCCTTCAACAATCTAATATCGATGTTCACATTATTTTTAATTAGTTTAGTTTACGACCACCACACACCGCTAATCATAACCTGTTGCTTCTTTTACTTCATGGTTTCAGAGGAGATGAAGTTCTCCTTGATCAACAAACTGAAAACACGATGAATAACTGTTGACTGGAACCTGACTGTGTTTTAAAGAAAGATGGTAGCATAAAAAGAAATTTGCATAGAAAAAGTACTTGGACAACAGGACAATATACACACACACACATTTTCACAGCTTCGTTCCTATCAAGTACAAAAGAAATTTAGTGAAGACCCTCAGCCACAGAGTTAGAGCTATATGCTCAGAAGAAGTAATTGAAGATGAATTAAGCATTGTGTATGATACTTTGGCTGATCGAAAATGGCTATCCCGACAAATTTATCAAGAAACATATGGCAAAGAAAGAGGAAAAGGAGCACTCACTATCTGTAAAAAAGAAGCCTCTTTGTATACGACTACAATTCATGGGCGATATACCAAGCGAGATAGTTGCGAAGAAATTAAGAAAATCAGTTCAAAGAACTTTTACTGTTGGCGGCGAACTACACGTCTTATTCTCTCTCTACCCGACCGATGGTGATTCCTCGACTGAAATATGAAGTACCTAAACTAGCTAGCCACTTCTAATTGTATCTATCAATTCAACTGCGCTTGTGGAGCCAGTTATATTGGCCGTTGCTCTAGGAACTTGATTTTTCGTGCTCGAGAACATCGCCCAGTATGACTGAGTAGAGGTGTAGTGAAAAGTATTAACAGCTCGATATTGGACCATCTGGTGCAAACCAGCCGGCCACAAAGCCAGCCAGCGTAGATGAATCCTCTATATTATACCGGGTGCCAAATAAATTACCATAAACATCGAAGCACCACAGGCTCCAAACACCAGAGGCTATTGCGATTCGCCTTAAACAATCAGAACTCTGTGTCCAAAAGAAGCGAGTCCAGCTAGCCCCTACTATTGCCCTGGCCAGCCTTCAGTAGAAGCTATAAACTCATGAATTTGTACTATTATCTTTCTTAATGTTTCTGACATTCAGCTTACTCTATGTTGATGCGATTCAGGTGTAATTTATCAATATTATTGATTTGATGTTATCTAAACAGGGTTAATGTCGTTCATAACACTAATTCATTCATTCACTATTATGTATGTATAAATGTAGAGCCTGATGATCCATTCTTTAAAAGAAAAAGATTTCTACCGCATATATATATATATATGTAGCCAAAGATAACGCCTTTTATTATAACCCACTCAATCTCTAAATTGTCATTTCGTCTTCATTAACTAAATTAATCCTAACGGGTGAAGTTAAAGTAGCATAGATAGCCAAATTCAAGGTTTGTCAAAAGTTGACTTGCAAGAGGCAGTTAGATACAGGGAATGCTTTATTTTGATAAGTCACTCCGAGTCAAATCATGCCTACCGTTTTGGATTCAGTGAGCGTATATACAGTGTTCTACTTATTCTCTAGGGGTACTTTTTCTTCAAATCTACACCACTGCTGAATAGGGTTATTGTTTTTAAGCTAAATGAAATCTTCACTACAAAATGCAATAGAACTTCAGAAGCCAGAAACAAAACAGAAAATGATTTAGCCCGCCCTAAAATGTCTGAGAACTAAGTAGTATATTTAAGAGATAAATAATAAATGTGTAGTTTTTAAAGTCGTATAAAGTGTTATACTAGTAATTCAGTCCGGCGGCCTGTTTCAAACTTAGGCTATCAAAAACTTCCATCTGTATGTTGCATATAATTTCAGTTTGTTTAAATCGAGTAAAGTATGATCTCCAGTAGTCCTGTTTACTCAGGCGAGTATTTAAAAAAAAAAAACATTTACAACCTGCTGATTCGCGAGTGTTCTACAGCATTAGCCCCTCTCGGTGGCAGCTTATCCCAGTGTACGTGAGATGTTCCTGAGTGGTGTGTCCTTGCTTCATAAAATGTAGTGCTGAAATTTTTACAATTGGCTTTCGATCAAAATGTCATGTATTTCCAGAGGGAGAGAGAGAAAATATAAATCATTATGGATTGGTTTGCTCTTGAAGTTATTCAGCATTGTATCAAAGGATCTACTATCAGCAAATATATTTTATCTGAATATTCTGTATGAGGAGGGGATATTATTCAATGCATTCGGCTAAAAATTCTATACATCATATAGACCTTGTCAAGAATACAGCGATTATTTGTTATAGTAAAAAATTGGCAGTTAAAACCAGTGATTTATCATAACTCGGGAATGCACGAGTTCAGAGTGTTCTTTCGCCCTATAATATATATACAGCCAAACTAGGCGTTTAACAAATACCCAGTTCATCAGTGTGGAAAAGACATTGAATTCCTAAATATTCTAGGAAGTAAAAACACAGTTTTTGTTCAGCGAAGAAATATGTTTATGAGTCTTGCATTCAAAGGTGATACCATTTCAAAATTGATTAAAAATCGTTTATCTAAATGTGTTAAACGCACTTTCCCTGCAGCTGACCTGCAACTAGTTTTTACCAGCCGAAATATGATTAGACAATGTGTCAAGGATAGATTACCGCTTTTGTCCACATCTATGTGCATTTACTCTTTTACATGCTCTTGTGGAGCTGTTTATATTGGACGTTGTAAGCGTAATCTCCGAAAACGTGTAGCTGAGCACACACTATCCGGTTTGGTTAATGAAAGGCGAACGTAGAACTGTAAAGCCGTCTATTTGTGATTACCTGTTAGAGTCTGGTCATTTAGCCCCACGTGATTCATCCTTCAAGGCTTATCTACATGGCAAAATCGAATCGATCCAAAAGTCTGCGTTTTCTTCACTTATGCATAGCCGAAGCTTTAGCTATACATGAACAGAAACCTAAATTATGTGTTCAAAAGCGTTTTGTCAAACCCCTTTCTTTCTTTACCTTGGTCATAGTAATTAATGTTCTTTCTAGTTTTTTTGATTGTTCCACTTGAATTCTTTCTACTTCACTTCACATCTTCATTCTTATCGTAATCGTACTCCTACTTTTCAAAATTTTTAGACAACACTTGACATTTTTGTTATAAAACAATCTTTAATATTTTTGTAATTTATCCACTTCAACTCTACCCCTCATAACTTTTATCACATATATACGTACAGTGACTGAGCAATTATTTAGTGCCACTTAATAACCACCTTTTTCTGTAATATAAATACGACTGTACAGCTTGAAAATGAAGTCGTTGAAAAGAAATTTCTTCGCTGAACAAAAGAGGAACTGTGTTTTTACTTATGAATAAATGGGTATTTTTCGAGATTCTAAGAAGTCCAAACCATATATACATGGTGGTATTTAATAGGATCAAGCTAGCCATTAATGAGGCCCAATTTCGACGTCCACAATGGACAAGCCTACATGCCTGCACTTGTGTTTCATTTCACATATTCGTTATTACATTATGAACCACCTTTCATTGCAGTCTGACTATCTCCTCTGTAATACACACACCACTGTGTAATGGGCTTGTCACTCACCTGACACCTATTGTAACCTTGAGCTGACTTATTTGTCAATTTTCCTACCCCACAGTCTACACATCTAAGATGACTATTCACCACCACCACCACCACCATTGCCTCCCATCTCACCATATCTTCTATTCGATTTCAGGTTTTCCAGTGGTTCTCTAACTGATGTCAGCTCACGATTAAATCCTCCATGCAATCAAACAAAATCCCTACAAAAACCAATACTTGAAAATTCATCTGATGCTCACTAGTGACTGGCCCTATTCAGGCAGTTAACCTGGGGTTCTAGTGGGAAGCCGTGACCACTAGGGTACAGCAGGTCGAAGATGAGGCAGTAACTCATCTAAGAAGACATTGCGAAGTGGTCGCGCTATGTCGTGAACTGGCAGAAGTTAGAATTCAAGGACCATTGGATCGGGTCCCAGTGGCTCAATGGTCTACGAGCTCGCCTTGTAACCAGAAGGTCCTGGGTTCGAATCCCGGTGGGTGTGTACTGCTGAGGAGTCCTAAACTAGGACGAAACGGCTGTCCAGTACTCCCAGGTTTTCCAGTGGTTCTCTAACTGATGTCAGCTCACGATTAAATCCTCCATGCAATCAAACAAAATCCCTACAAAAACCAATACTTGAATATTCGATTTCAGCCTAGAAAGATGTTTCTCACAAAATTACTACTATTTATTTTGTCACCCAATCAATAACTGGTCTGTTTTTCTACGTAAAAAATATATATCTGCTGCATAACTGGCCATTATTATTGTAACGACGATAAATGCTATATGTATTTTATAATTGTGAGAACCTGAAGAGGAGAAATTATTGAAAAGGATATTTTTCTTATATATGTCCAAACCAAGTTTATTTTTAACGGTTTGAAAAAATTTAGGCATTGGGTATATGATATTCATTATAATAGAGGTTTTTTTTGTATTTCCCAATGAATGAAAAACAAAACGATATTATTGCTCTTACTGACTGACGTTTCGCTATTTAATCCTGCTGCTAATAGCTTTATCAAAGCAGTATTATTAGTTCAACTTAAAAGGACATATTGAAAGTCAAAATAACAATGAAGATCGTTCAAACCAAATATCAAAGGTAATAGTATATCTGTTATTATATCAAAACAAAGTTTACTAACTTGATCGTCGTTCGTTAGTCTGGGTCGTTTTTTGTTGTCAAGCTGGCGAACTGGTAAAGATAACAAAGTCAAGTGTAGAATGTTGGATTTTATCAGTGTGTAGAATTACGAAAGTAGTGTGTGTTTACATAGTGAACTTGCTTATCACACTTGTGTTGATTTTGTTACTTCATGGGGGATGGTGGAGGTGTTGTAGCCAGGTCAGATTCTGTTTTAGTCCATCATTCTTATTCAGTTCAGGCAATTTGGATTCCACTTGATATGAAGTGCTTCTGATATCAGACGTTCTTTGTGGTTTCTGAAGTTTTTCTGGATGACGATTTCAATATTGTCAAAATCAATTTTGTGGCCTGATTCTATAGCATGTAGACCTATGGCTGATGATTTTTGAAGTTTTTCTAGTTCAATTGGATTTCTTGCTGGTTGAAGAGATGCTCTACGGTGTTTATTTCTTCTGATTTTGATTTCTTGAGATGTTTGTCTTTGTTTGTTTTGTTATCTTTACCAATTCTCCAAATTGAAAACCAAAAATGATCCCAGACTAACGAAAGATGATCAAGTTAGTAAACTTTATTTTGATATAATAACAGATATACTATTACCTTTGATATTTGGTTTGAACGATCTTCATTGTTATTTTGACTTTCAATATGTCCTTTTAAGTTGAACTAAGTCTACATTTTTTCTCACCCCTAACTTTTTGTTATATATATGCTGAGTGGATTTTGTAAATTCCGGTTTAATAATACTGCTTTGATAAAGCTATTAGCAGCAGGATTAAATAGCGAAACGTCAGTCAGTAAGAGCAATAATATCGTTTTGTTTTTCATTCATTGGGAAATACAAAAAAACCCTCTTTATTATAATGAAGGATATTTTTCGTTTGGATTGACTTTTAAATGTGTTTTTTGTTTGACAAACTTGATGTACACATATATACAAAATAACTCATATATGTATTTGCGATTTTGGTGTGGTTGTATTCTCTGAGCTGGCTGGATGGTTAATTTGCGAAGCTTTCATCACCCCGCCTTACTAGGCGACATCTTCCTTCAGCGCATACTTCAATTTGAATTGAAGGGAGCTTTTAGATTTCTCCACGAGTTTTATATTAATCATCTCTCCTCATAACCGACAAGAAAGAAACCTACACACACACACACACACACACAAAGAATCAAAGTTCAAGTCAAAGAAACAATCAGTTCCAATACAAGTAACCTAGAAGGTGTGAAAACACACAAAAACAACCAATCACGATGTCCAAGGTCACCCACCAGGAGAGATGATTAATAAACTCTTGGAGAAATCTGAAAGTTCCCTTCAATTCAATAAATTGAAGTACGCGCTGAAGATGTTGCCTAGTGGTGGGGCGATGAAAGCTTCGCAAATTAACTATCCAACCAGCTCAGAGAACACAACCACACACCTAAAATCATTCACCTGAGCTACATATCTTATCTGTCATATCTATATTTGCGATTGTACAGCTAATAAAATGAATTAACCAAAAAGAGTCTTTTCGCTGAACTACGTGTTTTTTGCTTTCATAATAAGTGTTGTAAGCTATTGATAGCTTTAAATTATTATTATTATTATTTACCATCAAATCTTGGTATTTACAAGTAATATTATAGTTTGGCAGTTTACACCTTGCAGCTTACCTGCATTTATTCTCAGTGTTATGATAGGTGTCCAACGTGTCAAACAGTATCCTTAAATTGTCCTCGTTTTAGGCAGAAACCATTATAAGGTATGGCATTTGGAATGGACCTAGTTGAGTCACATTGTCTATTAAATCTTGTAAACACTTGACTTCATTACATAGGATACAATCTCAGTCTTGCACTGACTAGGAAATAAGTGACTAAGATAACTTGGGGTGGGGGGCGTTTTAATATTGATTTAGTTAACAATTACTGTTAACTGATAGAACTAACCTGCAACTATTTATGTCATCCATTGGTTGGTGTGTCGGTGTCACAACGGTAGAATGCTCTCCAACGACACAGGTGGTTCGGGGTTCAATCCCCGACCAACGCACTCTTTTACACCTCGCTTAACCTAGTAATATGACTCTTGTAAGCACAAGAGGATGGGCATTAGGACCAACGGCCACAACCCAATAAAAATAAATACCACTGCTATCCAAACTTCAAAAAAAAAAATAAACCTCTGACTTGAAGCCCTACGTTCCACTGGGAAAGTAAAGGAGAAAGAAAAAATTAAAAGAATAATTGTAAAAATTACCTTGTCAATAATTTCATAAGGATTTCGACAATTATAATTGAATGGTGTAATTTTTCGAAATTCTTCACGGTATACATGTTGTTTCACATCGAAGTTGGCGCATTTACGGCGTATATTAGCAACTTCATTATTTTGTAATGGTGCAACTGTTTGTTTCATCAGTATAGCCTGTTTCTTAACGTTGTTCCACTTTTCAGGTAGAGTCTAAATGATGAGTAAAAAGTGCAGTATACTACTAATTAAGCGAAATGAACAGAATGTTTTTGACAAAGAAGACTTGAAGAAAAAGTAGTTTTAATAATAATAATAATCACTTTATTCCACAACAATAACAATTTACAGCATGGAATTTTCAGCGTTTCTTTTACATATTGCAATGGTTTAGCTCTGTTTATAATTATATAAATGTATAAAATGTTAAAATATTGATAGTTAATAGGAAAAAATAAAACCCCAACAAAATCACACCATTGCTAGGTCATAGTGAATAATAATAAATAAATAATATAACAAATACATGCATTAATATGCATCATTACATTTTATAGTTTAGTTAATGATTTAAAAGTTGTAAAAGTTCTTTTCTGATATTTGTCTCTTCACACAATACTCGTGCCAAATATGGAACGGTCGAATTTTTATATTTTGTAGTACGAGCATAAATGTTTATAAAATTTCTTCTGGTCTTACCCGAAGAGATACAAGGAAACAATTGTGAATAAAGAGGATGTTCACTATCAGATAAGATAACTTTAGCTAAGTGTTTACAAGAATTCATATGCCTATTGACAACAGTGTCATTTAGTTGAGTCAAAGGGATAGCACTGACCCTACTTACAGCCCTCAATGTTCTTCGTAGTATTATATGGTCTTTCTTGAGTAGCCCAGGGAAGAATAATGGAGAACAATAAAGAATGATGGGCAAAACACATGAATTAATAAATTGTATGAGAAGAGATTGGGTTATACCTGAGTGCCTCAACTTCTTTATGTAATAAGTCAGACGGAAAACTTTCTTAGAAACTATAAGAATATGAGACGACCAGCAAAGGTTTGAAGAGAAACTAATGCCAAGATAAGAAACACTTGACTTACTCTCTATCATGGTACCATCAATATTACAACAATCATGAGATTTGATCAATCCATGCATGTCTTTTTCACTTCTCAAGCTGAAATCAACAGTGTTACATTTAGTTGGATTTAGTTTAAGACCATTTGAGCCAGACCAATCCTTAACTTCAGCTAAGAAGCCATTCATATGGGAACAATCCGATGTGGAAACTACAGGGACAGAAACGGTCAGATCATCAGCATACTTAATGAAGTTAACTTTGGGTGAGTTCGGAAGGTCATGCAAAAAGAAAGAGAAAAGAAATGGAGAAAGTACTGCACCTTGAGGCACACCACTTTCAGTTAGCTGAGAAGTGGAGCGCTTTCCAGCCAAAACAGTATGCTGTTTCCTATCCTTAAAATAAGAAGACAGCCATCTAGTTGCCCAGGACTCTGTTTGTGCTGAAATCATCTTTCCTAATAAAAGTGTCCTAGGAACAGAGTCGAAAGCTGCAGTATAGTCTAAAAAAGCTGTTCGAACGAACTTAGCACCCTTATCAAGGCAGGAAACAATATTGTGGTGTAGTACAATGGCTGCATCTAATGTACTTCTTCCACACTTATAAGCAAACTGCTTAGGGTCACTAAAAGCTTTTAAAGAAGGTTTAAGAATATTCAAAAGAAGTTTCTCCATAGTTTTCAAAAAAGGAGATGTTATAGCGACCGGTCTAAACTTTATACCTGCTCCAGAAGATGATTTCTGTACAGGTACAACCTTGATTTCTTTCCAGTCAGCAGGTACCGTTTCCCTGTTAAATGATGCGTTAAAGATTTGAGTAAGAGGATGACACAAGATGTCTGCACACTTTTGAAGAAGAATGCTTGGTGGTGTAATACAGACAATATCTTCCAAATGAATATTATTCTCACATATTCCCACAGTTCAATTCAGCATTAGCAAGAGAATACGATAGATATATTTGAACATTCTATTTCATGTCGTTTAATGTGGTAAACCAAAATCACACGCTCAGTGACTGGTTAGAGATCACAAACTGTAGACATATAAACAGCAGTTTGTTCAGTTGGAAATATCACCTTCACTTCTGTGTCTTGCCTTCTGCGGTTACAGTCTTACTGTCAATTTTATGCCTTCAGGCTTGCCTGCCTGTTTGATAGAATTCACTCTTACTTCAAAACCGGATAGACAGTACTACTCTTGATGATTTGAAATTGCTTGATGGTCATATGTTTTCATCCCTGTCGTCACCCTTACACATCCACAGAATATCTGTTTCGAAAGACTGAACTATATCTATTAAAACTGTTCTACTAGGATATGGCTCACTTTTAAAAGCTGAGAAATACTCAAGACCACTTTCTCTCAAAGTTTTTTTATGAACTAAATAACTTTCACTGTTTATGTGTACTAATAGTTGCTAATACAAAAGTTAAAAAATGTGTAATAAGTTGTTGTCTGTGAGCAGTAAAATTTCAAAAAAAATCACTCACCTCTAATAACTGATGGACATCATCAGGCATTTCTTGATTGTATGTTTTCAACAATTCAATAGTTTGTTTTAAAGGTTCAAACATTTCATCTGTTGCAATTTGACGATCTTTTACACGTCCTAAATGTCCCATAACACTGATTAATGCATCATAATTGCCATCTTGAAGATCTACACTTAAACCACTGGTAGAAGTCTGTTAAAAATATAGCAAAAAGAGAATCATTAGAAAGCAACAAAGCTAACTTGGTTCTCTGTCTGTCTGTTTTCGACATAGAACTTTGCACAAATGTGCGCCAGTTCAAGTCGCCACACTCCGTGTAGCACGCGAAGCAACAGAAGAAAGTACAAGAAACGCACAATAGGGAGACAGTAAACAGAGGTGTGAGACAAAGGAATAGTAGTAACGAAGAACAACACAGTTTAATTGGAGATCATAAGTCACAAGGGAGTGGATGCATCTGCGCTAGCCACTGAGAACGATGAGTTTGAGCCATGTCACCAATTGTTTCCAACCATAGAATTTTACCGTCCCGAGGACCCCAACCAGTCAGGAAGTCTACATCTTCCTACGTGACTGGCTTAGACTAACTGTTGTAGATTTCATTGACTGGTGAGGCCATGTTTTTGTTTGACCTCCACTAGCTCTTTTCCAGCCTGACCCTGAATCCGCTAACATTGCTCGTCGAGGAAGGCGATGACTAGGCAGGAATGCGTAACACATATCCTAACCATCTCAGTCTTTGTAACTTCACAACTTCGTCGATTGATTTCCCCTGTTTACCTAGCACTCGACCGAAGCCTAACCTCAATGTTGCTCACCTTATTAATTAATTTTAGTTAATTTTAGTTGCAATCTAATATTAACTTCAAGCATGAATGTACTTTACAAACTTTATTTCTTCCTGTACAACACTAAGCAATAAGGTTTTATGGTGGAAGAAAGTTACATTCTCCAGGTGGGCACAGCTTAATCAAATAATCAAAAATCGTTTCGAGTACATCAAGTTTTTATTTTTTATTTTGATTACAGCTTGATGCCAAACCGTATTTTCGGCACAAGTATGGAATTTTCAGCATGTGATAGCATTCGGTAGGCTAAATTTTTCAGGCCGACCATAGATATCAGGTGTGCTTCGTCGGCAGGGGATCGAACCCCGGACCATGTGCATGGTCGGCGAGAGTCCTAACCACTGGGCCACCGATGCACATACTCCTGTCTACCCATATTATTATTATTATGAACATGACTTATTTTGTTACTATTTTTAAGAGGAATGAGGTCTATAAGTGTAGGCTTGCAGGGATTTGGCTGGTCACAGGTTTCGTCGGCAAGTGGAAAAACAGTTGTTTCGTCCGTTTGGTTTAGGATTCTTCAGCAAGACGCACCCACCGGGGTTTGAACCCAGGACCCGTAGATCGCAAGGGGTATTCGCAGATCATTCGGGCACCAGGACTCAATTTAACGGCCCATGAATTCCAACTTCTGCCAATTGATAAGATATAGCGCAACCACCAGCCAATGTTATCGGTGAGGGACTGTTTCTCTCACCTGACTTGGTTGACACACGTGCTAGGCTGAAATCGATTAGAAATATTGTAAAACGGGAGACAATGGTGGTGATTAATCATAATAGAATTGTAGAGTGTGGGGTAGGAAAATTGACAAATCAGTTCAAGGTTATCGATGGTGTCAGGTGAGTAGCTGGTACAAAGTGGTCTGTCTTAAACAGGAAATAGTAAGAGAGAGATGCAATGAGAGGTGCATAATGAGATAACGAATATGTTAAATGAAACAGGTGGAGGCATATATTGAGAAAACAGATAATATCACTAATAATAAGTCCGAATAAATGAAAATTCGATAGTATTGATGCAATGTTTGCATAAAGGGCATAAATTATGACGAACAATAATGATAACTGTAATAATAATATTTATAATAATCAAAGTAAAAAAGAAAGAAAAAAAACCAAGAGGGTTAAGGGGGAAGGAGCACTCTTGGTGAGAAGAAAAATATTCACTCGAAGGTTGGCATTGGGTAGGAACAGCGTCTGGACGTGTTCTTTTTGGATACGCAATTCTGGTTTAGTCGATCTTATTGCAACAGCTTCAGCTATGTGTAGGAGATGTAAGCGAACTAACTGTACGTGATAACAACTTCGGAATTCGGTATATAACCCTGAAAGCTATGTTGACATCGATGCTATGTCCAGAATCGACCAGGTGTGACAGGATCGAGCTTTTTATGCACTTAATTTCCCCCCTGCTGAACCAAGCTGGTGAGTGTTCTCGAACCCGTAGACAAACCTGCCTAATCGTGCACCCTATATAACTTGAACCACAGGAACGGTTGAAATGGTATATGCATGAAGAAGAGCTAAGGTTAGGTAAGACATCTTTGAGTTGCTGGGTGAATATTGGACGGCTAGTGAAGAATAGACACAGACGTGCAGAGTATAAGGTTTTCTTGATCGCCCTGGTTAAACGTTGGGATAGAATCTCCGCAGGAGTATCTCCCTTGAATTGGAGACGTAAAAACAAAGGCTTTTTCTCCACAGTTGTCAGTTCATGTTTACGACTATTATAACCTATGTTGGCTTTAATGAACTTCTCTGGATATCCATTCTCGCTTAGAATGTCTCGGATGATCTGGAGTTCTTTGTCTACGTAGTCTTCAGAACAAATAGACCTCGCTCTAAATGCTAAGCACCTGATTAGATTACGTTTGTATTTCATCGGTACAAAGCTAAGGAAATGTGTATACTGGGCTTTGGTTTCTAGCTTTCTAAATATGGTTCTTTTGATGGGACCATAATTAGTTGTCAACCTTCTTGATTACGTAAGATCATTCTTAATTTTTCAAACATATATATATATATATATATGCATATATATTACTCATGCACTTTGATTTTTTTTTCTATTACTAAATGACAATAACCTTTGACCTCTGTTGTCAGTCTGCATTGCATATATATATATATATATATATATATATATATAAACACCCTAAATATATCTGTACAGCTATGAAGTGAAGTTACAAAAAGACGGGATCTCTTTCCTGACTCATTCATGTGTTCTTAACTGCAAGTATTATTATTATTGTATCCTTTAATTCCTAGAGGAACATACGGCTTCAGCTACTCACCCCCATTGCCTTCTGTTTTCTGCCAACTTTTTCACCCCACTCCAAGTCTATCCACATGTTTTCATCTCCTCCTCTTCACATGACCTCCTCCAAGTCACCCCACCCTTGCACTGACGACCAACTCGCCACCCGCTTCCCTTTCGGCCGGGTTCCACTCGAGCAATGGCTTGTCTAGTGATGTCACTCACTTGATGGTTAGTTTTCTCAGAGTATGGCCAGCCAATCCATCTCCATTTCTTCCTGCCTATTTGTTTCACAATCGGTTCTTGCTGTGTTGGTTCGCTCATTGCCAGAGATCCCTCACTATCGCTGATCTTTTCTGGCCGGCCATCTGATCTTCAGTGGTACTGAGAGAAGACAACTGTTAATAAAGGTTTGTAGTTTGTTTGAGATGCTCTTTATGACGCGCTGGCCAAGTCTCTGATGCGTATAGTGAGTAGCACTGGCTTTACATTGGAGTTGAAAATCCGGATGTTGTTTTTGATGGTGAGTGCTGTTGACTTCCACACAGACTTAAGAGTAATGAAAGCCTGTCTTGCTTTTCCGATCCTCACTGCTTTGATATCCTCGTGAGTTCCGTCGGCCTGTAGTTGAAACGATGCTTCCCAGTAAGGTGGGTAGGTGAAGGAGGTTGTTTCTTTCAGGTTTCTCCCGTTCATGCTGACTGTCGTCTGTTGTTGTTGTTACTGTTGCTGGTGTTGTTGACCAGGAATCTTCATCACCTCAGTTTTATCTATGTTCACTTGAAGTTCTATCTTTGATGCTTGTTTTGCCAACTTGTTGCTTTTCACTTGCATATCTTCCAGTTTGTGGGAAATCAGACATACATCATCGCGGGGGAAGTCCAGATCCTCCAAGTCTCTTTTTGTGTGAGTCCATTTTATGCCTGTTTCCTCATTGGCCGTTGTCTGTCTGTCTGTCGCATTATCCAATCTACTGCAATCAGGAAAATCATTGGTGATAGTAGACAGCCAGCTTGCCTCACTCCCGTCCTCACTTGACTGCAAGTGATGCACTACTTATTTGAAGGTTGACGAAACAGTCTGCCTGCTGAAACATGAGCCTGTAGAAGAGAGAGAGAGAGAGACAGTTCAAATAATTAATTCACTGGTTCTAAATAAACCTAAACACCACCACCCCACCCCACGCCGCCGCCGCCGCAGGAATTAGTCAGTCCATTTAACTGTTTGCTTTTATTTCGCTCCAATCCATTACAAAGGTATAACAATCACATTACCCTTTGTCTTAACAATTATTTCACGAGTAAAATACAATGAAATTTTCAGTCGTTATTATTATGAAACAAAGCTGTTAATGAAACTAATACACAACTTACCTGAATAAATTTATTCAAATCTTCTAAGCTTGTTGTAACATGATCAATTAAATGTTGTTTAAACATTAAACTCCATCTTTTGATTACATTTATAAGCGCTTGTTTAAATTTCCGCGCATCTACACGGAACCATGAATCGAATTTAGTAGAACCAACTAATTTATCCACCTAATTTTTAAAGAAGTCGAGGTTAGAGAAAAATAAAATATAAATAGGCTAAATTTGGAATGGGAATAATGGGAATAATTTATCAAAAAAACACCATGATAAAACGATAAAATCAACTTCGAATCCCGGTGGGTGCTTACTGCTGAAGAGTCCCAAACTAGGACGGGGAAACAGCTGTCCAGTACTCCCAGCTAGTTTTCCAATGGTTCTCTAACACCAATGTCAGCTCTTGATGAAAGCCTGTAACCAATCAACCAAATCCCTACAAACCATCACTTGAATATCAACTTAAAATATTCTTGTAACATTATCCCAGGGTAGAGTTAAATTCGTGTTAACAATTTCACCTGGATTCAGTTTGTCGCTTAAAGTTGTCTATAACATTCATCATATCTATAATGGGCTATTATTCGCGAATCAAAAATTAAACACGTTTAAGTAGCTATTTCAATCACTGACTCACTATATCTGTGGTGAGAGCAGCCTGCTAGCCAGTTGGTTGATATTGATCCACGTCAATGTCTAGGTCACTAATATGGGCCGTGAGAAAATATGAACAAGGCTGTTGCAACAACCAATCACAGCAAACTTAAACGTGGGCAAATATCATTCGCAGATAGATGTCTCCACTCCAATTTCCGTCCGAGAAACTCGAAAACAACCAATCAGAAGACTGCATTTATCTACTTGACTTAGCTATAATAATGTATGTGAAATTTATATAAATACGTGTTGATTTTCGTAATAAAACGATCTGTTGCCAGCCCTTGTCTTCTGTTGTTACATATCCTCTTATGACGCTTAATACAATAGCATTGCGCTAATCTAAAGCTTACCTACTTACTTACTTACTCTCTGTTTACACTCTTCAGAATCCGTCTGTTTGCCAATTGTGATCTAGGCAGGTGAACAAACCCCTGTACTACTGTTAATTCTGGTATTCTAGGTATTCTCACATTATGTACTAACCAGCGGCACAGTGGTAGAATGTTCACCAACCACGCCTCACGTGGTTGACCCGGGGTCCGATTCCCCTGGCTGACTCACTCCTCACTACCTCCATCGCTGGCTAAGCCAGTAATAAGAGTGGTGAAAAGAGGGAAGGTTGCATATGAGGCTAGCAACAACCTCATCCCGTAAAAATAAACACCCCACTGCTACTGAAACTTCAAGCTTGTAGCTTAAAGCCCTATATTCCACTGGGAACGTAAAGGAATTTTAAAAAAATTTAACAACTTACTTTGAGTCTTGTTTTCTAAATGATTTACTATATCGATTTGATTGTCACTGTTACCGAATGACTAGTATGAAAAATATAAGCTTTTATGAGTTTTATTTTGACCGGAATAACCTCTCTCTCTATAAATATATGTATACACATATTATTAGTAGAAGAAAACCGGAAGGCTGAAAGAAGTGGATGGTGATGGAGAGTCTTCAAGACTGATGACTGTCTTATAAATGAATTGTTAGAATTCGGTCAGAATCACTGAAGACATAACATAACACATAAATAACATTGGCTATTGCCTAGTTTTTCTATATCCCTTGAGTTCCTCGGGGAACAGCCCCACCATTGCCTTGAGTAATGATGTTGTTTTTCACAAGATGGGGTTGCTAGCCTCGCTCTCAACCTTATCAATTTTTCATGTTTGACAAGAGCTAGCTAGATGAGAGGTTTTGTAGCGAATCTTTGGGTAGTCTAACCCCGGACTACATGCGTGGTTGGCTAATTTTCAACCGGTGGATTACTGACGCTGTGGCGGATCAGTATTATATATACATACTAATGATATAGAGGTCCGATAATACACTGCAAAGTAAAATATGAACGTATCAGCTAGTAAATAAATGTGTCGTTGTGAAAAAAATATTCTCTATAGTTTGGTTTGTAAGGATTAGTTATGTTTTACGAGTTGATCACGGATTGATTGATATGAGTTAGAGAACAATTGAAAACCAGCACTGGAGTATTGGACAGCTGCTGTTTCATCAGTACTCACCCCCACTGCCAGGGTTCGAACCCAGGACCTTCCGGTTTCAAGGCAAGCTAGCTCGTATACCATTCACAAACTCACTGGGACCCGATTCCTCAATGGCCAGTCCATGAATTCTAACTTCTACCAATTCGTGATTTAGCGCGACCCCAACCATTATCGTTGGTGGGACATCCATCCACACACACATGACATCTAATTGGACTTCACTGGTCACTACTTCTCACTAGAACTCAGGAAACTCCAACCTGTACCAAGTCAGTAGCAAGAGAGCATCAGATTAACTATCTATAGTTTGGTTTGTAAGAATTAGTTATGTTCTCTACGAGTTGATCACGGATTGATTGATATCAGTTAGAGAACCATTGTTGTTTATTTGATTTATTGATTGATTCAGTAGTACAGCGACTGAAGGGAAAAGAATACTAATGCGGAAGAAGATGACCGTTTAGTGGATACGGGATATCAAAAAAATGAGTGCATCTGCGCCATTAAGGACAATTCCGAGCCATATCATCAATAGTCTGAAACCATTGGCTCTTAGAATCCCTAGGACCCAAGTCAAGTCAGGAAGCCTGTACATACATCCCTGTGTGCCTTAAGCCAGCTATCAAAGTCTTCATGGGCTAATAACGGGTTTTAGTCTAACCACTATTAACTCTTTTCTCACCTAATCCTATGACGGCTGACATTGCTTGTCGAGAAAAGCGATGGCTCGGAATGCATAACACCTTTTCTTAGCCATTTCAATCAACGTAGCTTCACAACATGATTGATTAACTTACCCTTCTTACCTAAGGCTCTACGTCTTATTTGAGTATTATTATTATTATTCACCATGTTATACCACTTAACACGTGCGACAGAAAGCAAACATCTGTGGCCATAGACAGTTAACCGGCCTTTTAATATCTCCCACTTTCAATGGCCATGTCTCACAACCATAAAGGAGGGCAGAGGGAACAGTTGCTGTGCATTACACACGTATTTTGATGGATAACCATATATCTTGTCTACGTCAGAGATCACACGATTTGGCAAATGCCTTGACGAGGCCTTTGTATTAGCGCTTAGATTTTGTCAGTTATCAGTCTATCGGGGCTGATACGAATTCCCAATTAAGTGAAGTGGTCAATACATTAAAACACATCACTCCCTCCTATCTTTAACCTACGAGTTGATGTAGTCCAATCCCCTGCAGTATCGTCTCACTTTTGACGGCTGTTGTTGTTGTTGTTGTTGTTATACCCAACCAATACTTAAGAGAGCTTGTTTATTTATACCTTCAATGAATAATCAGAATTGAACATCAAAATCTACAGGTAGATAGGTTGTATGACAGTAGGTTCGCTTCTAGGAATTTCTTCTTGTTGACTGCCTAATAGTAGGTAGGTTTTAAAAACACCAGCTTGTCACCAACACAGTCAGTGAGTTACATAGGTACATGTACGATAAAAACACTGACGGAGAATCTGAATATAAACCTTGAAAACTTATTTCATTATCTACTTTACTCTCTCAAGGCAAAATTATACTCAGTAATCCAGAGGGAATGAAACTTCACATCTCGGAGATCTCTTTACGGAAATTCTAGTTCTCAAAGAATAAATTATCACTTTTCCAAGTATCCATCCTCAGGGAGGAACGATAGTGTGTACAGAGGACATTGTAGATTGAGCAACTTTAATAAGACAGGAAAGTGCATTCGAGTCTTAAAAAATTACAAATATGAAGCAGGGTAATACATCTCTAATTTTGGTCATTTCGTAAGATATTCTTGTTGCTAGAACTGACACACACACACACACACCACAACTAAGTAGAATATAGTTTCTCCTGCATGACTCAGATTTAGTAATAGTATCACCAAATGACTAAGGGAGAAAGGAAAAGACAAGCACACACACACACCATAAAATAAAAGATTAGACGTGACATACCTCTTCGTAGACCTTCTCATAATAATCGATTTGTTCTTTAAATTGCTCCAGGGTCGGTGGTTTCAATACAGGCAAATTATCACCACTTTGACCATCGCCTAATTCATTCGATGCTTGTATACCACCGGCGTTGATTAAATCAAGATCTTCTTGGCTAACAGCTTGTCCATACAAGAGGAATTGTTGCATAAATTCATTACGATCATCTATCCATAGATAGGCATATGTGTCAAAGTGTGCACGATAACTTAAAGCCTTTTTCATAACAGCTTCAACACGATCCAAGAGAAGTTTACGTTTGTTTGACAGATTTTCGTTTTGATTCATTTTACTCTGCAGTAAACAGAGTAAAACAAAAAAAAATAAATAAACAAGCAGTCGAATAAATAAAATATCCTTAGATTGTGGGTTTAACAGGGATGTGGATTAATTTCCGTGAAGATTCCACCACAAACCAACATCATTTCATTTAGTAGCCGAAAGGCAGCTAGCTAGTACTGGACAGAGATGTCTCGTCCAGGTTTGGGACTGAGGTAGAATTTATCACAGGTTATTAAATTCTCACTCAAGTGGTCGTGTAACCTAAAGGTCTTAGGTTCACCCTCTGACTAGGTGTCAGGTGCACACTCCTGAAGAGTACCAAACTGGGACGAAAAAGCTGGCTAGTGAGCTTCCATTCTCTAACTAATGTTATATTTGGTGAGGAGATCCGCAATGGAATAATACACAACAAATTAATTATGGCAGTACTCATGGAAAAAGTTTAAATTATTATTTCTAAGTAATCATTAATGCGTCCCAATTTCAGCCTCATTATTATTGATGATATGCAGTAGATGTGTCGGCGGTTTTCAATGTTAACTGACAATATTAGAATAATTAACAAAGATAAACAACATCGGCGAGAAGTTTTACTATAGTAGTGTAAAGATTTTCAGATGGATTTATCATTCTGGAAGTCCTTCCCACCTTCTAACCTAGAATCATCAAGCTCTGCAGTACTAATTTACAGTCTAGGTACTAGCTTCCTAACGAGTTAATAATATCCCGGAGATTTAAGGCACACAATAGGACTTGTTCTAGAAAGTGACTGTATCCTCAAAAAAAGTGAGACAGGAGCATCTGAGTCACAAGAGAAGTTTCTTTTAATTGTTTATTCCATTTTTTGTACTGATAGTACTGTTAAGTGGTGGCTGTTCTACGCTGTTGATTAAAAACAGCGAATATTTTAGTTAACTACCCATGCTATTCATCTCAGGCAAATATGCTTGGTAATCTTTTCAGCGATAATGATAGAGGGACCTTTCTGTGCATATTAGCATAATGCTGATTAGGGTAATTAATGCGGCTTTCTCAAACGCTGTATGCAAGAAAAAAGAACGTGAGCATTCACTTATCAAGGCTTAATACAGTCGAGTAGGTTTTCGGTGAAGTGATGTATCGAAGATGAAAGTCTTAGTGATCCAGTTATTACTATTATTATTTCCTTTAATTCCTAGAGAAACATAGGGCTTCAGCGGGGCGTCTCCATTGAGTTCGGTTCTCTGCTAGAGTTTTCACCTGGCTCCAAGTCTGTCCACATGCTTTTATCTCCTCCTCTTCACATGACCTCCTCCAAGTCACCTTTGCACTGACGACCAACTCGCCAACCTGTCTGTCTGGATTCAACATAGAACTTGGCACTGAAGTGCAACAGTTCGAGTTGCCACGTTCCAAATACCACACAGAGGTAGACAAGAAGATGAGTGAAGAGAATCAATACAGTCTGACAAGTATAAGAGTGAAACAGAATGGGTAATGGTAGAAAGGAATATGAAAGATTACAGAGACTGAATACTTCTGCGCTGGCCATTGACAACGATTTTGAGCCATGTCACCTATTGTCTCTAGCCATTGATTCCTAGAGTCTCGAGGGCCCCAACCTGGGAGTCTGCATCTCCCCACCTACCTGACTCAGTTTAACTGTCAAGGATTCCATGGATTGATGAGGCCATGTTTTTGTTTGGCCACCACTCACTCTTTTCCAACCTGCACCTATATCAGCTAGTAATGCCCGTCGGGGGAGGCGATGGTTAGGCATGCGCACCACGTGACCTAGCCATCTCAGTCTATGTAACTTTATAGCCTCGTCGATTGATTTTCCCTCTTTGCCCAACACTCTACGCCTAACGTCAACATTACTTACCTTGTTAAACCACCTAACGTGAGACAGAGATCGCAGACATCTATGATCGAAAGCAGTCAACCTTTTCATGTCTTCAACTCGTATTGGCCATGTTTCAGAGCCATAGAGAAGGACGGAGCGAACTGATGAGCAGTACACACGTCCCTTGGTTGATAGCCAGCCGGATGTCACGCCTACGCCAGAGATGGTGTAAGTCAGCGAAAGCAGCTCGAGCTTTTCGGATCCGTGCTGAGATTTCATCGCCAATCAGTCCGTTGGTGCTAATACAACTTCCCAAGTAGGTGAAGTGGTCAACATGTTCTATCACTTCACTCCCTATCACTAAGCTAGGAGTTGACATAGTCCAGTCCTGTAGCAGCATCTTACATTTTGCAGGGGCGAATCGCATGCCAAACATACGAAGATTGCTGCTCAAGGTGTTCAGAAGACTCTGCAATTTGTCAGCGTCCTCCTCTAACAGGACTATGTCATCTGCATATTCTAAGTCCATAAGACTATTCCCTGGTAACAAGTCGATTCCTAAGTCGTTACGTTCAGCTAAGGATACTTCCATCAGCATATCTATGATGAAGTTAAACAGAAATGGGGAAAGTGGACATCCCTGTTGGACACCACTGGTTGTTACCAATTCAGATGACAATTCCCCATAAGCCCTTACACGGCTATATGAGTTTGAATAGAGTGCCTTGATTAGTGCAATGTACTTTCTTGGCACTCCCTTCACAGTCAGACATTGCCATAGTACCTTTCGATCCACGGAGTCGAAGGCCGCCTTCAAGTCAAGAAATATGACAATTGTTGGACGCCGAAAAGTGTGTCTATGTTCTAGAATCTGTCGAAGAGTGAAGATATGATCTATGCACCCTCTACCTGGTCTAAAGCCTGCTTGATTTCCCCTCGTCTGTTTCTCCCGAGTTCTACTTAGTCTGTGCATGATTACTGAGCCGCCCGCTTCCCTTTCGGGTTCCACTCGAGCGATGGCTTGTCTAGTGATGTCACTCACTTGATGGTTAGTTTTCTCAGAGTATGTCCATTCAATCTCCATTTCTTCCTGCATATTTGTGGCACATTCGATTCTTGGTTGGTTCGCTCATTCCCAGAGATCCTTATTGCTGATCTTTTCTGTCTGGACATCTGATCTTGATTAGTATTGAGCGAAGATAACTGTTAATGAAGGTCTGTAGTTTGTTTGAAGTGCTCTTTATGACTCACCAAGTCTCTGATCCGTATAGTGAGTAGCACTGAATTCATACTAGAGTTGAAGTTGCTTGCTTGTGTAAGAGTATTGAAGTGTTAGAGTTTTCCTTTTTAAGAAAGAGAATTCTGAAAGCATTCTTCTCCCAAAAACCCATGAAAATAATCAGTCACCTCACTATAGAACGCACGTATATTTGTATGTGAGGTTTAGGCTAATCGACGGGCATTTGACTAAAAATCATTATTCAAGTGTTGGTTTGTAGGGATTTGATTGATTAGTTTCAGGATTTCATCATGAGCTGACATCAGTTGGTTAGAGAACCATTGGAAAACCAACCAGGGAGTACTGGACAGCTGTTTCGTCCTAGTGCCTGGGACTGGATCGGGTCCCAGTAGCTTAATGGTATACGAGCTCGCCTTGTAACATGGGGGGTCCTGGGTTCGAATCCCGGGGGGTGCGTACTGATGAAGAGTACCAAACTAGGACGAAACAGTTGTCCAGTACTGTACTGACCAAATTGCAACTCTACGCATCATCATCACAGAACAAAGCATGGAATGGCAATCAAACCTCTACCTCAACTTTATAGACTTTGAGAAGGCCTTTGATAGACAGCGTTGACCGTGAAGTAATTTGGAAATTACTCGAGTATTACGGCGTACCCCAAATATTCATCAACCTTATTCAACAGCTGTACGACAACGGAACATGTCAAGTGATCCACAACGGAAAACCGACTCAGCGAGGCGTTTGGAGTAAAGACAGGAGTCAGACAAGGGTGCTTGCTTATTATCACCAATGAATGATATTCGTAATTGTGGTGGAGTGACTGGATTATGCGTCAGAAAGTGAATGGGAAACGAGAAGACAGGAATATCCTGGACCGACGTGAAGAATCTAGAAGACCTGGATTTCGCGAGTGGGTGATTTATGTTTGATGTCACACAAAATCGAAGACTTAGAGACAAGCGAAAACCGACAAACTGGTCGAAGAATCAGCCAGCGAGGACATGACAGGACTCCAGGTGAACATAGACAAGACGCAGGTTATGAAAATAACCAACCACCACCAACAACAGCAACATCCAGCCAACAGCCAATCACCATCAACGGGAGGGATTTGAAAGAGGTTACTTCATTCACTCACTTTTCTAGGGAGCATTGTCTCAACTACAGGCAATCGGAACGGACGAGGATGTCAAATCGAGCGAGAATCGGGTGGTGGTGCGAAAAACACATTCATTCATCAACCAGAAACAACCAATATGGAAATCTTCGTCACTCAGCCAGAATCAACAAAAAAATTCCGTCGGATTTTCAATACAAACCAGAGTCAAGTCAGTCAGTTTTTCTATACGAATCAGAAACTTGGCGGGCGGGGCAGAAAGAATATTTCCAAGAGGTTGCAGACGTAACCTTTATCAACAACTGTCTTCACTGGCTCTATACTGAAGATCAGATGGCCGGGCCGAGCCGGAAAGAATCACCAACAAGGAATTATGGGAACAAACAAAGCAAGGACCAATCGCCCAACAAATACGCAGGAGAAAGTGGAGATGGATCGGTCACTCGCTGAGGAGACCGCTGGGTGACATCGCGCGTCAAGCCTTCGAGTGGAACCCGAAAGGGAAGCGGCGGCGTGTGGGACGTCAGTGCAAGGGTGACATGGAGGAGATTGTGTCAAGAGGAGTTGAAAGAGTATGGACTAACATGGATGCAGGTGAAAAGTATAGCAGAAGACAGAAGCAAATGGAGACATGCAGTTGAAGCCCTATGTTCCACTAGGAACCCAAGGGAGCGATAATAATAATATTAATACTTTGATCTGTATAATAATAACAATAATAATTGTTTAAATAAATTCCAATTATATTCTTCATGAAAAAATCACTTTTGGAAACAAGTAATCTGTAGCATTAAGAAAAATAAAATTTAAATAAATATGCCAACTGGTATTCAAGGAGACAGGAAAAGGCTGGAATGATAACAAAACTTTAGAAGAACTGAAGTCTGCAGACGATTTAGGTCTAATGTCGCATAACTTCGAAGAAGACCTGCACGCAAAAATCAACAAACAACAAGCTGAAGAAGCAGGCAGAGAAGCGGACAGAACTCCAGTGAACATAGAGAAGACGGAGGTGACGAACTAACAACAACAGCCAGCAGCAATCAATACCAAAAGAAAATTTCACTTGTCTCGTTAGGAAGCATCGTTTCATCTACAGGCCGGATCGGATGATGAAGATACCAAAATCAGAATCGGAAAGGCAAGGTACACAACTTCAACGCTCTGAAATCGGTTTGGAAATTTTCTGCACTTCGCCTCAGCATAAAGAACAAGATTCGAATTTTTCAACACGAATGTTAAGTCAGTCAGTCAGTCAGCTAGTCAGTCAGTCAGTCAATTCTTCTATGCGGGTAAGAAATTAGATGCCTTCGTCACGGAAAGCATTTCCAACAGGCTATTGCTGACTTTTGTCAATAGCTGCCTTCAACTGACTCCATAGTGAAGATCCAATAGCCGACTGGTCAGAAAGTATTAACCAACAGGAAACTCTGGCTGGGAAAAACCAATCAACAACCTAATTGCTCAACAAAAATGTGTACAAGAATGTGGCGACAGATTTATGAAGAGACCATTGGGTGATATCGGTTGCCCCAAAAGGCCATTGTATCGAGTGGAACTCGAATGGTAAACGACGACGAGTCGGGCGTGGATCTCAAGAGCAACATGAATGACAATGAAAGATTATGTGCAATCAACTGGGCCAGCTGAAGACGACGGAAGAAAGTAGAACAGAGTGGAGATTTGTTGCTGAATTACTATGTTCCATTTGGAACCCAAAAGAACGATAAATATAAAGGAATATAACAATAATAGTAACAGAAAAAAAGTATATTTTTTATCACTTACCAAGTAACCGTCTTTCATGCTAATATTAGTCATATATGGGATAAAAGTTGACTGTTTATAAATATCGTCAATGATATGATCCACAAGTGCGTATAAACCATTGCTTGATTCCGTATCCATGGATGGTTGAAATGTAATATCTGGCGCCTACATATATATATGTATATATAATATAACAAACCAATGCGTTAATAATAAGAAACAAAACTGTATTCAAGTGTTGGTTTGTAGGGATTTAGTTGATTGTTTACAGGATTTCATCATGAGCTGACATCAGTTGGTTAGAAGAACCATTGGAAAACCAGCCACAGGGGTACTGGACAGCTGTTTCCCCCATCCTAGTTTGGGACTCTTCATCAGTAAGCACCTACCGGGATTCAAATCCAGGACCTCCTGGTTACAAGGTGAGCCAGCTCGTAGACCATTAAGTCATTGAGACTCGATCCAATGGCCAGTCCATGAATTTTAACGTTTTCCAATTCATGACACAGGTGCGACCACTGGCCAATGTCTTCGCTGGCGAGTATTTGTCCTCTCACACCCGACCTGCTGCATCCTATTGGTTACAACTTCCCACTAGAACTTCAGGTAACTATCTACCTACCTGAATATGGTTAGTCGCTAATCACCATCTCACTGATATTCAAGTGTTGGTTTGTAGGGATTTGGTTGATTGATTACAGGATTTCATTCTACCAAAGATTATGAAGTAAATATGTTAATGAATTCATTAACTTAAGTTAGGGAAAAAGCATCGTCTAAACCCTGATCAATAGTAACTGAACTGAATATGAAATGAAGCAGAATAATTTGTCAACTTACTTTACCTCCTATCAAGATAATAAAGAATTCAAGGAATTCAAAGTTAGAATTCAAGGACCATTGGATCGGGTTCCAGTGGCTTAATGGTACACGAGCTGGCTCGCCTTGTAACCAGAAGATCTTGGGTCCGAACCTCGATGGTTGCATACTGTGAAGCGTCCCAAAGTAGGACGAGGGAAACAGCTGTCCAGTACTCCCTGTGGCTGGTTTTCCAATGGTTCTCTAACCAATGTCAGCTCATGATGAAATCCTGTAACCAGTCAACCAAATCCCTACAAACCAGCACTTGAATATTACCGAAAATGTTCCATTCACAGTTTCAGACGTTTCTCTTAATGGGTTATTAGAGTTCTAATCCTATAAGGAGACCGTTTGAATTATCACAGCGTTTTTATAACCCGTTTCCCTAATGAGATTCAATATTTGACGGACATTGACTACTGTTAATGTCTTTTCTATATCCCTTGCTTTCACCGTCCACCGCTGTTACCGGTAGTTTCGCTGGTACAGCTGTTCTGAGCATTTAAAAATCAGTCTCCTTTCATCACTTAGCTTAGATGAAAGTGTAGACATTCAATGGCATTTACTTACGCAGACGTAAGGTCACAGGCTATTAACACCATACACTACTAATCCTGTGTCAAACTGGATATAATCTCATTCTAATAACTTTCATACTTAAAAGTAGCGATGAAAAAGTCATTATGTATTACATCCTACATTATCATTAGTATTATTATTATTATATCCTCTAATTCCTAGAGGAACATACGGCTTCAGCTACTCACCCCAATTGCCTTCTGTTTTCTGCCAACTATTTCACCCCGCTCCAAGTCTGCCCACATGCTTTCATCTCCTCCTCTTCATATGACCTCCTCCAAGTCACCCCACCGTTGCACTGACGACCAACTCGCCACCTGCTTCCCTTCAGGGTTCCACTCGAGCAATGGCTTGTCTAGTGATGTCACTCACTTGATGGTTAGTTTTCTCAGAGTATGTCCGGCCAATCCATCTCCATTTCTTCCTGCCTATTTGTTTCACAATCGGTTCCTGCTGCGTTGCTTCGCTCATTTCCAGAGATCCCTCACTATCGCTGATCTTTTCTGGCCGGCCATCTGATCTTCAGTGTACTGAGCGAAGACAACTGTTGATGAAGGTCTGAAGTTTGTTTGAGATGCTCTTTATGACGCGCAGTGCAAGTCTCTGATCCGTATAGTGAGTAGCACTGACTGACTTTACATTGGAGTTGAAAATCCGGATCTTATTTTTGATACTGAGTGATTTTGACTTCCACACAGACTTAAGAGTAATGAAGGCTTGTCTTGCTTTCCCGATCCTCACTGCTTTGATATGCTCGTCACTTCCGTCGGCCTGTAGTTGAAACGATGATTCCCAGGTAGGTAGGTAGGTAAGGAGGCTGTTTCTTTATGGTTCCTCTCATTTATGCCGGCTGATTGTCGTCTGTTGTTGTTGTTGCTGCTGTGGCTGTTGGTGTTGGCCAGGAGTCTTCATCACCTCTGTTTTCTCTATGTTCACCTGATGTCCTTCCTATCTTCTCTGGATGTTTCTTCTGCCAGCTTGTTGCTTTTCACTTGTATATCTTCCAGTTTGTGGTAAATCACGCATATGTCATCATCGGCGAAGTCCAGATCCTCCAAGTACTTTTTCGTGTTAGTCCATTTTATGCCTGTTTCTTCATTGCCCGCTGTCTGTCTGTCTGTCGCATTATCCAATCTACTGCAATCAGAAAAAAAATCGTTGGCGATAGTAGGCAGCCAGCCAGCTTGTCTTACTCCGTCTTCACGTTTTCGGAGAATTCCGTTAGTTTCATGTTGCAGCATTTAAAAGTTATTGATTCCCCTCACCCCGCCCCCATTGGACCTACTGACACTAAAGCCTTTCCAACCGTTAGACGAAAGTTTTATATTTGAGAAGATTAAAAGCTGAGTGCTTGATGAATACTGCATTTTCAAGTATTGGTTTTGTAGGGATTTTGTTTGATTGCATGTGGAGGATTTAATCATGAGCTGACATCATTGCGAAGTGGTTGCGCTATGTCGTGAACTGGCAGCAGTTAGAATTCAAGGACCATTGAATCGGGTCCCAGTGACTCAATGGTCTACGAGTCCGCCTTGTAACCAGAAGGTCCTGGGCTCGAACATTGGCGGTGGGTGCGTGCTGCTGAAGAATCCCAAACTAGGACGGGGGAAACAGCTGTCCAGTACTCCCTGTGGCTGGTTTTCCAATGGTTCTCTAACTGATGTCAGCTCATGATTAAATCCCCCATGGAATACTGCATTATTACTTCTTACCTGTAATTCCATTTGTGATTCTAAGAGAGCAGCTGTCGTGGACAAATCTTCAGTTTCTGTAATTAGATAGTTCAGACTGCATTCAATTGTCTGAATAAGTCCATTCTCAACAATATTATCAACATATTCTGTGTATTTTTTCCAAGCAGGATAGTCTTCATTTGCTTTGAATAACTCTCGGTTTGCCTAAAAGTAAAATAGAAAAAGCAAATTTTAAGGTTATAATATACACAGTTTCTTTGAATGATTTTCATTAATTGATTAGCTTATAATAAATATGCTCAAAGTTGTTCACTTTATTTTTTTATATTATCAAAGGGGATACTATAGTAGGCAGTTATGTTTACAGAAGACGTGTTAAGTATGATGCATTAACTTCTCCCCATCTCATTCCTGAGCACGTTGACCGCTTCACTTATTTGGGAAGTACCATCAGCCAGTGCCAACGGGTTGATCTCTGACGAAATCTCAGAACGGATACAGGGGGCTCGTTTCGCATTTGCCAGTTTACGCCGCCTCTGGAGTAGACGAGATATTCGACTATCGACCAAAGGGCGGGTGTACTGCGCACCAGTCCGCTCCGTCCTCCTTTATGGCCAGCTGTGAGACCTGGCCACTGAGAGTGGAAGACATGAAAAGCGTGGCTAGCTATCTTTGATCATAGGTGCATGCGCTCTATCTCCCGTGTGTGTTAAGTGGCATAATAAGGTGAGCAATATTGAGGTTAGGCGTTGGTCGAGTTCTAGGTAAACAGGGGAAATGAATCGACGAAGTTGTGAAGTAACAAAGACTGAGATGGTTGGGACATGTTTTACGTATGCCAAGCCATCGCCTTCCTCGAATGTAAGGTCAGGCTGGAAAAAATTTAGCGGCGGTCGGACAAAAACTTGTCACCAGTCAATGAAACCTACAACAGTTAGTCTAAGCCACGTAAGAAGGTGTAGACTTCCTGCTTGGGGTCCTCGGGACGGTAAAAACCAATGAAGGCTGGAAGCAATTGTTGATATGGCTCAAAATCGTTCTCAATGACTGACTCAGGTGGATCCTCTCCTTGTGATTTATGATTCTCAATTAAACTGTTTTGATCTTCGTTACTACTATTCCTTTGTCACACCTTTCTGCTCACTGTCTCTATTATGCTTTTCTTGTACTTTCTTCTCTTGCTTCGTGTGCTACACGGAGTGTGGCGACTTGAACTGGCGCATATATATGCAAAGTTCTATATCGAAAACAGACAGACATTCCTGAACATTACCTCTTATAAATATTATTCCAGCTTTTTGATACTTTCAGTTTGTAAATTTCGTCACTAACCAACACATCAATTTAGATAATCACTGAAAACCAGGAGAGCAATGCACAGCGCTGTTTCGTCCTAGTTTGGGACTCTTCAGTAGTCCTCGCATCCATGTTACTATCGCTGCAGAAATCATAAGTCAACCCATCGACTATTCACTCTTCATTGGATTAGAATTTTAACTTCTAGTCAATTTTTCGAAATTGCACCGTCATCAGTTAATATCACCGGTAAGCAACAACTTCCTCCTGACACGATAGACTTACAATGGTTTCATAATTTACAGCCTAGAGCGGGAGGCCTATTAGAGGCAAAGACTGGTTTTTATAACGTACATGAACGGAAATGAACACTGAAATCAGTAGACAGATTATACTTTATAGTTGTTAGTAGATATCTTAGTAGTACTGTAACAACAGAAGACAAGGGCCAGACAACAGATCCTTTTATTAACGGAAATCAACACGTATTTATATAAATTTCACATACATTATTATAGCCTAGTCAAGTAGACAAACGCGGTCTTCTGATTGGTTGTTTTCGAGTTCCTCGGACGGAAAGTGGATTGGAGCCATCTATCTGAGAATCATATTAGCCCACGTTTAAGTTTCCTGTGATTGGTTGTTGAAACAGCCTTGTTCATATTTTCTCACGGCCCATATTAGTGACGTAGACATTGACGTGGATCAATGTCAACCAATTGGCTAGCAAGCTGCTCTCACCACAGTAGTAGTAAAGAGTATTAAGACTGACAAGTAATAAACAGTGAGTCCAAATTCCGATTTACAGTAAGGTTAATGCATAAGAGTTATGATTTAAGTTCATAAATATTTTTGAAAGATAATGAATGTAATTATTTTATCTGCGACTAGGGCTTGGAAAATACCTCGACAAATGTTTACACTATCTGGCATGTTGTTAATATACTAAATTGAGTGAATTAGATTACAGATACAATTATCCCGAATTTATCCGAATAGCTCTGCGTACTGCGTTTCGTTAGCTAAATGAATCAATAAACCGGTTGTCAATATATATATATATATATATATATATATATATATATATATATGATCGTAACGGCTGCATCAGCTATTGTTCCATTCAATTTTGATTTACTCGTTGATTGATTGACCTGAAGTGTTCAGTTTCTGATGACATGTCGGCTGTTTGTGCAGATTCTTTGACGGTGTCTACAGACTTGACTTGAAATAATTTGATGGATGATGGCTAGCAGTGCAATCGAGGATGCGAATTTCGTCCTCTTTGTGACTCATCAACTAGATGTACCTGCATTCTCAGTGATTATGATGATGATGTTCCCCTACTGAGGCTCGAACCCAGTAATTGCCGTTTCAAACGCCAAAGCTTTATCCACTAGACTAATTGGGCCAAGAAAGCTACCCATTAAATTCAACTGTGAATTAAATAATAACTGGCACCGATTGTACAAAAAGGTGGCTCTCGTAGTCCAGGTAGTCTAGTGGACAAAGCTTTGGCAGTGAAAATGATAGTTAATGGGTTCGAGCCTCAGCTGAAATGCAAGTACATCTGGATGACGACTCTGAAACAGGAATAAATGAGTAGCTTGGATTCCACTGCTAATCGCCACTCCCCAAATTACTTCAAATTGCACCAGCTATTCTAGCGTTTATCTTTGTTGTGATGGGGTGTTTGCTGAGGGTATATGGCATGCCATTAAGTTTGCAGCATATATATATATATATATATATATATATATATATATATGACATAATTCGTGAGCTAGAATCAGGGAAAAAGTCAGTCTCATTGCATCGAATAATTTAACGACATGTGAGATGTATCATCTCAGCATCAACCTCAGTAGTTTAGTTTACTATGAAATGACTCTTGATAATAATGTTATCCACTTCTCTTCCGCAAACGTTTTTTTCTAAATTTACTGGTTTTTGACACATACTTGTGACATGAATGGCTAAAAATTAAAATTATGAGGGGGGGGGGTGAAGTTCCACATATTCTGATGTTAGTTTGAGAGACAAAAGACGACAGTCATATCAGAGGACAGACTAGGAAATGCAGATCATTTCTTATCTTTTTAAATAAATTTATTCACAATATAGCTAACTATTTTGAAATAGCTTCCTCCTCTCGATGCTGCAGATCAAATGGTCAGCGATAAAACAGGACTAGCAATAGGGAGTTCCGGAGTGGAACCTGTTTGGGAAATGATGATGAGTTGGACGTCATTCCGCGGGTAAAATGGAGGGGACTGTGTCAAAAAAGGAGATGAGAGATTATGCGCATTTGTGGAGACAGCGAAAGAGGACCTAGCAGAATAATAATAATACTTTTACAAGAAGAAATGTATACGAGAAAATACATGATTACACAACACTACAAATATCTTCAACTGATAACTGAACTAATATATGTGTAAAACTTGGGCACTGTGGTAGTAAGTAATTCCATATTAGTTTGTTTATTAGATGTATCACACAGTGAAAGCCTTACGCAGAATACTTAACAAGGCAGGAATAAAAGTCGCTGGAATTCAAACCAACCACAAACTCAATTAGAAACATGCTTTGTCGGTTAAAGGATCAATCCTGTGGAGCCATTAAAACAAAACAATTTAGTTTATCTATTACCCTACCTGCAATGATTGTCAGGTCAAATAATAGGTGAAAGTAGAAGAACAGGGGCAGTGAGTCAGACTAGCCGAACATAAAAACCTAGCTAAATCTAGACTGGTTGACCCGAATAAGATAAGAAATCTAGAGAGTAGTTCAGCTATCGCAAGCACTACATGCAGTTACACACAACCATACAATAGGCTAGATGGGATAGGATGACAGTTTTAAAATCTAATGTCACAGGGTGTATGGAGGGAGAGATTGATAACAGAAGCTTTGTTTATCGAATCAACTGCAAATACATGTAATAGAAACGATCCAACACCTGTCCAACCGGATATCTGGAAAATTCTGCTACCCCTACGACGACAAATAGGAGAAGACAGAGAAAACTATAAAACTCAATTCTCAAAGTCGTGTGATCACAATTGATATGATTATGAACAGCAATAATGAATTGTGTTCGAAACCTCGTCATCCAGTATACAATACTGTTTCACTCACTGACTGTGTGATACATCTAATAAACAAACTAATATGGAAGCAACGGAACTGTTGAATCACCACTGTGAGTAGATGAACTATGAATAAAGTAGTCACTTTTTGATTATGTAATCTGTTATTAGGGTCAGAATTATGCACTGTTTTAATTCGTTGAAATGTGTATCTAAGACTTCTAAGGTAGGTGAGAGAAATTAAAAGAGCCTTACACTGACTCCTTTTAAATGAATTATTATGGTTATTAGTAATCTGGATTTTAAAAACTTGACTTCAACTTACAAGTAACAGATTAAGAACTTGTTTTCCGGCCTCAGTGATTTCTGCATATCGTTTAGAACATCTGTCATCTCGATCGTCTAATCCTAATAATGTCTCTCGTTTACCATCTTTACGTTCGAACAAGGGCAGTTTAGACCAAGTAGTCATAATTAATTGAATCTGTTGAACATTTTCTTGCGTCTGTACAACTCGACGTTTTAAATCATCGACTTGGTTCCGTGTTTTTTCAATGTAATCCCATGCATCTGAAACATAATATAATTTATAGATGTATATATATATATATATATATATATATATATATATATATGCATATTATTTATGCTATTTGTAAAAATAATTCTAAAACTGTATTGTGTGATACGCTGACCGATCTAGGTCATTTTTTTAATGTCACTAAATAGATCTTATAAAATTTTAAAACAATTTCAAGGTTCATTTTAATGATAAAAGTATGAACACCGATTGATATCAGTTAGAGAACCATTGAAAACCAGCCACAGGGAGTACTGGACAGCTGCTGTTTCATCAGCCTAGTTTCGGAATCATCGTCAGTACTCACCCCCACTGCCAGGGTTCGAACCCAGGACCTTCCGGTTTCAAGGTAAGCTAGCTCGTATACCATTCACCAACTCACTGGGACCCAATTCCTCAATGGCCAGTGTATGAATTCTAGCTTCTATCAATTCGTGATGCATTGAGCGCGACCACCAAACAACTTCACCAGTGGGAAATTCATCCTCACCCTTGACTGGGTGGACAACCTTACAGTTCACGACTTCTCACTATGTGGAACTCCAAGTCACTAGAGAGCATCAGATTAATTTTGCAAGGATTAGATTTGTTTATGCGAGTTCACTTTACTCTGTTGAAGAAATGTTTCTTCCTTTCCGTTCCTTTACTTGTGGAATAAAAAAAAATAGTAAATAGGAATTCAGACTTGAGCTTTAAAGTTTCAGCAGCATTAGTGGTGTTTCTTTTTACGAAGTCACTTTGCTAGTCTCAAGCTCAACCTTCCCTCTTCACTGGACTAACTACTTACTTACTATCTGTTAAACTGTTCAAGGTTAAGGAGAGCGTCTGCAATGACTCGAACACCAGACCACATGTGTGCCTGACAGGCACTTTACTAATGAACCACTAGCAAATTTTGCTGTCACAGACTTTACCACTAAATAAATGTATACTGTTGGAAATAATGTGTACAGTCAGTATTACTACACATAAAATAAGCGAAGAACGCTGAATGATGTTAATTTTCAACTCTAGAAAAACTCTGTCAAAATCTATAGAAAACTGCCTCCAAAGCCTCAGGATGGTCGGGGGTAGGTGGCTTACGATGCGAGTTGGCCACCCCTCCCACCGTACACCTCTTGAAATCCTCCCATATGACCGGGCGTCTTACGTAGCCTCTCCTCAGGAAGTCCTCAGTCCTCACTGCCTTCACGTGGCGGAGGTGTTTGTCACCACCGAAGTGAGAGGGCAAAAGCGGATGACCGGCGCTATTCACCGGGTTGACTGACTGTCCATTGGATGACAGACAGTCTAGGGGAGATGGCTAAACCCTGCCTGATTCCAAACCTCCAACGACTGGCGTATGAAGCTCAGCGGAGCGGAGCTCACCGGTAGGCAGACGTATGGACAAAGGGCTTATTGGATGCGCTGGTGCATATCTGGCCCCATTCAAAAAGGCGTATGAACCGGACTCCGGTCACCGGCTGGCTTCCAATGGATAGTGGACTCCCCCCTACTCCACTCCTACAGCCTTGTAGGAGGTCACACTTGGTTGGTTGTGTAAAGGCTAGAGCTGTACTCTCAAACAAAAGGCCGAGCGATTCTGGGGGGCGGACATCACTCGTACCTAATTCCCATGAAACTTCATGAACTGTCGTTGCTACAACATCAACCAACATCAACCAGTACTGGTCGAACAACGTGGCCTTCGGTGGTTTGGCCATGTTCTGGGCCGGGCCGACCAGATGACGATCTGGTCAAATCAGTCAAATCAGTTCTAAATCCCTCCTCGCCATTTCCATCTTGACGATGTCGATGGGGTGGACAGCTGAAAACACATGGCTTAGTACAGTCAGTCAAGGCTGATATGGAGTGACTGGGCTGGGGCTACAAACCGTCTATGGACTCCGCCTGTGGAACAAGAATTGGATAAGCCTGTCGTGGCAAAACCTTGGATCAGATCGCCACACCTGGGCAGCGATGATTCGAGATGTGTTCATGAAGCCGGCTCATCCTCCCGTAGGAGATAACCGAAGTAAAGTAAAGCAAGTAAAGCATGGATAGTAGGGAAGTAGGTTCATTATTCACGGCTGAAATCTCTCTTGTTAAGGCTAGAAAGATGGAACTTTCAACATGAATAGACGTTACTTTATTTCACAGGTTCTCGTCATTTGTAGAATAGCTGAAACTGCAACAATTATAAAAGAATGAAAATGAAGTGCCTCACTATTTAGGAATGATAACAGGGAAAATTTTTATAAAGGAAGGAGGCATCAAGCAAGTAAACATAACGATTTCTAGTTGAAGTCATTATCAGTTTATTTGAATAGCAAAGTATAAAGTGGTGTGTGTGTGGAGGTAGGGAGGAAATGGCAGGAAACCGAAAAATCGTAGGCACTGACGACAGCTTGTAAGGTAATGTAACAATTCAAAAAAAGGCTGAAATCAGCTCACTGAGGGAAAATCATTAACATGGATGATTATTACAGTAATAGTACATAAAGCGACGTTCATCGGTAAAAAGTATGAAATGGTGGAGAGATAAACTTGACGTCAGAGAGAGAGAGAGAGAGAAAATGAACTAGTATTGCGCCAAAACACTGCAGACACGAAAAAAGACGACGGAGGAGGACAATTCTTTGGGCAGAATTACCGCACAATACGGAAGATCTGTTCAAATGATGGTTTTCAGAATAAAGTGTACACAATTTCCCTACATAGAGATATCGAATTCCAAATAAGCATTCCAATACCAAGTCTCTTGTTTTCTGTCGTTACATTTTGGTGTCATCGACAGTGGATATCCTATGACCTGCTACCTTCGAAGAAGCACACATCAGGAGCTTCGATGCCATTGCTGAGTTGATGGGTGTAAGGAATCCGACAGCGAAGGTGATGACGATGGGCACGCTGCTTAGAGATCAATTAAGAACAGCATACGACAGTATGGAGTGGTTAGACGATAAAGAAACCTCAAAGGTGTTGATTGAGCAGCCTGACGGATATGCAGCATGCAACGCAGCAGTTCCGTGCCGTTAATCTGGGACCTAATGGAGACCCGTTAGTGTTAGTGGTGAAGTTGAAAGATCTTCCTTGTTTCGCACGCACCTCATTGGATGAAAAGTCAGAGGCGCAGTTACTGACTTCTCAGTTCATCAAGAATGTTCCACGGTAACAAATCTCAGCAACTACAACGCTGGTTAACGCTGCGCAACCCATGGACATTGATGAGCTAGGGAAAGTGACCAAACAGCTATTGAGCACAACGGCAGCCGTAAAAGCGCCACCGAAATCGAACGAACCGTCAAACTATTGCAAGCTTCAGAGATTATTTTCGTTTCTTTTTCTTTCTTATGTCGGGGCATTGCATAGTTCTGTTAACAGTAAACCAGTTGGTCAGCGTCCCGAAGCAAGCACATGCACATATGCTGTTGTTTTGCAGATGACTGGTGATAAAGGAAGCCTGACATATTTACAGTTGGACGGAGTAGGAGACTAAATTTGTGTAACTTTCTTCTCATTAGCTTCTTGTTTAATGTGTTGATAGTGTGGTAATGTGATAACCTGAACTAATATACAACGACCTTATGTCCTATTTTGATAAATTTTAGTAACTGTGTGCCTATTCACACTCGCCTATTTTGTTTATACTGAAATTCATAAAGGCAATGAGTTTCACGAGCCAAGGAAATGTCATGTTCTTGTTTTTTGTTATGTGTACATATTTCTGTATTTCAACAGTCACCATAGTTTCATCATGAGCTGACAATAGTTACAGAACCATCGAAAAACCAGCTGGGAGTACTGTACAGCTGTTTCGTCCTAGTTTGGGACTCTTCAGCAGTACATATCCACCGGGATTCCAACCCAGGACCCCTATGTTACAAGGCGAGCTCGTATACCATTAAGCCACTGGTACCCGATCCAGTCCCAGGCACTAGGACGAAACAGCTGTCCAGTACTCCCTGGTTGGTTTTCCAATAGTTCCCTAACCAACTGGTGTCAGCTTATGATGAAATCCTGTAATCAATCAACCAAATCCCTACAAACCAACACTTGAAAGTCACCATAGTTTTCTATACTTACTTACTTTACTTTCCTTCAGCTATCTCCTACGGGAGGATGAGCCGGCTTCATGAACACATCTCGAATCATCGCTGCCCAGGTGTGGCGATCTGATCCAAGGTTTTGCCACGACAGGCTTATCCAATTCTTGTTCCACAGACGGAGTCCATAGACGGTTTGTAGCCCCAGCCCAGTCACTCCATATCAGCCTTGACTGACTGTACTAAGCCATGTGTTTTCAGCTGTCCACCCCATCGACATCGTCAAGATGGAAATGGCGAGGAGGGATTTAGAACTGATTTGACTGATTTGACCAGATCGTCATCTGGTCGGCCCGGCCCAGAACATGGCCAAACCACCGAAGGCCACGTTGTTCGACCAGTACTGGTTGATGTTGGTTGATGTTGTAGCAACGACAGTTCATGAAGTTTCATGGGAATTAGGTACGAGTGATGTCCGCCCCCCAGAATCGCTCGGCCTTTTGTTTGAGAGTACAGCTCTAGCCTTTACACAACCAACCAAGTGTGACCTCCTACAAGGCTGTAGGAGTGGAGTAGGGGGGAGTCCACTATCCATTGGAAGCCAGCCGGTGACCGGAGTCCGGTTCATACGCCTTTTTGAATGGGGCCAGACATGCACCAGCGCATCCAATAAGCCCTTTGTCCATACGTCTGCCTACCGGTGAGCTCCGCTCCGCTGAGCTTCATACGCCAGTCGTTGGAGGTTTGGAATCAGGCAGGGTTTAGCCATCTCCCCTAGACTGTCTGTCATCCAATGGACAGTCAGTCAACCCGGTGAATAGCGCCGGTCATCCGCTTTTGCCCTCTCACTTCGGTGGTGACAAACACCTCCGCCACGTGAAGGCAGTGAGGACTGAGGACTTCCTGAGGAGAGGCTACGTAAGACGCCCGGTCATATGGGAGGATTTCAAGAGGTGTACGGTGGGAGGGGTGGCCAACTCGCATCGTAAGCCACCTACCCCCGATCATAATCAGCTTGCTATCCATCCTGAATTATGTCTTCTACTGTCTGTTAACATGGGTTACGGACTATGTGGATCGTAACTAAGTAACGGGAACGCTTCGAACAGTAAGTAAATTTATCGTACGGTGTCTTTTGTCGATCACCTTTGTGTCGTGTTTACTTTGACATTATAATGCTTTCATTGATATAACGCGGTGGGAAGGCTGAAATACAATTGTATAAATTGGCTTTGTCAGTCAACCAAAGAAGTCACTGTAACAACAAGCAAACTGCATAATTGACATTAACCACAGTCACAAGGAAACATATGCAATACGAAATAAGGTATCGAGCAATTCTTTATACGTACCTGATACTACTTATCCGAAAAGTGCTGTTATTTCTAACTTAAGTATAATGCCTAATGCAATTTATGTATGGAGAGGACATCAGTCTTTATCGAATGACTTTCTAATTTTTGTCTGTTTTACAATCTGTCCTTTGAGTTGGCCAAAACAGCTTAAGAATAACGCACCATAAACTAGCCACATTAGAATGTGGAAACCGCTCTTTGCGAATAAGTTCAATCAGTTGAAATATCTCTTACGATTAAACAAAAAATAATATTTATGAATTGAATTTTTGATTTTCCCGTCGATTGATTGATTGGACCGAAGTGATCGGTCTCAGGTTGACATGTCGGCTTCTTGTGTAGATGCTTCGATACGATGTCTGGGCATTGAATTAGTATACAATTGGTGGATGGTGTCTAGCAGTGGAATCCAGGATAAAGCGCATTTCGTCCTATTTGGGACTCGTCAGCCACTGGATGTACCTGCATTTCTCAGCGAGTGATGATGTTCCCACATGTCAACCTGAGACCAAGCACTTCGGTCCAATCAATCAATCGACGGGAAAATCAAAAATTCAATTCAATAAGTAATATGACCCGTTGCACAAGAGATGGTCAGCTCTCGTGGCCCAAGTGGTCTAGTGGATAACGCTTTGGAGTTTGAAACTATGGGCACTGGGTTCGAGCCTCCGTGGTGGGAACATCATCATCACTCACTGAGAAATGCAGGTACATCCAGTGGCTGACGAGTCCCGAATAGGACGAAATGCGCTTTATCCTGGATTCCACTGCTAGCCACCATCCACCAATTGTATACTAAACAAATAATATAACTGATAAAATACTAACAGAAAAATAAATAAATAAGTACATAAAATGTGCATACATACCACTTGTCTGCCAGTTTAAAACAGTTTCTGCTTTTTTCACTTGTTCATCGAATGTGTTTATTTCACCGGTGATAAGTTGTGATTCTTCAGGTAAAAGTTTATTCGACAAATAGCTATAGGCTTGAACAATCATATCTAAACTGATATGGAAATTGCGTAATTTATCATTTTGTTCATATAGTTTAGCTGCTGACTCAGGTATTGTTTCTTTGGCACGTATACCCAAATATTTGACTTCACGGAGAATAGCTACAAGCTGATTATATATGAAAGCAAAAAAGGTAAAACCATGGGATTAGTGATTATTAAACAAAATAAAACAAAACAAAAAAAAGAAAAACAATCATCTAAACATTTTAAAATTTGCACTGCTTTCTAAAAATATTTGTCGGGAAGGTAAAACGATAGCATTAGCAGTTACATTTACTTCTAATGTAACTGTCAATCATCTTTGCCTCCAAAGCCTCAGGATGGTCGGGGGTAGGTGGCTTGCGCTGCCGGTTGGCCACCCCTCCCACCGTACACCTCTTGAAATCCTCCCATATGACCGGGCGTCTTACGTAGCCTCTCCTCAGGAAGTCCTCAGTCCTCACTGCCTTCACGTGGCGGAGGTGTTTGTCACCACCGAAGTGAGAGGGCAAAAGCGGATGACCGGCGCTATTCACCGGGTTGACTGACTGTCCATTGGATGACAGACAGTCTAGGGGAGATGGCTAAACCCTGCCTGATTCCAAACCTCCAACGACTGGCGTATGAAGCTCAGCGGAGCGGAGCTCACCGGTAGGCAGACGTATGGACAAAGGGCTTATTGGATGCGCTGGTGCATGTCTGGCCCCATTCAAAAAGGCGTATGAACCGGACTCCGGTCACCGGCTGGCTTCCAATGGATAGTGGACTCCCCCCTACTCCACTCCTACAGCCTTGTAGGAGGTCACACTTGGTTGGTTGTGTAAAGGCTAGAGCTGTACTCTCAAACAAAAGGCCGAGCGATTCTGGGGGGCGGACATCACTCGTACCTAATTCCCATGAAACTTCATGAACTGTCGTTGCTACAACATCAACCAACATCAACCAGTACTGGTCGAACAACGTGGCCTTCGGTGGTTTGGCCATGTTCTGGGCCGGGCCGACCAGATGACGATCTGGTCAAATCAGTCAAATCAGTTCTAAATCCCTCCTCGCCATTTCCATCTTGACGATGTCGATGGGGTGGACAGCTGAAAACACATGGCTTAGTACAGTCAGTCAAGGCTGATATGGAGTGACTGGGCTGGGGCTACAAACCGTCTATGGACTCCGTCTGTGGAACAAGAATTGGATAAGCCTGTCGTGGCAAAACCTTGGATCAGATCGCCACACCTGGGCAGCGATGATTCGAGATGTGTTCATGAAGCCGGCTCATCCTCCCGTAGGAGATAGCTGAATCAAACAATAAACAAACAACATTAACAACGTGAATTCTGTCGTTTTTGCCACTCTCTTTCCATTTTCGTCGGTGTACCAGAGTAAACTGGTGTATCTGTCATTCTTTTAATGTTATCATACAATCTTTGAAGAGTGTAAAATAATTAACTAGTTATCGTGAGTTAGTCTTCCAACAGAATTATTACCGTGTTCAGTCGTTTATTCATAGACCTACTGTTCTTTTGTTGTAGTCATCCATATTTTTTTCTAGTCAGTTTGTGGTTCATATCTCATGCCGAACACTTGGTATCGCGCTTCAACATTTGTATTATTATTATTATTGCTCCCTTGGGTTCCTAGCGGAACATAGGGCTTCAACTGCACGTCTCCACTTGCCACTTCTGTCTTCCTTCTGCTGTACTTTTCACCTGCATCCATGTTAGTCCATTTTCTTTCAACTCCTCTTCACACGATCTCCTCCATGTCACCCTTGCACTGACGTCCCACACGCCGCCGCTTCCCTTTCGGGTTCCACTCGAAGGCTTGACGCGCGATGTCACCCAGCGGTCTCCTCAGCGAGTGACCGATCCATCTCCACTTTCTCCTGCGTATTTGTTGGGCGATTGGTCCTTGCTTTGTTTGTTCCCATAATTCCTTGTTGGTGATTCTTTCCGGCTCGGCCCGGCCATCTGATCTTCAGTATAGAGCCAGTGAAGACAGTTGTTGATAAAGGTCTGGTCTGCAACAGGCTGTTGGAAATATTCTTTGTGATCCACTCGTCAAGTTTCTGATCCGTATAAAAGAACTGACTTGACGTGTTTGTATTGAAAATTCAACCGAATTTTGTTGTTGATTCTGGCTGAGTGACGAAAATTTCTAGATTGATTTCAGGTTGATGAATGTGTTTCTCGCCTTCCCGACTCTCGATTTGACATCCTCGTCCGCTCCTCCTGTAGTTGAGACAATGCTCCATAGATAAGTGAGTGAATGAAGTAACCTCTTTCAAATCCCTCCCGTTGATGGTGATTGACGTTGGATGTTGTTGCTGTTGTTGGTTGTACTGACGACTTAATTCCCTGCAATTTTGACACAGGCGAGTAAGATAGGCGTTCATCACTCTGGATACCTATATCATTCAGGACAAGAAACAATCACGGAAGTTCAAACGCTAATGTGAGGCCCGTGCTTCTATGTAGCTCAAGGGCTTGAACTGCCCGTCACTGGAGACACAATATTCTTCACATCTGCCTCCTTCAGATGATACGCAGCTGGAAGACAAGAAAGGCCAAGCTTCAGGGGACCCTGAAAGCTAGCCAGACATGAAAAAGCCATCCAAAGGAAGGAAATAGAGATGGGTGGATTAGAGACACTCCGAGGAGGCGGTAAAGTAATATCACACAGCAGATACGCTTTACAGTAAAACCTGAGCGTTCGACGGTGACATATGGAAAAATATATAAGGCGGAAGTGAAAGCTTGTGGACAGTCGTCGAATGGAGATGTGCTGTTGAAGCCCCTGTTCTCCAGTCAATTCCCCAAGAAACGTACATTAATAATCCAAATATGATTACATTTGTACAGTTATAGAAATGAAAATGTCTCAAGGAGAATTTTTCTCTCGCTGAAGCCTTTGTTGCTAATTTGTATCAGGGGTTACTTTTGGTTAATATTTAGTTTTGAAATATCAATAATTGATCCTCTTTATTAATTCTTTGATTCATCTTCTTGACTATGTTGTCTGATTTGTTTTATGTGCGGATCATATTCAGTGCTTGTGGTGCAGCCAACTTTTGTAATTCTAAAATATTCGCTTCATCATTGTCTTTCCACCAAAAACAAGTTTACTAGCATCTCTATAGTAATCGTATTTATCTAACCGTTCAGCTAAGGCAGCAAAAAATGTTTTCTGTCTTGAAGTGAACCCTTGTGGCGTCTATGAACATTTTTAGTGTGTTCTGATTAATAAGATTGTCCTGGGAGTTAGATATACAGTGGAAAAACGTCGACTGAAATAAAATTGTAACATATTATCCTACTCAGTTGGTATGTCTGTTAAAGATGACTACAAACATGAAACCCTAAAAAATGGAATGAAGTACAAAACTATTCCCATGAAAATTAACAAAATGGAAGTCCACTTACAGTATGATAAGGGAGAAGGCGTTGTCATTATGAACAAATCGGATTATCAAAATAAAATGAACGATATCCTCAAAGATCAGTCCAAATTTCTGGTGGACAATGCTACTGATAACCTACTGCTTGTGGAAAAGCAGATCAGTCGTCAGCTTCAGATTTTACTGATGCATGGTTTTATAAATGAAAAACTTTATAAACAACTTAAACCAATTGGGTCACATACTCCTCAGCTCTATGGTCTTCCAAAGATCCACAAAACTGGGAGCCCACTGAGACCCATCTTAGACATGTCAAATTCTCCTTACCATAAAATCGCCAAATGGATTACAGAGGTACTTACGCCTGTAAGAGACTCATTATCAAATCATTTTGTAAAACAGTTCATTTGATCTTACAGAAATGCTGGACACCTTGAACATTAAGGGAAAGGTTATGTGTTCAATCGACATAGAATCTTTATTCACCAATGTTCCCCTTCATGAAACTGTTGATTTTATTTGCGATTACATCACAAGCAACGGGATAAACTTACCCATTCCCTCCACTTACATCAAAGACATAATCTTAAAGTGTACAGAAAATATTAGATTCACATTCCAAGAAAAGGCATATAAACAAATCGATGGTGTTGCGATGGGAAGCCCTCTGGGGCCCCTGTTAGCAGATATATTTATATGTCGAAATTAGAGAAACAAATGCAAGGTATGCTTGGAGGATTTATGCTGTATAAACGTTATGTAAACGACACTCTTATTATTGGTAATAATAGTAAATCTATTGAAAACTTCATTACTCTATTTATTCATATTCATCCAAATATTCGAGTGACTTCCGAACTAGAATCGAATAACAAACTCGGTTTCCTGGATATTACTATGATCAGGAGAAATGATGGAACGATTCAGCGATCTATTTGTCGTAAACAAATATGGACTGGACAATATCTTCATTTTACCAGTTTTGTTCCTATCCAGTATAAACGTTCCCTAGTGTGAAATGTTTGTTCTCAAGGGCCAGAAAAATATGCACGAGTGACACACTGATGGATGAGCTTCGACATGTACATTCAGTTTTATTAGCTAATGGTTATCCGGAGAGCTTTATCACTTGTCACAGCAAAGAAAAACCACATCTTGAAAAGAAAGCCATCTTTATTAATCTACCATTCAAGGGTGACCAGATTATGCAGTTGACAACTCAAAGACTTCTATCAGCCATCAAATGCACATTCTACGCCGCCACATCTCTTTTTCTCACTTGCCGAACATTTTCAATCCCTGTCCCTACGATTGAAGGACGAAATTCTGTGGACTCTATTCCCCTCAAACTGTATCTACAAGTTCACCTGCAGCTGCGGTGACACCTATATAGGTAGAACTAACAGAATGTTCCAATGTCGTCGAAAAGAACATATTCCAAAATGGCTAGTAAATCATATCGAAAATCCTAACGCGATTAATCTTAATACAAATCCAGCATCATCCATTGCAAAACACTTATTAATGTCTGGTCACAAAATCAATCAATATGAATGACTGTTTCACAATTATTTCACATAACTCTAATTCAAGGTTGGTTATTGAAGGTGATGGAAGCACTCTTCTGGGATTAATCACATACAGCCTAAACTGTGTGTACAGTCAAAACAATAGACTTCAATCTTCGCCTACCACGATGGACTGCATGACCTGTCTTAATATGATTGGTCATTAGCATGTACTTTTTTGTTTTTTTATTTAACTGAGTAATTGTCATGAACTTTATTTTATTATTATTGTTAACCATGTTGCTAGTTGTAATGCGGTTGTAAAGCGGAAACTACGAAACGACGATATCATCTCGCGGCGAAATTTGTCTTCTTAATGCCTTGTTCAAATTTATCAAAGGGACTAATTGTTTTAAGGTATCTAAATGATTGCGGTTAACTTTCAGTGATTTACCCACCTAGTTTCAGTATGTTTGTTTATTCAGTAGACGACTAGAGGATTGATGACATTGTTATTCTGACCTTTCTTCTTTAGGATTTTATGCTTTGACTTTTGATTATCTCTGTGAAGACTATTTAAATCAACAAACGGAAAGACACACTGAAGTCGTAAATGATTCTGGAATATACGAAGCTCGTAAAAGAGCCCCACTCTTCAATTCTGATCATTGTATTGTACGAGTCTTACCCAAAATTTACGGAAAGTTACACAGTAAAGCCCTCTCAAACTTGTCTAAGAAAGTTGTTCACAGATGCTACTCAAATGAGAACGTACATCATCTTAGAAACATGCTCAGTGACACAAGATGGGATTTGTTTAATGTTGATTCACTTAATGACAATATCTCTAATATTACATCCTATCTGAAATTCTGTTTTGAAATCTGTTGTCCAAAAGAAACACTATTCGTCAAATTTGACCGTTTCTCCTCGCCTCAACTTAAAAAGCTTCGTAGAGAGAAGGAAAAACTATATAAAATCAAAGATAAAATTGGTGTAAAAAGAACTAACTTCTTAATTAAGTCTGAAATGCAGAGGTTGAATGTAATATATAACCAGAAATTCATGTCCTGCAAAAATCCTTCTAATATGTGGAAACTATTTAAGGAAATCACTGGTGGTAAGCAGATAAACAATATTCCATATTCTTTTGATGTATGTACTCTTAACAAATCTTTTATTTACTCTCCCTCAAATGCCATGCTTCCCAGCATCACTTGTGTTAATAATAGCCCCTTTCCAGGTTTTAACACAAATGATGTTCAAAAGTGCCTCAAGTCTCTAAACCCTTCCCAGAGCTTAGGTCCCGATTATGTACCTAGTATTATTTTTAAAAAATGTTCTGATATTCTGTGTCACCCTCTTACTGATCTATTTAACAAATCTTTTTCCGATAATATTGTGCCTGCCGTTTGGAAGGACATTAAAGTTGTACCCATACCTAAATCTTCTACTGGAGCATGTGTCAAATTTAGACCCATTGCTATTACGTCTCCTTTTTTGAAAACTATGGAGAAATTACTTTTACTTAGTCTTGAACCTTCGCTTAAATCCTTTAATGACCCTAAACAATTTGCCTATAAGCACAGTAGAAGCACTTTAGATGCAGCTGCCGTCTTATATCATAACATTGCTTCCAGTCTAGACAAGGGGGCTAAATTTGTTCGTTGCGCCTTCCTAGACTATACATCTGCTTTCGACTCGGTCCCTAGGGACATCTTATTAAATAAACTTGCTGCTAGTCAAACAGAATGTTGGGCTGTTAACTGGTTGCATTCCTATTTCTCAGATAGAAAGCAGTACACCGTATATAAAGGGAAGTCCTCCACTTCATTGCCTACTGAAGCTGGTGTCCCTCAAGGTGCTGTTCTTTCTCCTTTTCTTTTTTCTTTCTTCTTGCACGACTTGCCTCACTCTGATGAAATAAACTTTGTGAAGTATGCTGATGATTTAACGGTTTCAATGGCTGTTAACTCCCAGCTAGATTGTACTAAAATAAATAGCTTTCTATCGGAAGTCAGCAAATGGTCTGAGTCTAACGGTCTTAAACTGAATCCTTCTAAGTGTCAAACTGTTGATTTCAGCTTAAGATGTAAACGACAGTTAAAAGAAGTCATCGATTCTCATGACACTTGTAAAATTGACGACAATGATATTGGAATCAAATCAGAAATTAAGTATCTTGGACTCATTCTCTCTTCTGATCTCTCCTGGTCTTCCCATGTCTTAGCAATCTCCAGTAAAATATTCCGCTTGACATTTTACATTAAGAAGTTAAGACACTCGGGTATAACTCAACCCCTCATCCTACAGTTCGTAAACTCTTGCATCCTACCTATTCTTCTTTATTGCTCACCCTTATTCTTTCCTGGTTTGCTTAAAAAAGACTATGTCACAATTCGTAGAATACTGAAGACTGTCAGTAGGGTGAGTGGTGTCCCAGTGGACCACATAGTTAACGTCGTTGTCGATAGGCACTTGACTTCGTGCAATAAATTTGCTAAAGGGATTTTGTCTGACTTGGAGCATCCGCTTTACCCTCAGCTTTCACCTTGCATCTCCTCAGGTAGAACAAGGAGTAACTTCAGAAAACTGTATGCTCGCACGTCTAAGTATAAGAATTCTATGATACCATACTTGGCACGTATTTTATGTGATGAAAATAGTGTCAGGCAAGAATTAACTAACCTTTTTCATCTAGTAAATAAACAATTTCCTCCATCCATCCTTATATACCTTCAAGTTTTACTTTTATTACTTCTATTATATTTATGGTCCTGTTACTTCTCTGTTTTACTCTCATAATTGCAAACACCAACTTATCTCCATGACGGCTGTAATCTTTGTTTTTCCCCTCACCATATCATGTAAAGAGAACATTATATTCAATATTTTTAAACATGTTAGGATTTCTATACCACATTGCCAATACTGTGTGACACAAGCCAACGGCAATTTTCACTTGTATTATTATTATTATTACCCTAGCTGTTATCATTATTATTGCTATTTCCATTTTATATGCTGCATGTTTTTGACACTACCTCTATTGTAAATGTGGAAAATTTTCTGTGTGATTAATTTTATTTATAATTTGAGGAAATTAGATGCAATATTGTGATTAATGCTGAAAATTCCAATCTGTATCACAAGTACTGTTTTTGGAATAAAGTAAATCATTATTATTATTATTATTATTATTATTAAAAGTCATTTTGTTTGGATTCCTACTACTAATGATGATTATTTAAACCGGTGGGAATCACAGTGTTTGTGGTATTATTTAAGCATGGATATTTTATTATTTGATCCAATCAAAGGGAGGAGGGCATTCAAGTGGTGTTACTCCACTGGATAATAGTGTGCGCACTTCTGGTTCAGTTAACGGCGAAGATGCGTGTCTGCAGTGCTAATAAAAACCGGTCACTGGGTGTAGTATCATTAATTCAATTATACGTCGGTGGTTCAATGATAGAGGGCTTGCAAGATATGCACGAGTTCGTTGACATTGATTGGAACAGTGATTGAAACTAGTAACTAGTGTGATATATCTAGTCCTTGCTGACGAGTGCCAACTAATACGAAACCTAGATGCAAGGCTTCTTGCAGATTGCTTCCAGCCATCTGTAGATATATGTCGGGTGTAATTGTAAATAAGCATGAAGCTAACGAACTTAGCAGTCAGTTAACAATGACTGCCTTCATGGTGTTAAAAAATCGAGTTATATTCCCTTGCGCGTTTATTTTTCTCTAGTGACTATCTAATATGATGCCTGTACTTTATCATGTTCATATTATCAAATTTAAGTGCTTCAACAATAATTATCTTTATCATTTACTTGTGTAGGCGTCGATGGCATAGCGGTTAGGACGCTCACCGACCAGGCACATGGTCCGGGGTTCGGTCTCCGGTCACCGACGTATTCCTTTACCTCGCTGAAACAGAAATAATCCTGGTAAAGAGGAAAGGTTGGGCATGAGGCTAGCACCCCTATCCTGTAAAATAAACACTGCTACGCAAAACTTCAAGCCACTAGCTTGAAGGTGCCCTATGTTCCACTGGAAACGTGAAGGAAAAATGATTATTATTATTTACACCATAACAAGTTTATACATAAATTGGCCATACTCTGAGAAGACCATCAAATGACAGGACACGCGAAGCTCTCTCTCTCTCTCTCTGTCAAGCGGAACCCGAATAGGAAAGGGTGACATGGAAGAGGTGATTAGAAGATGGGATGAAAGCATGTGGACAGACTTGGAGCTGGATGAAAACACTGGCAGAGAACCGAACGCAGTGGAGACGTGCGGATGAAGCTTATGTTCCTCTAGGAACTAAATGATACAATAACAATAATAAATAAATAATTCAAGATTATGCTCAACAGTCTACCATCTTTATTGTGATATAAATATACACACTGGACGGTGAAAGCAAGGGATATAGAAAAGACATTAACAGTAGTCAATGTCCGTCAAATATTGAATCTCATTAGGGAAACGGGTTATAAAAACGCTGTGATAATTCAAACGGTCTCCTTATAGGATTAGAACTCTAATAACCCATTAAGAGAAACGTCTGAAACTGTGAATGGAACATTTTCGGTAATATTCAAGTGCTGGTTTGTAGGGATTTGGTTGACTGGTTACAGGATTTCATCATGAGCTGACATTGGTTAGAGAACCATTGGAAAACCAGCCACAGGGAGTACTGGACAGCTGTTTCCCTCGTCCTACTTTGGGACGCTTCACAGTATGCAACCATCGAGGTTCGGACCCAAGATCTTCTGGTTACAAGGCGAGCCAGCTCGTGTACCATTAAGCCACTGGAACCCGATCCAATGGTCCTTGAATTCTAACTTTGAATTCCTTGAATTCTTTATTATCTTGATAGGAGGTAAAGTAAGTTGACAAATTATTCTGCTTCATTTCATATTCAGTTCAGTTACTATTGATCAGGGTTTAGACGATGCTTTTTCCCTAACTTAAGTTAATGAATTCATTAACATATTTACTTCATAATCTTTGGTAGAATGAAATCCTGTAATCAATCAACCAAATCCCTACAAACCAACACTTGAATATCAGTGAGATGGTGATTAGCGACTAACCATATTCAGGTAGGTAGATAGTTACCTGAAGTTCTAGTGGGAAGTTGTAACCAATAGGATGCAGCAGGTCGGGTGTGAGAGGACAAATACTCGCTGAAGACACTGGCCAGTGGTCACACTTTGTCATGAATTGGCAGAAGTTAGAATTTATTGGCCATCAGATTGGGCTTAATGGTCTACGAGCTGGCTCACCTTGTAACCAGGAGGCGCTGCGTTCGAACCCAAGTGGGGTGCGTACTGCAGGGAAAGTCCTGAACTAGTGGGATGAAACAGCTGCCCAGCACTCCCATGTGGTTTTCTCCAATGGTTCTCTAACCGATTTCAGCTCATGAAGAAATCCTGTAACCTATCCTAATTGATTTCAAGAAATATGATATCCTAGCCAAAAGTTTAGTGGTGAAAAAGATAGATATGTGTCTCAAATCATGCCATTCTTTACAAAATAGGCACTAAAGTCAATTGATAAGGAAGTGAATGTTTATCACCTGTAATTCTTCACATATGTGTACATGCCAAGAACTTAATTTTCCAAATACAAACAATTAGTTGAAGCCTAGTTAAGTTCAAGAATGCCGGCAAGGCTGTCTCGTTAAGGCATGAGATTTTATTTTGTGCTATGCAGGAAAATTTTTCTAGCTTTCTAGCGCTAATTTCCTTTAAAAAGCTGCAAAACCAGTGAGTGATCCATTAGATTCTTCTACAATGACTTGGGTTCAATGACACTGGAACAGCTGTGTTTATTCTTTTTTTCTTTTTTTCTCTCTGAAGTTTTTGGGTGTTACTCCAGCGATCTGAAATTATCTCTGAAATTACCAGCCCTTTCAGTTATCCTTTTTTAAATGGTCGTCTGTTTTGATTACACTTTATTTTGATGCAGTATATTTGTGGTGAGAGCAGCCTGCTAGCCAATTGGTTGACATTGATCCAAGTCAATGTCTAGGTCACTAATATCGGCCGTGAGAAAATATGAACAAGGCTGATTCAACAACAATCACAGAAAACTTAAACGTCGGAAAATATGATTCGCAGATAGATGGCTCCACTCCACTTTCCGTCCAAGGAACTCGAAAACAACCAATCAGAAGACTGCTACTTTTGTCTACTTGACTAGGCTATAATAATGTATGTGAAATTTATATAAATACGTGTTGATTTCCGTAATAAAACGATCCGTTACCTGGCCCATGTCTTCTGTTGGTACGTAGTAACTTATGTGACATTTCATATATCTTTGGTCTTTTTTAAGTACACAAGTTTACAGTGTCTGATCGACCATCTGGAAGCTGTTTTACTTTCAATTCAAAGGTGACACAATCCATCCAACAACATTCCTTTCAACATCGTCTTCGTCTTATTGTAACCGATAAAAAAAGAAAATAATCCTCATTGTAATGTGCAATTTTACTAACAGTTAATAGTCAACCATCTTAAAATATTCATAGACATTGTTTAAATTATTATGATAATAATAATAGTTTTCTATAGTTTGGTTTGTAAGAGTTTCTAATGTTTTTACGAGTTGATCACGGATTGATTGATATCAGTTAGAGAACCATTGAAAACCAGCACTGGGGTACTGGACAGCTGCTGTTTCATCAGCCTAGTTTGGGAATCATCGTCAGTACTCACCCCCCACTGCCAGTGTTCGAACCCAGGACTTTCCGGTTACAAGGCAAGCCCGTATACCATTCAGCCACAAAGAGATCTCGGTCAAGAATTGGGACCGGTTAACTCTTTTTATGGCCTACGTGCTGAATTTATTGTTAGGGAGGAAATACAACAATACACTAAGGTATGCTGATACAATGTCCAAGAGAACACAACCTTCTGCTTTTCTCTCCAACGGCATAAATGATAAACTATCTTCTAATGATTATTATAGTCGAGATGGTAGACGGGAAGTCCGTAGACCTTTTGATGTTTATGTATCCGGAATTAAAAGGTTGACGGATGCAGACAGGCCTGAATCATCAAGTCTCCCATCAAAGTCAACTGAAATGATTTCTGGAGAAAAGTTTAACTAGGATAAGCGAGTGGAATTATAATTGATCGAAATTGATCTGTTTCTACGTGACGATCTCTGTTTCAATGCATCAAGTCTGGAAGTCACCTTATTTATGGGTTCGAACCGCCTGTGGTGGGTGCGTACTGCCGATGATTTCCAAACTAGGCTGATGAAACAGCTGCTGTCCAGTACTCCAGTGCTGGTTTTCAATGGTTCTCTAACTGATATCAATCCGTGATCAACTCGTAGAAACATAACTAACCCTTACAAACCAAACTATAGAAAATTAATCTGATGCTCTCTTGCTACTGACTTGGTACAGGTTGGAGTTTCCTGAGTTCTAGTGAGAAGTCGTTACCAGTGAGGTCCAATTAGATGTCATGTGTGTGTGGATGGATGTCCCACCAACGACAATGGTTGGGGTCGTGCTAAATCACGAATTGGTAGAAGTTAGAATTCATGGACTGGTCATTGAAGAATCGGGTCCCAGTGAGTTGGTGAATGGTAATACGAGCTAGCTTGCCTTGTAACCAGAAGGTCCTGGGTTCGAACCCTGGCAGTGGGGGGTGAGTACCGACGATGATTTCCAAACTAGGCTGATGAAACAGCAGCTGTCCAGTACTGCCTGTGTCTGGTTTTCAATGGTTCTCTAACTGATATCAATCCGTGATCAACTCGTAAAAAATAATAATAGTGATAATAAAACTTAGGAATATATGTACGACTTATAACTAACCTTCGCATCAAAGTTTACGCTGAGCATTTTTGTGTTTGAATCACGTACAAGTAATGGTTGAGATAAATTAAATGAGCATATCTCATCAACACTTTTAGACCATTCAATAAATGCATCTTTTTCATAACTAAATCAAAAGTAAAATGATAAAATGCAATTAGAAAACAAATTCTTGAAATATTCACAGAATAAAAAGTTTATTTTTTTATTTATTTAAATAAGGAAGGCATTTAGAACAAATTTCGCCGCGAGATCATGGCATCATTTCGTAGTTTCCGCTTTACAACTAGCAACATGGTTAACAATAATAAAATAAAATAAATTTCATGAAAATTACTCAGTTAAATAAAAAAACACAAAATTACATACTAATGACATTCGCTCATACACTTGTGTGACATTGATTTTTCCTTGTGTTTGAAAAATACAAGTATCAGCGTGAACCTAGTGGTGAATTATTACCAACTTTCACGTGGTGCTGCGATGGAACCTTTATTCCAAGAGTTATGTCCTGCTCGATAGTCGCGGACATACATACGGTCACCAACATCAATTTTTTTTCATTCCGAAATGATGCGTCGGCACGTTTGAGTGTCGGTGGTAACACTGAGTTGTGAATCGTTCTAAGTTTGCGTCCGTAAAGAATTTCTGCCGGCGATTTCTTGTTCTGTGTTGACTCATTCGCCGTTGTACGGTACACCATCAAGAATTTTCGGATGATGTCAAATGGTGTCCCCTCTCCCTCTGCTTTGAGTAAGGCTCTCTTCAAAGTGTCGACAAAACGTTCCGCTTGGCTGTTTGACTGAGGATGATACGGCGGTTTGAACATATGCTCGATAGCATTTTGACGACAGAACTGCTGAAACTGATAAGAGGTAAACTGCGAACCATTGTCCGTAACTATGGTTTCTGGGAGAATATGTCAGTGAGAGCTTTGAGAGTCTGGGACGTTGTCGGTGAAACCATTGGTGTAACTTCTGGCCACTTAGAGAAAGAGTCTACCACCACTAAATAATATGCACTATTTGTAGGGCCAGCAAAATCAATATGAATCCTGGACCAAGGATGGGCTGCTGGTGGCCACGGTACAGGAGGTAGCTGGTGTACAGCCTAAACTGTGTGTACAAAAAATCAATAGACTTCAATCTTCGCCTACCATGGACTGACTACATGACCTATCTAAATGTGATGATTGGTCATTAGTATGTACTTTTGTGTTTTTTTTATTTAACTGAGTAATTTTCATGAACTTTATTTTATGATTGTTAACCATGTTAGTTGTAAAGCGATTGTAAAGCGGAAACTACGAAATGACGATATCATCTCGCGGCGAAATTTCTCTTCTTAATGCCTTGTTCAAATTTATCAAAGGGACTAATTGTTTTAATTTTATTTATTTATTTATCTGATTATCAGTCAATTTGTGCGAAGTGTTTTTGTTTCAGATTTGAAAGACTAAAATACAAGTTCTCTTGATTACAGGATTTCATCATCATGAGTTGACATTGGTTAGAGAATGATTGGAAAACCAGCCACAGGGAGTACTGGACAGCTGTTTCATTCAAGTTTGGGACTCTTCAATAGTACACACCCACCCCACTGGGGTTCAAACCCAGGGCCTTCTGGTTAGGAGGCTAGCGAGCTCATAGACCATTAGGCCACTGGGACCCGATCATTGGCTAGCGGTTGCGCTATATCGCGAATTGGCAGAAGTTAGAATTCATAGGCCATTGGATCGGGTCCCAGTGGCCTAATGGTCTATGAGCTCGCTAGCCTCCTAACCAGAAGCCCCTGGGTTCGAACTCGAGTGTGGTGGGTGTGTACTAACTATTGAAGAGCCCCAAACTTGAATGAAACAGCTGTCCAGTACTCCCTGTGGCTGGTTTTCCAATCATTCTCTAACCAATGTCAACTCATAATGATGAAATCCTGTAAACAGTCAACCAAATCCCTACAAATCAATAATTGAATAACAAGTTCTCTTGTTCAATTTTGTCATGAAGTGACATAATTTACAGAGATAATCGAAAACCTTGAAGCATTGGACAATGGTTTTATGCTATTTTGTTACTATACAGCAGTACATAGCCACCAGCCTGCTAGGGAGGGAATCCGGTACCTCGAGGTTACGAGACCAAGCTGTCCAGCCTTTTGGGACCGTAATTCAATGGCCCATGAATTCTAACTTTGTGATATTTAGATATGCGTACTTAGACTACAGGAAAGCTCATTGATGGCTACTAGATACATGTCCTGAAGCTGTAGTGAGAAGTTGTTACCACTGTGGTTCACCATACTAATCTGAAGTGGATGTTCATCAAAGGCATCAGTAAGGCCAGCCAGCACTGTGTATCACAAGTTGATAAGGTTAGAAATTCAGGGGTCATTGAAGTCCACTATAAGTGGATAAAAAGGTAAACCAGCTCGACCTCGTAACCTGAAGTTCCCGAGTTCAATCCTTGGCAGGATCGTGGGTAAATACGTATAGCTGAACAGTAACACAATAAGATAAAACAGCTAGCTATTCACTTCTCCGTATTTTTCAGTGATGGCTGATGCATTTTTTTATGTATGCAAATGAATAAATAGAAGAGATATCTTCGGCTATGTATGAATCATTTCATCCTCTCTCGCTCTCTCTTCAGCTCATTATGTAACTGATATTTAAAAAGATAGTGCGTAAATGAGGAATGAAGATTCTAAGGATACTCATAACCACCCCTGCCCATGGGGTTTTTGACGAAATAACACTATAAACACCTTAGCAATCATTAGGGCAAATGAATAGAACTCTTATACACTGCAATATACACTGTAGCTCCATATTAGTGTCTACTGTGTAATATACGATACTGTACAAAAAACATTTGAGAAGCAATTATTATTGTATCCTTTAGTTCCTAGAGGAACATAGGGCTTCAGCTGCGCACCTCCATTGCCTTCGGTTTTCTGACAACTTTTTCACCCTGCTCCAGGTCTGTCCACATGCTTTCATCTCCTCCTCGCATGACCTCCTCCAAGTCACCCTTGGACGACCAACTCGCCGTCTCCCTTTCGGGTTCCACTCGAGGGCTTGTCTAGTGATGTCACTTGATGGTTTCCTCAGCGTATGGCCAATCCATCTCCATTTATTTCTGCCTATTTGTTTCGCAATCGGTTCCTGATTTGTTTGCTCCCAGAGATCCCTGTTGCTAATCTTTTCTGGCCATCTGATCTTGAGTATTGAGCGAAGACAGCTGTTAATGAAGGTCTGAAGTTTGTTTGAGATGCTCTTTATGACTCGCCAAGTCTCTGATCCGTAAAGAAGCACTGACTTCACATTAGAGTTGAAAATCCGGATGTTATTTTTGATGCTGAGTGCTGTTCACCTCCACACAGATTTGAGGGTAATGAAAGCTTGTCTTGCTTTTCCGATCCTCGCTGCTTTGATGTCCTCGTCAGTTCCGAGAAGCAAACTGCTATGGAATTACAGCAACTGGGGCGGGGGGGCTAGTTCCTCTCTGATCTGATGCGAGAATTGGTTTTTTTCCCTTTCGAGTTTTTGCTAGATAGAGTTTGGACTTTTCATGACAAAATGACACGAGAACATATCTTAACGGTATGCGCAGAAAGAAAGTTTTTGCGTGGTATTCATTTGTATTCAGCGCAATATGCAGAATAGACTTCGATTTTCGATTAGCTTTTTACTGAATACTCATTTGATACTGAATGGACAAATTGTTTGGAAGTATCTCCTGGATGATATATTTATTAATATTTACAACACTATTTAGACGTTTCAATCACCTTTGTAATTAGTTTACGCGTATTTCCCCTAGACTGTGTATCATTAATTTGACATTTGCATATCACATGTTGATTTTTGACCTTTATTTTATCTGTCTTTGTCCTTGTTTGATCCGTAATTGTAATACTTCTGTTTGTGGTTGTATGTGCGTACATTGACAATGTGTTGTTTAAAGCAATTGGTTCCCTTTATGAATTTAGACAAAACAATAAGAAGACGTAGTTTATCTGAAACGTGTAATGTTGTATTGGCCCAACACATTTCGGACATTCTCATCACACACACACACACACACGAGTACTCGTCATACACAGTTTTTATATAAGGCAAGAAAGCATGAATAATTACAATACAGGTCACATTGTGTACAGGTCAAGGTCACAAATAATGGGTAAGGAGACGCAAAAGGTGTGGGTGAGAAACATAAAAACAAAGCAAAGACGGGTTGAAAATATTATGAAGTAAAATTGGTCCTTGGTTCTAAGTTGGATTACCAAGGCAGGTTTAAGGTGATAACAAATAACTTTTGGACGCATAAGACAGACAGGTTCAAGTCTTTCAATGGCTAAGGCTTCAATGAATTTAAGTATGTGACCCAACCTTGTCTTATATATCGGAATGTGTTCTGTAGCCCTAACATACAGAGACCGATGGGTCCTCCCTATGTACGTGTCTCCCTCCACACATACATGTAAACTGATAAACACAGTGGGATGTGACACTCTCCAAAGTGGCTGCAACAACAAATGAAATCGCCAGATACAATTGACCTCGGAAATAGATGTCCAACATCATCTATAGCGAAGCATATTATAGAGACGGGTCATAAGGTTGATTTTAATAATGCCTTTAAGCCGATATATAAGACAAGGTTAGGTCACATACTTAAATTCATTGAAGCCTTAGCCATTGAAAGACTTGAACCTGTCTGTCTTATGCGTCCAAAAGTTATTTGTTATCACCTTAAACCTGCCTTGGTAATCCAACTTAGAACCAAGGACCAATTTTACTTCATAATATTTTCAACCCCGTCTTTGCTTTGTTTTTATGTTTCTCACCCACACCTTTTGCGTCTCCTTACCCATTATTTGTGACCTTGACCTGTACACAATGTGACCTGTATTGTAATTATTCATGCTTTCTTGCCTTATATAAAAACTGTGTATGACGAGTACTCGTGTGTGTGTGTGTGTGTGATGAGAATGTCCGAAATGTGTTGGGCCAATACAACATTACACGTTTCAGATAAACTACACGTCTTCTTATTGTGTTGTCGAAATGTGTTGTTTAACGATATGAGTTGGTTTTGAGTAAATGAAGGTCATTCTGACCTGCGACTTTCTGTAGGAAGCTTTGTAGTGTAATTCTTGTGGACAGAGCTTTTGATTTCACTTCGTTGGGAATATTCTCCTCCACGATTCTAAGCTACACTTTACAGTCCAACCTTGGTTGACTAATTTTGTCTTGCAGTACGTGTTTTGCATCTAGAAACGTACAATGTCTTCATTTGTCACTAGTAACTAGTGTGATGCGTCTAATCCTCTGATTGGTGTAGACTGAATTTATATCAGTCAGGTTGTAATGTGACCACCGTTCTAGCTAGCTCGCCATCACGGTGCACACATTGATTTGATGGTATTAGATGGTTGGAGGCGATCGGCAGGAAGCCCAGCCTTGGACCTAGGTTTCGTGCTAGTTGGCACCCACCGGTCAGCAAGGCGTATCTGCAACCTTGAAGGAACAACTCATGTCCCTTCTGAGATTCGAACCCGCGTTACCCAGTGCTGCAGTCAGTCAGAGACGTTATCACTGAGATATTCGGGCCCGCGATTGACCTCCTGTAGGACTGCCGATTGCCTCCAACCATCTAATACATACAATGTCTGCCTATATTGGCGCCTCACTGCATTGCTGAGGTAAATCTGAGTTTTTATGTTACAAGTTTTTGATAGAATATCTAAAATATCAAAGAACAAGCTCCTTTTCCCAGTTTTTGGAATTCTTTTGTGATAGCGTATGTCTCAACAAATTTTTGTTGCTTATGCAGTAGGACGTACAAATCGGTTTCTTGCATTCAGACCATTATTATTATCATATTATTACTCCCTTGGGTTTCGAGTGGAACCAGAAATCTCCACTTTTTTCCGTTTTCTGCTGTCCTCTTCAGCTGAGCCCATGACTGCCCCCCGCCCATAGTCTGTCTCATCTTCTCCTCGCACGGTCTCCTCCAAGTCGCCTTCAGATCCACGCCCAACTCATCGTTTACAATTTGAGAGATATCCTGGTGTGCGATGTCACTCGAGGGTCACCTCAATGTGTACCCGCGTACCCAATCCATCTTCATTTTTACCTGCATATTGACTAAACAATAGGTTGTAGGTTGGTTTGCTGCGAGAGTTTCTTATTGTTAATTCTCTCTGACAGGCCATTTGATCTTCTCAATATGGAGTCGATGAGGACAGTTGTTGATAAAAGTCTGTAACTTGTTCGAAATCCAAGTCCGTATAGAAGCAGTGACCGACTTGACATTGGAGTTGAAAGCTCGAATCTTGTTGATTTTGCTGAGGTGGAGTGCAGACGATTTCAAATTGGTTTCAAACTGATGTAGGTGTATCTTGCCTTTCCTGATTCTGGCTGGCTGGTTGGCTTTGACATCTTCATCCGTTGCATCGCCTGTAGTTAAAATCGTGGTTCCTAGATAACCGAAGGAAGTAACCTCTGTTAAATCTCTCTAGTTGATGGTGATTAGTGCTGACTGTCGTGTGGTGAGAGCAGGCCGTGAGAAAATATGTACAAGGCTGATTTAACAACCAATCACAGTAAACTTAACGTGGCAAAATATGATTCGCAGATAGAGAACTCTATTTTTCGAGGAATCCCGAAACAACCAATCAGAAGCTTGTCTTTCTCTACTTAACTTCTGATAAACAACCAATCAGAAGACTGCGCTTGTCTATTTGCATAATAATGTACAGGAAATATATATAAAACGATCTGTTGCCCGGCCCTCGTCTTCTGTTGTTACAGTCGTTGTTGATTGATTAGTCACTCTGATCACCTCTGTCTTCTCTCTGCTTGGATCATAACAGAATAAATTAAATTGTTAAAATACCTCTTTTATAAAGGCCATTTTATTTCGCCTAAATTTTTCGCTTAGTTCACAGTTAGTTGCACAATTGATGATTCTATACACATAAAGTGTTAGTTTATAATGCCTATCACTTACATTTTTTTCCGGCAATTTAAAAAAATGGTTTTAAAATAGACTCACAGTTGTCTTTTATTATTTTTATTTTTAATTCACAGCTTCTTAAGATTTTTAAAAAATTGTATACTGTGAAATAAATCACAGAAAATATAAATAATTTTATCAGGTTATCTCACAATAGTGTATAGTTTTTACGAGTTGATCACGGATTGATATCAGTTAGAGAACAATTGAAAACCAGCCACAGGGAGTACTGGACAGCTGCTGTTTCATCAGCCTAGTTTGGGAATCATCGGCAGTACGCACCCACGAATTGGTAGGAGTTAGAATTCATGAGCCATTCAATCGGGTCCCAGTGAGTTGCTGAATGGTATACGAGCTTGTCTTGTAACCAGAAGGTCCTGGGTTCGAATCCCAGTGACTGCGTACTGCCGGTGATTCCCAAAATAGGATGAAACAGCAGCTGTCCAGTCCTCCCTGTGGCTGGTTTTCAATGGTTCTCCAACTGACATCAATCTGTGATCAACTTGTAAAAACATAACAAACCCTTACAAACCAAACTATAGAGTATAGTTTACTATAATGTAGAACTTACTCTTGAAGAAGTTTCATTATTTGATCATATTTCTTCTGAATTATTGCACCTTCTGTAGTATGGAATATCCTAAAAATGCAAGATAGATAACTAGTGTTATTAATAATCCGTAGACACCATTGATATGCTGATATAATCTTCTGCATTATGCTGAATTATGCTCCTGTCCATTCCAAGCAAAATACTAAGCCGCATCACCCTGGAGAGAATCAAACATGCCAACCTGGATGAAAAACTTCGACCGGATTAGGCCGGATTCAGTAGAAACAAATCATGTATTGATCAAATCGCCACTCTACGGATCATTATTGAACAAAGCTTGGAATGGCAGTCACCTCTCTATCTCACTCAACTTCATCGACTTTAAAAAGGCCTTCAACAGCTTAGCGTCGATCGAGAGGTGATTTGGCAACTACTTCGCTACTACCAAAGGGAGGCCATCGACAATTATACATCTCATCCAACAGTTATACGACAGTGCTGCCTGTATGACGAGTAATCCACAACGGGAAACTTACGGAAGCCTTTGAAGTGAGGACGGGAGTGAGACAAGCTGGCTGTCTACTATCACCAATGATCTTCCTGGTTGCAGTAGATTGGATAATGCAACAGACAGACAGACAACGGCAACCAACGAGGGAACGGGCATAAAATGGACTCACACAAAAAGGGAACTTGCAGGATCTGGACTTCGCCGATGTCTGGTTTCCCACAAACTGGAAGATATACAAGTGAAAAGCAACAAGCTGGCAGAACAAGCATCCAGAGAGGATAGGACTTCCTTCAGGTGAACATAGATAAAACAGAGGTGGTGAAGATTCCTGGCCAACAACAGCAGCAACAGCAACAGCAACAACAGACAACAATCAGCCGGCATAAATGGGAGGAACCTGAAAGAAACAACCTCCTTCACCTCCTCACCTAACTGGGAAGCATCGTCTCAACTACAGGCCAGCGCAACTGACGAAGATATCAAAGCCGGAATCGGAAAAGCAAGACAAGCTTTCATTACTCTTAAGTCTCTGTGGAGGTCAACAGCACTCAACATCAAAAATAACATCCGGATTTTCAACTCCAATGTGAAGTCAGTCAGTGCTACTATACGAATCACAGACTTGGCTAGTGCGTCATAAAGAGCATCTCAAACGAACTACAGACCTTCATCAACAGTTGTCTTCGCTCAGTACCACTGAAGATCAGATGTCCAGCCAGAAAAGATCAGAAACAGGGATCTCTGGGAATGAGCGAACCAACGCAGCAGGAACCGATTGTGAAACAAATAAGCAGGAATAAATGGAGACGGATTGGCTTGTCACACTCTGAGGAAACCATCAAGTGACTGGCATCAGTAGACAAGCCGTCGCTCGAGTGGAACCCGGTCGAAAGGGAAGCGGGTGGCGAGTTGGTCGTCAGTGCAAGGGTGGGGTGACTTGGAGGAGGTCATGTGAAGAGGAGGAGATGAAAGCATGAGGACAGACTTGGAGCGGGGTGAAAAAGTTGGCAGAAAACAGAAGGCAATGGAGGTGAGCAGCTGAAGCCGTATGTTCCTCTAGGAACTAAAGGATAAAATAATAATCTTCTGCTGATTGACTATGCTTGTCTTTTATAACAGGATAATGTAGAATTTGGTCATATTAGTGAGAATATTTTGATGGAAATGACTACAATCTGAAACAATATAGCAAAAGGTAGTTAATATATAATAATATGGCGGGAAAACAAATGACAAAAATTTTACACTAACCAATCAAAGGAAAAAGACAACACTATAAAACAATTTGTTTTCTTTTTTGGACTAAATACTGATTTTAAAAATTACAGGTTTGACCACGAGATGATATCAGTTAGTTAGCGAAACACTGAGACATCAGGTAGTAGTATTGACTAGCTGTTTCGTCCTAGTTTAGAAAACTAGGAAACAGTGTACACACCTGTCAGGGTTTGAACCTTGGACTTTTCACGTCTAAAATCTTATCTGTTCGCCATGAAAATGGTTGATACTGGTTTTTCTTAAGACTCAACACTAAGGTAGACGACAGTGGTTGCAACTGTCAGGCAATGGATTTAAAAAAAATACACTTTAGTCACAGTCTACGTAATCTGTACTGTAGCAGGATAGAACTGAAAGTCTTTTCAAAGGGTAAAGTAAATAAACACCTTTTAGCTGACGAGTCCAAAATAGGACGAAATGCGCTTTATCCTGGATTCCACTGCTAGCCACCATCCACCAATTAAATAATAACTAAATGCCCAGACATCGTCGAAGCATCTGCACAAGAAGCCGACATGTCAACCTGAGACCGAGCACTTCGATCCAATCAATCGACGGGAAAATCAAAGATTCAATTCAATAATTGCATGTTTATTTGTAAATTGTGTTATTTTTCTTAATTGTATCTATTGGGTCGTCAAGCCGATAACGTTTATCTCTGAGAGAGAGAGAGAGAGAGTTGGTTGGTTAGTTTAAATGCCACCCTAATTCCAGACTTATTGAGATATACTACGTAAGGCTTCTGACGTCTCGTCTTTATACGACGGTACTAGAGAGACTCTGAATTCTATATTATTATTATTTTTCAATTTCATTGCTGATCTTGTTATTTTTCTACGATATATATATATATATATATATATATATATATATATATGTATTAACAGCTTTATTCCAAACGGTATTTGTGGTACAGGTATGGAATTTTCAGCGTGCATTACAATATATATTGCATCTAATTACCTCATAAATTTTATAAGATTTTTAAAATCAAAAAAAAAAAATAAATAAATGAAAAATAAAACCAACGCCAAAAAAATAAAAATAAAATAAAAAACAGCGTAGAGTTTACATTTCAAACAATGGACCACAGGATATGAAATATAAAATTGGTGTGTAATAGAAGATGAGAACAACAGTGTAATAGTAACGAGGAAAGGAAAACAAAAACAATTAATGGGACTATTTGTTAGATTGGCGCAGTAAGTTTATCGTGTCATACCTAACGGATTTCTCATCACATAACAGCTGTGCCAGATATGGTATTGTGGAGTTTTTGTATTTGGTAGTCCTAGCATATAGCCTGCCAGCCAGCCAGCCTCCTATAGCTGCTTCTTGTTCTACCAGATGAAATGCAAGGAGACAGCTGCGTATAGAGAGGATCCTCGGGATTTGACAATATTGTATTCGCAAGTTTCTTACATGACATTCATTATATTTCTATCCACAATAGTGTTAACCAGTTGGTTTAACGATATCCCACTTACCCTCCCTACTAACGGCTTTTAGTGCCTGCCCTTCTCAGCAAACCAGACTGCCTAAATTTCCTAATGTAGAACGTTAAGCGAAACATCTTTCTAGTAACTAGCAAGATGTGGGAAGACCAGGAAAGATCGGTGGAAAAACTCAGCCCAACGGTACTTGACATTAGATGTATTTTCAACCTCTATGCCATCAATGATAGTGTGGCCATGTGAGCTAACTAGTCGCTGTAGGTCACATTTACGTCTGAAAGTGAAATTCACTACCTGACATTTAGACGGATTTAGCTTAAGGCCGTTTGAAGAGGACCACTGACTAATTTCCGACAGAATGTTATTTAATTTGGAACAATCTCACTGAGAGTTGACAGGCATAGAAATAGAGAGGTCATAGGCAAGCATACTTAACAAAAGTGGCTACATCAGAATGAGGCAAGTCACGTAAGAAAAACGAAAACAGAAAGGGAGAAAGAACAGTCAGTACCTTGAGGAACACCAGCTAAAGTAAGTGAGGTAGTGGAGGACTGACTTTCCATTGTAGACGATGTACTGCTTCCTATCAGAAAAATAGGAATGCAACCACTTATTTGTCCAGCTCTCAGCCTGTGTTGCAGCAAGCTTACTTAGCAAGAGAGACCTGGGAACAGAGTCAAATGCAGATGTGTAATCAAGGAAGGAAGGCACAGCGAACGTATTTAGCTCCTTTATCTAAACTAGAGACTATACTATGATGTAGGACAACCGCGGCATCTAACGTACACCTACTATGTTTATAAGCAAACTGGTTGGGGTCGTTGAAAGGCTTTAAAGACGGATCAAGATGAAGTAAAATAAGTCTTTCTATAACTTCATGCTTCATATATTTTTGGATCAATTCTGGTGGGTAGTGATTTGCTAATAATATTTGATTTCATAATTTAAATCTCCTGATTTACTAGTTAGGCTCTTGGTCCGAATATACACAGACATTCATCTAAACTTACCTTTGCCGATTCTCGAGAGGATAAATTAAAATAAGGTCTAAGTATTTATTACAGTTTGTCGGTTTTTTTCCATAAATGCTAATGTAAGGCAGAAAAAAGATCGGCTAGGCAGGCTCCGAGGAATGTTTATCAGGACAAACTCAATGCACATTTGCACATCATTTGCAATTTTCGTCGAATATCACCCACTACATTCGATAGCTTTGTTGGATTCTGCACAGTGTTTCTAATGTGTTCTTCTTACAGTTCTGCTCTTCGATTGCTTTTTCCAGTGCATTCCAAAAACATATTGTTGCTATTCTGAATTCATCTACTGACAAACTACTTATATCTGATTATAAGTAGTATTCACCACACTAACAACTAATTATCCACTATCTCGTTTTCGTTTTATTCTACAGTCTAGCACGGTCAACTCGCCTTGTTCATCTTCTAACTCAGAAGTGAATTAGATTGGAGTCTGTCTACTATTGAGTTTATATGTGTGAAAAACTGAGGGATATGTTCAGATTTCCACATATGTGAGTGAGTGTGTCCTTGGGATTGAGGATTAAGCGTTCTAAGAGCTTAATGTTCTCAACTGCTTGAAGCGTCAACCAGGTTAAATTTATCTAATGTGAACAACATACCCTGTTTTAAATCATAAAAAGCGGACACACACACACACAAAAGTTTTACAGATATATGTATAGCTGTTATTACTTATCTGATATTCAGGGTATAAGTACCTGGAAAAGAGATTCAGTTTTTCTGAATTATAACAGCATGTAATTAAGAATAACACATTTAAGCGAACAATATTCCTGTTTTCAATTAGATCTCATCAGGCTTAACTCTAATATATAGAAGTTTACAAATAAAAATTCAAATATAAACCAATCATGGTGTTTTGTCTATAGGATAATACGATGGTGAATATAAATTGTGCAATTAGTCATAATAGTAGTAATAATAATAATGGTCTTATCAATAATAAGGATGAAAAAATGAGGCAGTCTGTGATAACACGAATATGGAGGATTTAATCATGAGCTGACATCAGTTAGAGAACCACTGGAAAACCAGCTGGGAGTACTGGACAGCTGTTTCATCCTAGTGAGGGACTCTTCAGCAGTGCGCACCCACCGGGGTTCGAACCCAGGACCTTCTGGTTACAAGGCGAGCTCGTAGACCATTGAGCCACTGGGACCCGATCCAATGGTTCTTGAATTCTAACTTCTGCCAATTCACGACATAGCGCGACCACTTCGCAATGTCTTCTTCGATGAGTTACTGCCTCATCTTGAACCTGCTGTACCCTACTGGTCACGGCTTCCCACTAGAACCCCAGGCTAACTGCCTGAATAGGGCCAGTCGCTAGTGACTGGGTATATACTGATGAGGAGTCCCAAACTAGGACGAAACAGCTCTCCAGTACTCCCTGCAGGTTTTCCAGTGGTTCTCTAACTGATGTCAGCTCATGATTAATTCCTCCATACAATCAAACCAAATCTGTACAAAAACCAATAACATGAATAATGAAAAACAGTATGATTAAACAAACAGTTGTTCAGGGGGAAGTTGTCGATAAAGGCTTGTAAAAACAAATGAACCGATTACGTAATGTTAGATTGTAAGGGAAGGAAATGAAACACGTTTCTAATGAAGATAAGATTAAGGGATGATAAGAAAGGGTTGGAAATATAAATAAGGGGTGGTGTAGAAGTCTTTAGTTGGTTATGTCTTATTAGGCCACGGGGGGATAATGGCTGTACGAACTTCTTTTGAATGCATAGTTTAGGTTTAATAGTTCGAATGCCTATCACCTGCCTCAGCTGTGTGTGTAGTAGACGAATACGAAGTCTATTAGAAAGTTTCGGTGGGATACGATGAATTACTTTGAAGGCTTTCGTTTTATCGACTATATGACCACTATCAATTAAATGTGACAAAATTGAGCTACGGATTGTTTTTGTCTGTCCTTTGCCAAACCACGATGGGAGATGTTCACTAACACGTTGGCTAAGCTGTCTAGCAGTACACCCAACATAACTGTTACCGCAGGTGCAGTTGAATTGATAAATACACATAGATGTGGCAAAACTATCAAGTTTATCCTTCGTTTGCGTCCCAACCATTCGTCGGCTAGAGAATAACAAACATAGGTGTGCTGCGTAAAATGTTCTACGTATGCTCCTTGAAAGTCTTTGGAATAGAATCTCACTAGATAAGTCCCCATTAAATTGTAACTTAATAAATAGAGGTTTCTTGTGTGCAGTCAGAGTCACAGGTTTCTTCTCTGATGGTTTCATATGTTTCTTTATGAAACTACTCGGTTAGCCCATCTCCGTCAAGGAATCGTGAATATATTCAAATTCCTTTTGTAAGAGGTCATCCGTACATATCTTCCTTGCTCTGCTCGCGGGACATTTTACAAGATTCCTTTTATATTTAATGGGCACGTAACTAAGGAAGTGTGTGTATTGCCCTGTGAATGTGATTTTTCTGTACACACTTTTCCCAAGTGACCCATCTTCTCTCCTACTTAGCAAGACATCCAGGAAATGTAGTTTATTCTCCTGCTCCTCTTCACAAGTAAAGGTAAGCGAAGAGTGGATGTTGTTGAACTTAAGTAACAATTAGTTTATGTTAACCTTCTCATCAGCTAAGATAAATGTATCATCGACATATCGGTAATACATATCCAACTCCTTGATGGTATCCTTCAATTTCCCGTTTCCAAGTTTTGCGAGAATGAAGTCAGCTAATATTGGGCCTAATGGTGAACCCATAGCTATTCCATCTACTTGTCGATAGTATGAATTATTGAAGACAAAGTGAACATTCATTGTGCATTTAAGAAGTAATTCTTTGAGGCTACACAAGCGGATTCCTAAGTCTAATTGCCTATCGGTGATTTCTTGACAAATATAATCAACTGTAATTAAACTTAAATTAATGTTATTTAATGAAAAGAAAAAATACTTACGGTAAATCTAACTGATTAATCATTTCCATTGGTGATGTAATACGACTTTTCAGGTCATTAGCCCACTTTAAATTCCCTGATAATCTGGGCATATTTTTATGAATCTCTGAATAGTAAGTACGTTGCTTTCTGTACAGACCAGGTTTTGTAGAGCGTGTTTCTTTTTCCTCACTACTCTCTGGACTTGTAAGTGATTTGTTGTTATTATGAGTTGATGGGACTGAGCCTGTTAACAAACAGAGATATTTCACTAGAATTTGTTTCTATGTCAACACGTAAAAAGATAATTATATACACTTAAAAAAAATGGTTCATACACGTGATAAATATAATAAAATGATGAGAAACAGGTCGGATATCGCTAACACGACTAGTCACCAAATTGTATCCAGTGGGCTTATTTTTTGGACGATACCATGTAAACCTCACTCCTACAAATGATGCATTTTATGTAAGGTGGTTAGGAGCAGTCAACAGGAAGTCTTGCCCGACCTACGCTCCGTGCTTGAGGTAGCCCATATTCCTTCTGAAATTCAAATTCTGGTCACCAAGTGCCTCAGTCAGAGACGTTACTGCTGAGCTATTCGGGCTCGCGGTTGACTTCCTCTAGGACTGTAATGGATACTTTGCTAGAACACTAGGCAGTAACTGTCATGCGTCGAGTCCTTGGGTTGGTGAGTCACCTAGCAAAGTGACCACAACACTAACTCGACTGTTAGTCTCTCCCGTCTCAAAGACTGCCGGTTACTACCTGGTGACCAATCAAAAGATATTAGTTACAGGATTTCATCATGAGCTGATATTGGTTAGAGAACCTTTGGAAAACAGGCTGGAAGTACTGAAAAGCTGTTTCGTCCTAGTTTGGGACTCTTCAGTAGTACGCACTCACCGGGGTTCGAACCCTACAGACCAATACTTCAATACAAAAGATATTCCTTTTTTTTGTCTAAGCCACTTCTAACTGTATCGCACAACTGGATTTTTGCAGTGTAACACAGGTGCTATCCACCTATCCGTGGTCCTCCAAACTGATCTCAGGGCTTAAAGAAATAGACAGCGAGGTTAATCAAATGGCCACAAATCCGATATCTTATGCCTTTTAGCTGGCTTAAAATGACTTCTCTGAAAAAATTTCTCAGATTTCTAGTTTTATACATATTTTCTGCAGTGAAACAAGCAAAAATGGTACTGTCACACGCAAATTCCTTGCTTAAGTGATTCGTTTTTACCTGACTTATTTTACATGTTTCATTCGACAGTTTTTACCTAAAATCTCGATTATGTGATATATATATATATGTGCATGTATAAAATGTATTTTATTCCTTTATGTACATAACGGAACGTGGAGCTTCAAGATAGAGCCTTGAAGTCTCGCTAGCAGTGGTTTTTTATTTTTACAGGGTGAGGTTACTAGTTCATGTCCATCCAACCTTCCATCTTTATGAGACTTACTAACGGCCTAACGAGATTAAGGAGACTGTTGAGGTAGAGGGTCAATTTCCAGACCACATGAGGCGTGGTTGGTGGGTGAGAGTTATACCACTGAACTACCACTTTTGGATCAAGCATGAGTAATGTTGAAGAGTTCCAGGCTAGGACGAAACGGTCATCTAGTGTTCCCTGATTTTTTAGCGATTGCCTAAACGACGTCAGTTTGGCGTTTTTTATTATTTTGTCGAAATATATATATTTCACGTGGTCTCTTCACTATATATATTCATTTGGAGTGATAACATTCACTGAGAATTTGTCACTATAGGTTAATTAAGTGGTACTACTTGAAGCCTCTTTACTTTGAGCAGTTAACAACTCAGTTGTTTAATCTTCAAATTCGAAGACCAGTTTATTTGAGATATGCCAATCTCTCAGTATATATATAGGGTGCATGCAGATATGCATGAAGGTATAATGAAGTGGAATACATTTCACCATTTTCTGCGCACACTATCCTGATCGCCTTATTGAAAATCGTGAAACAACAGTGGATTTCTGGAATGCAATCAGTCTGTCAACCTCTATTTACATGCCACTCTGTTAATCAATACCATCTACGAGCATGGCATCAACATGTACCACCCATCTTTGAGAGGAGTTCCTTTGCCTAGTGAACTTATTTCATGACTAGTCAGCTAGTATTGGGGTTATGAGTGTGTTGTACTTACTGTTTGAAGACTTCAGACTTCAACCACATCTCCAGTAAATTTTTAGCACAGAATTTTCAGCATATATATATATATATATATATATATAGCAAAATATTTACTCTTCTTACGGGATCTTCAGGTAAAATAGTATTCGGCAGTATACTGTGTGATGTGATGCTGTGTTATTCCATCTGAAGTAATAATAATAATAAACCCCTCCACGATACTTTTTTTCTTCCTTTCTGCTCTTTTAATTTAGTGCTCTGTGTTACAGAAAACTAAAACTGTGTGCAAGTTCATGTAACGATTCAAAACACACAGTTAGACGATTAAAAAACAACAAGAAAAAGATAGAAATTTAGGCAGCTCAGCGGCGATTTAAGCAGACCGCCTGTATCTGAATAAGATTTTAAACGGACAGTATTCGTGTAATATTTAATAAGAAATATAAAAAGTATTGTTAGTTGAGCAGATAGGGGGGTAGACGATATTCATTTTATGATAGCTACATTTTTAGCCAAAGTAGGCACGTGGGATCATCATCATCATCAGCTACTGTGAAGACTTACAAAAGTAAACCATATTAGACCTATCTGAAACTTTCGTCTAATCAAGTGGATATCCTTCGTAACATAATAAAAAGTTAGAACGATTATTGATTACAAAAATGACACATTTAAATCACTGAGGAGGAAAATGGATGATCAGAAAGTGAAACCATAATAGTAGACAAGTGCCAGGCAACAGATCGTTTTATTATGAAAATCAACACGTATTTATATATATATTTTATGTACATTAATAAGGCTTATGCAAGCAAAAAAGGCAGTCTTCTGATTGGTTGTTTCTCGGAAGTTAAGCAGACAAACACAGTCTTCTGATTGGTTGTTTTCGAGTTCCTCGGACGGAAAGTGGAGTGGAGCCATCTATCTGCGAATCATATTCACCCACGTTTAAGTCTGCTGTGATTGGTTGTTGAATCAGCCTAGATTAATGTCTACCAATTGGCTAGCCGCCTGCTCTCATCACAGTAGTAGTTGAAGTGCAAACATAGGAAAAAAAGCAACACCACACTGAGATTATGCTCTTGAGCCTAGATTTCTTTCTTGTTTTGTTGCAAAAGTATTTTCTCCTCATATTACTTTAGAGTATAAAGCTATACAGACGTGATATCCGGCTGGCTATCGATCAAAGGGACTAGTGTACCGCTGCTCAGCAATCCGCTCCGTCCTCCTTTATGACTAGCTGGGAGACCTGGCCATTGAGAGTGGGAGACATGAAAAGATTAGCTAGCTGTCTTTGATCATAGGTGCCTGCGCTCTATCTCCTGTGTGAAGTGGTAATAATAAGGTGAGCAATATTGAGGTTGAGCGTCGGTCGAGTGCTAGGTAAGGAGAGGAGGGGAAATCAGTCGATGAGGCTGTGAAGCTATATCAACTGAGATGCGGGTAGGACATGTGTTACGTATGCCTAATCATCGCCTTCCTCGACAATGGGCAATGTTAGCTGATATAGGGTCAGGCTGGAAAAGAGCCAGCTAGCGGCGGTCAAACCAATACATGGCGGCACCAGTCAATGAAATCCACAACAGTTAGTTTAAGTCAGCCACGTAGGAAGGTGTAGACTGCTGTCTGGTTGGGATCCTCGGCAGGGTATAAACCAATGAAGGCTGGAGACATTTAATGATATAGCTCAAAATCGTTCTCAATGGCTGGCTGGTGTAGATGCATCCACACCTTGTGACTTATGATTTCCAATGAAACTATATTGTTCTTCGTTCGTTATTACTATTTCTTTGTCTCTGTTATGCATTCTTCCTCTACTTTCTTCTCTTGCTTTGTGTGCTACAAGGAGTGGAGTGTGCCGACTCGACCTATTGCAGATCGGTGCAAAGTTCTATGTATGTTTAAAAACAAACAGACACATACACAGAGTAGGTTAGAAGTTTAAAAAAAGAAAAGAGGTAAATTAACCTAAAAGACTACTACTGCTCACTTTCATGCCGGAGTTTTTCACCCATTATATGATGATCATAAATTTTCTTTGCTACATCCATTTCAGTATTTAACATTTGAATTAAACGTTTATATTTGGGTTGAAAACTCTCTTTTATTATTGGTCTATCCAAAAGACTGTGCAGGATACTAATAAGCTGAAAAAAAATAGGCAGATTTATTTAAAAGGTAACATTTTTAGTTTATCTATAACAAAAGAAAGTGAAGAGATGACGATACTTTGATAGAAGAGCTAGTGAACAACACAGTCGGTGCTACAATCTTAAAGGCTTAATTCAATTTTAGCTTTTTTCCATCGCTTCTTGCGTAGATGCTTCGACGATGGGAACATCACCACTCACTGGGGAATGCAGGTAAATCCAGTTAGCTGACGAGTCCCAAATAGGACGAAAAGCATTATCTATAATTATAGCGTCAAAAAAAATAATCCTGATCATCAGTGTACATCTAATGCTGTTCTTGTGCGAAATCAGTGATTTAGGTTCTAATTGGGTGAAAAGATTGAGTCAAATGCACACCAATTTCACCGGAGACTTGTTAACTTTTTCCACCTATTGAGGAGCATGCTTGTTTACAGAGCATACAGTAATCAGTCTCCAAAGCCTCAGGATGATCGGGGGTGGGTGCCTTGCGCTGCTCCCATATGAACGGGCGTCTTACATAGCCTCTCCTCAGGAAGTCCTCAGTCCTCACTGCCTTCACGTGGCGGAGGTGTTTTTCACCACCGAAGTGAGAGGGCAAAAGCGGATGACCGGCGCTCTTCACCAGGTTGACTGACTGTCCATTGGATGACAGACAATCTAGGAGAGATGGCTAAATCCTGCCTGATTCCAAACCTCCAACGACTGGCGTATGAAGCTCACCGGTAGGCAGACGTATGGACAAAGGGCTTATTGGATGCGCTGGTGCATGTCTGGCCCCATTCAAAAAGTCGTATGAACCGGACTCCGGTCACCGGCTGGCTGACAATGGATAGTGGACTCCACCCTACTCCACTCCTACTGCCTTGTAGGAGATCACACTTGGTTGGTTGTGTAAAGGCTAGAGCTGTACTCTCAAACAAAAGGCCGAGCGATTCTGTGGGGGGACATCACTCGTACCTAATTCCCATGAAACTTCATGAACTCTCGTTGCTACAACATCAACCAAATTCCAGTACTGGTCGAACAACGTGGCCTTCGGTGGTTTGGCCATGTTCTGGGCCGGGCCGACCAGATGACGATCTGATCACATCAGTTCTAAATCCCTCCTCGTCATTTCCATCTTGGTGATGTCACATGGGGGGAGGGGGGGACAGCTGAAATCACATGGCTTAGTACAGTCAGTCAAGGCTGATATGGAGTGACTGGGCTGGGGCTACAAACCGTCTACGGACTCCGTCTATGGAACAAGAACTGGATAACCCTGTCGTGGCGAAACCTTGCATCAGATTGCCGCACCTGGGCAGCGATGATTCGAGATGTTCATGAAGCCGGCTCATCCTCCCGTAGGAGATAGCCGAAGTAAAGTAAAGTAAGTATACATTAATCAACTTCGGTTACTTTAATACATTCTAAATTACTTTATTATTCAATTCTAACAATCTGATTTTGGTTGTCTATATTTCTTTTAGAACTCGAATGATTATTATTTCCAATATAGGTAAGTAATGACTTATATTTTGGCAATATATAGATAAATACTTAATTCAATTGAAGATTGAATGAATATAAGAATTTACCTTAAGTAAATGTTCTATAGCAGGACAACCATCTACTGCATGTTCAATTACATTGGACAGACGATATTCTAAATCGCGTACACTTTGATTAAATAATTCAAAATCCTTGCAAAACTCTTCATTCAATGGATCCAAGACATCATACGACCTGTCATTAAACATCTAAACGAAAACAGAGAAAAACAAAACAAAAGGGAGTTGTATAGTTGGGTGAGACCTGCTAATTCACAACACAAGCTAATACAAGCTACTACAGAGTGTGAATGATAACACCATCAAATGAATATTCTAATTACATGGAGAATGTAAACATTTCGACTGTATAAAAGTGGAAATTATTGTCATATAATTAATGAACGCGATAAAAACTTATTTATTGCGTCAAGATATAGCCATTGATAAGAGTGTACCAGTATCCTTGTCTGGTGAATTGGGAATTCTCTATACTTTTTAGGGAAGTTAATTTAGACATTGTAGTCGTTAAAGTTTTTCCAGAGAAGTGTATCATTTACCATACCAAAACATGTTTATCAAGAAAGTTATAGTGTGGTCAGAGCAGGCTGCTAGCCAATTGGTTGACATTAATCTACGTCAATGTCTAGATCACTAATATGGGCCGTGAGAAAATATGAACAAGGCTGTTTCAACAACAACCAATCACAGCAAACTTAAACGTCGGCAAATATGATTCGCAGATAGATGGCTCCACTCCACTTTCCGTCCGAGGAACTCGAAAACAACCAATCAGAAGACTGGATTTGTCTACTTGACTAGGCTATAATAATGTATGTGAAATTTATATAAATACGTGTTGATTTCCGTAATAAAGCGATCTGTTGCCGGCCCTTGGTCTTCTGTTGATACAATAGGACAGCTAGGGAAAAACACTAACTAGACATGATATGACTTCGTCTATGTTAAAGTATCTTCATGCTTTCAAATATTAAAAAACAAAATAGGAGCGCAAAACTAGGAATGGTTTGTACACCAGTGAGTTATATATATATTTGCCAAGTCTTTGAAAATTTCTGTTGGATTAATTAATAGTCACTTTGCCATAGTAACTGTTTTGTTTTGACAGCGGCCTTTTCAATTCAATTCGTACTTAACAATTTGGTTTTGTTTTTTTCTTTTTTAGAGAAAAGCCTAAAAGTTTTATGAAATTATTAAATTATTATTCCTATGTTTCGCCTAAGGTCAGTTAGGTGTTATTAATAATTATGAATTGTTTTTATTTTAACGATAGGGGTTACAATAACACCTAATATTTTGGATGTTTAGGTGTATAATAATAATAATAACAATAACAATAGTAGTAAATTAAACGATCAAAATCAAAATTCTTTTCTCTCTCTTTTTGTCGACTGTCCAGTGACGATTTCACTGTATATTATTCGGTAAAATATATTATTACAATAATGAGCAGTTTGATTAGACAGAGTGTATCTGTGAAATGTTATCACATGTACTGTTGCACAATGCATTTCAAACAATCTTATCGTACACATGTACCTGTCAAATGAAGTTTAATATTAAAAATGAAAGTAGGCTGGTTAAAATATTTATTTTTGATTACAGCTTGATTCCACACACTCTATTTTTGGTACAAGTATGGAATTTTCAGCATGGATATCGGTAGCCCGAAATTCGCAGACCGACCATAGATATCAGGTGTGCTTCATCGGCGTGGGCTCGAACCCCGGACCATGTGCATGGTTGGCGAGAGTCCTAAAATAATGTAATTTCCAAAATTTCCTTTCACGTATTTAGAGAAGGCAAAAGATTGAGTGAAGAAGCGTATTCCTTTTCTAATTTCAGTTAGTTTTGAGTTATAGGCTGACTTCACACTGATGAGTAGTTGGTTTTTGCATTGAAATGTTTACCACCGTAGCCGTACCCGTTTTGAGTAGTAGTTTGGGTTGATGGGTGAAATTAAGAGGTTAAAAGTTATCGAAACATCAGTTAACTAATAGATGTTAGTAACAAGATATCTAAAGTTTGGAAGAGGTGTGAAAACTAATTCGTTACGGAATTCTAGATAAGTTAATTCATAGGCGTTAGTATCCGGATTTTCAACTCCAATGTGAAGTCAGTGCTACTCACTATACGCATCAGAGACTTGCACTGCGCGTCATAAAGAGCATATCAAACAAACTCCAGACCTTCATCAACCGTTGTCTTCGCTCAATACTCAAGATCAGATGGCCGGCCAGAAAAGATCAGCAACAGGGATCTCTGGGAGCGAACCAATCAGGAACCGATTGTGAAAAAAATAGGCAGGAAGAAATGGAGATGGATTGGCTGGCCATACTCTGAGAAAACCAACCATCAAGTGAGTGACATCACCAGACAAGCCATTGCTCGAGTGGAAACCGTAAGGGAAGCGGGTGGTGAGTTGGTCGTCAGTGCAACGGTGGAGTGACTTGGAGGAGGTCATGTGAAGAGGAGGAGATGAAAGCATGTGGGCAGACTTGGAACGGAGTGAAAAAGTTGTCAGAAAACAGAAGGCAATGGAGACGAGTAGCTGAAGCCCTATGTTCCTCCAGGAATTAAAGGGTATAATAATAATATCATAATAGGCGTTAGCAAACAAGTTATTACATAATCAGGAAATTTGTAAAATAACAGTGATGACTAAAAAGAATAGTATGACTCAGAAGAGTTACGTGAATTACAAACTATTTAGTGAAACTAGCTGGAATTGTAAAAGTAATTAGGTCAAAAGGTAGTTAGTTACAAGGGGACTGAATTTTGTTAGTCAAGTCTGAAGTGTGACCACCATTCCAGTTGACTCACCATCACGCCTGTGACTGCAGCACTGGGTGACACGAGTTCGAATCTCAGAAGGGACATGAGTTTCTCCAAAATTGCAGATATGCTTTGCTGACTGATGAATGCCAACTCTAGTACGAAACCTAGGTCGAGCAGCAAGACTTCCTGCAGATCGCCTCCTTCAACCATCTAATATGAATAAGTATTAAGTAGTTGGCCATGGCAAAGAAAGCGGCTGTACAAATTTCTTTTAAGAAACCAACCTACGGATTTGTTTTGTTCAGATGTACTTCGATTGCTTCTGCTGTATGTACAAGTCGTACTTGTAGACCATGTGAGAGGGTCTGATGAAATACGATAAATAACTTTAAAAGCCTTGTCAGAGTCAACCTAATGTCCAGTATCGACAAGATGAGCTGGTATTAAGCTTTATTCAGAACTTCGCCAAACCACCGTTGTAGGTGTTCAAACAATTCTACGATGAACTTGCTGATCCTATGCACAATGTAATCAGCTCTGCACGAGAAGTTTGACTTTTTCTCTTGAACTATGTATTACTTTGCTAGTGAATATAAAGCATAACTTAGCTGCATTGAAAGTCCTCTTAATAGGGCAATTAAAAATAAGAAGGATAATAATTAACACTACAAATAGTAATATGCCATTAATAGTGTTCTCTGAGCTGGTTGGTTCGTGGTGATAGTAGCCTGCTAGCCAATTGGTTGACATTAGTCTACGTCAATGTCTAGGTCACTAATATGGGCCGTGAGAAAAAATATGAACAAGGCTGTTTCAACAACCAATCACAGCAAACTTAAACGTGGGCAAATATGATGATTGTCCTTCCTCATTCAATTTTGATAATTTGAATGATGATTCAAATGAAGCACAAAAATCTGTTACTGAAGCGTCACCAGTATTGTAGTTGAGTCCTTTCTGAAGAAGTTGTTCTTCGGCTTTCGATAATGGTTGTTCCGATAGATTTACTACGCAGTCATCATAATTAGGAAAAATGATTTAGAATATACCCATAAATTAATAAACAACATATTTGAAGACATCAAATTCACACGAAAAGAAGAATTAGATAACAAAATCCCACTTTTAGATGTCTTAATCAGGAGAACCAACACAGGAAATTTAGAAACAAAAGTATATAGAAAGTTAACGCACACACACAGATCAAATACTCAAATATACTAGCAATAATCCCAATTACTCACTCACAAAAGAAACTGTGTGCAGACATTGTTTAGAAGAGTTCAAACACACACTGCAGCACACCAGAGTTGAAAAGAATGGAAGAAAAATACTTACAAACGGTCTTCAAGAAGAATGGTTATCCAAAAAATTTCATCAAAAAGTGTTTAAAGTCGAATCAAAGCACCAACAAAGAACCATCACCAAAGACCAAAAAGAAATTCATCCTACCATACATCAGAAATACCTCTGAAATAACGGCTAGAATAATGAAACCGTTTGATATAGATAGATGTAGCACACAAACCAGCCAGCCGAATCGCTTAATTCGATCTTATGCAAACCAAAAGATCCGATAGAAAAAAGGAGATAAAATTAACACCATTTACAAAATAAATTCGATGTATGAACTGTAACAAACATTACATCGGCTGTCGAAGTGGGCATCTTCTTCGAATAAGAATCCAAGAACACAAGTCAGCCGTGAAAAGATATGATATAAATTCTTTAGTATCAATGCATACCGATAATTATGGACATCAATTTAATGGGGATAATATCAAAATCTTAAACAGAGGAAACACAACACCAAATGTGCAGTCAAGAAATTCCTAGAAGCCTGGTACTCAAACGAAAATGCCATCAATAAACACGTTAATATAGATGAAATATTTCAACTAATAAAACGTAAATCAGGTGATCAGAAAGTTTAAAATCCCAATCACAATAGAAAACGGTCAATACACACATATGTGAAGATGGTTGGTCACCACCAGGAGACGCAATTGTATCATCCATCATTCATGGAGATATATTTAAATCATTCAACTTTATGCTAAATACTGCGCTGAAGATGCCGTCCAGAAAAGGGGACGACGAAAGCTCCACAACTAAACCAACCAGCTCAGAGATCACTATTAATTGCAAATCTTCCCCCTGAGTTACAAATCTTTTCTATTATTTAAAATAGTAATATGATCAAATAAATATTAACAGGGTGAGTTAAGGTCAGATGGTGGGGTGTTAATTTTACGGATGACTACATACAGCCTCAGCTTATTTCCGTTTTCGGCTTTTTTATTGACAGTCTTGAAAGCTGTTTTAATATTGATCTTGTGATTTATATAAATTAAATGTTTCTTTTTTTATAGACATGGTTGGTAGTTTATCATTTGCGTTTATCGAGGTTC